GGACCAGGCCAAGGTGATTGCGACCGCGTCTTCAACGTCTTCTGCCTCTACGGGAACGTGGAGAAGGTGGGCGGGGGTCCTGGGGGGGGTCCCCAGTGGGGTTTGGGGTGTTTAGGGGGGGTTTGGGGGTGTTTTGGGGGGGGTTTGGGGGGTCCTCAGTGGGGCTGGACCAGGCCAAGGTGAGCTGTGACAGGGTCTTCAATGTCTTCTGCCTCTACGGGAATGTGGAGAAGGTGGGCGGGGGTCCTGGGAGAGGTTTGGGGGGTCCTGCAGGAGACCTGTGCCATGTCCCAGTGTCCCTCACCTGTCCCAGGTGTCCCCTCAGCTGTCCCTTTACCTGTCCCTGTCTCTCGCAGTGCCCCTCCCCTGTCCCTTCTGTCCCTCACCTGCCTGTGTCCCTCATCTGTCCCTGTCCCTGTCCCTCCCCTGTGTCTCACCTGTCCCTGTCTCCCCTCACCTGTCCCAGTGTCCCTCTCCTGTCTCACCTGTCCCTATACCTGTCCCTGTCCCTGTCTCACCTGTCCCTGTCCCCCTGTCTCACCTGTCCCTTTACCTGTCCCCTGTCCCTATGTCTCCCCTGTCCCAGTGTGTCTCACCTGTCTCACCTGTCCCAGTGCCCCTGTCCCTGTCCCTTTACCTGTCCCTGTCCCTGTCCCTGTCCCTGTGTCTCACCTGTCCCAGTGTGTCTCACCTGTCCCTTTACCTGTCCCTGTCCCTGTGTCTCCCCTGTCCCTCCCCTGTCCCTGACTCTCTCCTGTCCCACCTGTCCCAGTGCCCCTGTCCCTGTCCCTTTACCTGTCCCTGTCCCAGTGTGTCTCACCTGTCCCTTTACCTGTCCCTGTCTCTGTGTCTCCCCTGTCCCTCCCCTGTCTCACCTGTCCTGTGTCCCTCCCCTGTCTCACCTGTCCCTTTACCTGTCCCCTTCTCACCTGTGTGTCTCACCTGTGCGGCAGGTGAAGTTCATGAAGAGCAAGCCGGGCGCGGCCATGGTGGAGATGGCCGATGGCTACGCCGTGGACAGAGCCATCACCCACCTCAACAACAACTTCATGTTCGGCCAGAAGCTCAACGTCTGGTCAGCCTGAGTGATTTTGGGGGGTCTCTGAGGGATTTTGGGGCATTTTGGGGGGTTCTGAGTCATTTTGGGGGTATCTGAGTGATTTTGGGGTGTCCCTGGTGGTCCCGACCCCGTCCCCACCATCACCCACCTCAACAACAACTTCATGTTCGGCCAGAAGCTCAACGTCTGGTCGGTGTTTTGGGGGTTTGGGGGGATTTTGGGGCATTTTGGGGGGTCCTGAGTGATTTTGGGGGTATCTGAGTCATTTTGGGGCGTCTCTGGTGGTCCTGACCTCGTCCCCACCATCACCCACCTCAACAACAACTTCATGTTGGGCCAGAAGCTCAACGTCTGGTCGGTGTTTTGGGGGGTCTGGGGGGATTTTGGGGCATTTTGGGGGTCCCTGAGTGAATTTTGGGGGTCCCCAAGTGATTTTTGGAGTGGATTTTTGGGTTTTTGTCATTTTCTGACCTGTTTTTTTCCCACTTTTCCCCATTTTTCCCCCATTTTGCCCCCGCAGTGTCTCCAAGCAGCACGCCATCATGCCAGGGCAGTCCTGGGGGTTTTTGGGCTGGATTTTGATGATTTTGGGGTGTATTTTTGCTGGTTTTGTCATTTTCTGATCCGTTTTTTCACGTTTTTTTCCCATTTTTTCCCGTTTTCTCCCCATTTTCCCCCCACAGCGTCTCCAAGCAGCACGCCATCATGCCGGGGCAGTCCTGGGGGGTTTTTGGGGTGGTTTCTGGGTGGATTTTTGTGGTTTTTTCGGCTATTTGACCCATTTTTTCCCCGTTTTTTCCCATTTTTTCTCTGTTTTTTCCCGTTTTTTCCCATTTTTTCCCCATTTTCTCCCCCCAGTGTCTCCAAGCAGCACACCATCATGCCAGGGCAGTCCTGGGGGGTTTTTGGGGTGGATTTTGATGATTTTGGGGTGGTTTCTGGGTGGATTTTTGTGGTTTTTTCGGCTATTTGACCCATTTTCCCCCCGTTTTTCCCATTTTTTCCCGTTTTTTCCCCATTTTTTCCCATTTTTTCTCCATTTTTTCCCATTTTTTCTCCGTTTTTCCCCATTTTTTCCCGTTTTCTCCCCATTTCCCCCCCCAGCGTCTCCAAGCAGCACGCCATCATGCCGGGGCAGTCCTACGGGCTGGAGGACGGCTCGTGCAGCTACAAGGATTTCAGCGGCTCGCGCAACAACCGCTTCTCCACGCCCGAGCAGGCGGCCAAGAACCGCATCCAGCACCCCAGCAACGTGCTGCACTTCTTCAACGCGCCGCTCGACGTCACCGAGGACAACTTCTACGAGGTGCCCGCGCCCGCTCTTCCTCCTCATCCTCAGCCTCATCCTCCTCATCCTCAGCCTCCTCTTCCTCAGCCTCATCCTCATCCTCAGCCTCATCCTCCTCATCCTCGGCCTCCTCCTCCTCCTCATCCTCAGCCATCTCCTTGTGCTCTCTGAGCCGTGCTGTTCCTCTTCATCCTCCTCTTCCTCCTCCTCATCCTCCTCTTCCTCATCCTCAGCCTCGGCCTCCTCCTCCTCCTCCTCATCCTCCTCGTCATCCTCCTCATCCTCCTCCTCATCCTCATCCTTCTCTTCCTCCTCATCCTCCTCCTCATCCTCATCCTTCTCTTCCTCCTCATCCTCCTCCTCATCCTCATCCTCATCCTCCTCCTCATCCTCCTCCTCATCCTCCTTCCTCATCCTCCTCATCCTCCTCTTCCTCAGCCATCTCCTTGTGCGCTCTGAGCCGTGCTGTTCCTCTTCATCCTCCTCCTCCTCCTCCTCGTCCTCCACATCCTGCTCTTCATCCTCCTCCTCTGCCTCAGCCTCCGAGGCCCCTCCTCAGACCCCCCAAACCCCCAAATCCCCCCAGATTTCCCCCCCAAACCCCTTCCTGACCTCCCAAACTCCCCCAAACCCCCAAATCCCCCCTCACCCCCGATCCCCAAACCCCTTCCTGACCCCCAAACTCCCCCAAACCCCAAAAATCCCCCCAAATCTCCCCCCCAAACCCCTCCCGACCCCCCAAACCCCTCCCCAAACACCCCCTGACCCCCCAAATCCCCCCCAAACCCCCTTCCCAGCCCCCCAAGTCCCCCTAAACCCCTTCCCAACCCCCCAAATCCCCCCCAAGCCCCCTTCCCAGCCCCCCAAGTCCCCCTAAACCCCTTCCCAGCCCCCCAAATCCCCCCTGACCCCCCAAATTTCCCCCCTGTCCCCCCAGATCTGCGACGAGCTCGGCGTCAAGCGCCCGTCCTCGGTCAAGGTGTTCTCGGGCAAGAGTGAGTGTGGGACCCCCCTGACCCCTGGCTGACCCCTGGCTGACCCCGGGTGACCCCTGACCCCTGGCTGACCCCTGGGTGACCCCCGGGTGACCCCTGACCCCCCCAGGCGAGCGCAGCTCCTCGGGGCTGCTGGAGTGGGACTCCAAGAGCGACGCCCTGGAGACCCTCGGCTTCCTCAACCACTTCCAGATGAAGAACCCCAGTGAGGGCTCGGGGGGCTGGGGGGGGCTGGTGAGGGGTCTGGGGGGCTGGGGAGGGTCTGGGGGGCTGGGGAAGGGGATTGGGGGGGCTGGGGGGCTGGGGAGGGGTTTAAAGAGGGGTTTGAGGGGCTGGGGAGGGGTCTGGGGGGGGGTTTGGGGGGGCTGGGGAGGGGGCTGGGGGGCTGGGGAGGGGTCTGGGGGGTTTGGGAGGGGATTTGGGGGGGCTGGGAAGGGGTTTGGGGGGGATTTGGGGGGCTGGGGAGGGGATTTGGGGGGGCTGGGGAGGGTCTGAGGAGGGGGTTTGGGGGCTGGGGATGGAGTTTGGGGGATTAGAGGGGGATTTGGGGAGCTGGGGAGGGGTCTGGGGGTCTGGAGAGGGGTTTTGAGGGGCTGGGGAGGGGATTGGGGGGCTGGGGAGGGGTTTGGGGTTCTGGGGAGGTTTTGGGGGGCTGCCCCAGCCCCCTGACCCCCTTTTTTCCCCCCCAGACGGGCCGTACCCCTACACGCTGAAGCTCTGCTTCTCCACGGCCCAGCACGCCTCCTGAGCCCCGGGACCCCCAGGGGACCCCCGGGGGACCCCAAAACCCCCAGGGTCACCCCAGGGACCCCCACCAGGGACCCCCGGGGGAGCCCCAAAACCCGCTGGGACCCCCCTGGGACCCCCAAGGTCACCCCACCGGGACCCCCAGGATCACCCCAAAGCCCTCCGGATCCTCCTGCGACCCCCAGGGTCACCCCACGAGGACCCCCTGGGACCCCCAGGATCCCCCCAAAACCCTCTGGATCCTCCCCAGAACCCTCTGGATCACCCCTGGGACCCCCAGGAACCTCCCAGGGACCCCCAGGGTCACCCCAGGGTCACCCCAGAACCCTCTGGTACCCCCAAGATTCCCCCAGGACCCCGTTGGGACCCCCTGGATTCCCCTGGGGACCCCAAAATCTCCTCCCAGGACCCCCAAATCCCCCTGGGGACCCCCCCGGGACCCCAAAATCTCCTCCCAGGACCCCCAAATCCCCCTGGGGACCCCCCCCAGGAGCCCAAAATCCCCCTGGGGACCCCCCCCCATTACCCCCCGTTTTTTTTAAGGCCGGGGGTGCAGAGACCCCCCCCCCCTTCTCTCCCCCTCCCCCATTTTTAAGGCGAAGGGGTCGGAGCCCCTCCCCCACCCCAATAAAGAGTTTGGGAAACAAAATCCGAATTTGGGGATTTTGGGATTTTTTGGGGGGGGTTGGGGGGGATTTTGGGATTTTTTTGGGGGATATGGGGGAGGTTTTGGGGGGTTTTGAAGGGGTTCAGGGGTTTTTGGGGAAGATTTTGGGGGTTTTTTAAACGTTTTTTTGGGAAGATTTTGGAAATTTTTAAACTTTTTTGAAAGTTGTTTTTTTTTTCGGAACATTTTGAGAGTTTTTTTGGGAGGATTTTTGGGGGTTCGGGGTTGGAATTTCTTGAACTTCCGGTCAGAGCCTCGATGTCATCGCCCACTTCCGCCTCGGCAGACGTCACTTCCTCCTCGGTACGGCGTCGCTTCCGGCGCGCGGGTGGGCGTGGCCAGGGCCGCGCGCTGCCATTGGCCGAGCGGCCGGAAGTGACGGCGCCCCCTGGCGGTGACGGGGCCGATGGCGGCGGCGCTCGCGCGGCTGCGGCGCGCGCGTGAGTGGGGGAGGGGCGGCCCGGGGGGACCGGCCCGGACCGGCCCGGACCGGTTCGGACCAGTTCGGACCAGTTCGGGCCCGGTTTGTCCCAGTTTGGCCCCGGTTTGGCCCCAGTTTGTCCTTGGTGTGTCCCCGGTTTGGCCCAGTGGGTCCTAGTTTGGCCCAGTTTAGACCAGTTTGGCCCAGTTTAGACCAGTTTGGCCCAGTTTAGACCAGTCTGGCCCAGTGGGTCCCAGTTTGGCCCAGTTTAGACCAGTTTGGCCCAGTTTAGACCAGTTTGGCCCAATTTAGACCAGTTTGGCCCAGTTTAGACCACTTTGGCCCAGTTCAGACCAGTTTGGCCCAGTGGGTCCCAGTTTGTTCTCGGTTCGTCCCCAGGTTCCCCCAGTGGGTCCCAGTTTGGCCCCGGTGTGTCGCTGCTTTGTCCCCAGTTTGGCCCAGTTTGTCCCAGTTCATCTTTGGTTTGTCCCCAGTTCGTCCCAGTTTATCCCAGTTTGTCCCAGTGGGGCCCAATTCCCCCAGTGGGGCCCAGTTTGGCCCGGTCTGTCCCAGTTTCCCCCAGTTTGTCCCACTGGGTCCCAGTTTGTTTCCAGTTTATCCCAGTTTCTCCCCAGTTTGTCCCAGTTTGTTCCCAGTTTGGCCCGGTCCCTCCCAGTTCCCTCTCAGTCCCACCCAGTGTGATCCCAGTCCATCCCATTCCCATCCCATCATTCCCAGTCCATCCCAGTCCATCCCAGTCTCTCCCATTCCCATCCCAGTCTGTCCCAGTCCAATCCAGTCCATCCCAGTTTGATCCCAGTTTGATCCAATTCCCATCCCAGTCCCTCCCAGTCCGTCCCAGTCCAACCTAGTCCCTCCCAGTCCATCCCAGTTTGATCCCAGTCCATCCCATTCCCATCCCAGTCCCTCCCAGTCCATCCCAGTCCATCCCAGTTTGATCCCAGTCCATCCCAGTCCATCCCATTCCCATCCCATCATTCCCAGTCCCTCCCAGTCCATCCCAGTCCATCCCAGTCTCTCCCATTCCCATCCCAGTCCCTCCCAGTTTGATCCCAGTTTGATCCCAGTCCATCCCAGTCTGTCCCAGTTTGATCCCAGTCCATCCCAGTCTCTCCCATTGCCCCCAGTCCGTCCCAGTTGGCCGCGGGTGTCCCAGTTTGGCTCGATGACGTCACCGATGACGTCAGCAGCCGCGCAGGAGCTGCAGTCGCTGCGGCTGCTGCAGGAACGGCCGCGGGTGCTGCACCTGCAGCTGCACCGGCCCGGCAAGCGCAACGCGCTGGACCTGCGCTGCTGGCGGTACTGGGAGCACTGGGAGCACTGGGATCAAACTGGGAGGGACTGGGATGGGAATGGGAGGGACTGAGATGGGAATGGGATGGACTGGGATTAAACTGGGGGGGACTGGGGGGGACTGGGATCAAACTGGGATGGACTGGGAGGGACTGGGATGGAGATGGGAGAGACTGGGAGGGACTGGGATAAACTGGGAGGGACTGGGATAAACTGGGAGGGACTGGGATAAACTGGGAGGGACTGGGAGCACTGGGAGGGAACTGGGAGGGGATTGGGGGGGACTGGGATCAAACTGGGAGGGACTGGGATGGACTGGGAGGGACTGGAAGGGACTGGGATCAAACTGGGGGAGACTGGGATCACACTGGGAGGGACTGGGAGGGAACTGGGGGGGACTGGGAGGGATTGGGATGGACTGGGATGGGAATGGGATGGACTGGGATTAAACTGGGGGGGACTGGGATGGACTGGGATGGGAATGAGGAGCTGTACTGGTGCTCCCTAATGCTCCATACTGGTCTGTACTGGTCTGTACTGGTCCGTACCGGTCTGTACTGGTCCATGCTGGTCCGTACCGGTCCGTACTGGTTTATACTGGTCCATACTGGCAGGGAACTGGTGCAGGTGTTCCGGGACATCGCTCAGGACCCCGAGTGCCGCGCTGTGGTTGTCTCCGGGGCCGGCGCAGCTTTCACCGCCGGTGGGGCTGAACCCCGAAACCTGCGGGACCCCAAATTCCTGCGGGACCCCAAATTTACACCTGGGACCCCAAATTTACACCTGGGGCCCCAAATTCCCTCCTGGGACCCCAAATTTCCTCCTGGGACCTGAAATTCCTCCTGGGACCCCCAATTCCTGCTGGGACCCCAAAATTTACACCTGGGACCCCAAATTCCTCCTGGGACCCCAAATTCTGCTGGGACCCCAAAATTCCTGCTGGGACCCCAAAATTTACACCTGGGACCCCAAATTCCCTCCTGGGACCCCAAATTCCTGCTGGGACCTGAAATTCCAAAAATTCCCCCCTGGGACCCCAGATTCCCTCCTGGGACCCCAAATTCTGCTGGGACCCCAAATTCCCTCCTGGGACACCAAATTTACACCTGGAACCCCAAAATCCTCCTGGGACCCCAAATTTCCCTCCTGGGACCTGAAATTCCAAAAATTCCACCCTGGGACCCCAGATTCCCTCCTGGAAACCTAAAATTCCTCCTGGAACCCCAAAATTCCCCCCTGGACCCCTGAAATTCCCTCTCAAATCCCAAAAATTCCTGCTGGGACCCCCAGATTCCCACCTGGAACCCCAAAATTCCCCCCTGGGATCCTGAAACTCCCTCCTGGGACCCCAAATTCCTGCTGGGAACTGAAATTCCAAAAATTCCCCCCTGGGACCCCAGATTCCCTCCTGGAAACCTGAAATTTCTCCTGGGACCCCAAAATTCCCCCCTGGAGCCCCAAAATTCCCTTCTGGAACCCAAAATTACCTCTCAAATCCCAAAATTCCCTTCTGGACCCCTGAAATTCCCTCTCAAATCCCAAAAATTTCCTCCTGGAACCCCAAAATTCCCCCCTGGGATCCTGAAATTCCTCCTGGCACTCCCAAATTCCCTCCTGGAACCCCGAATTTCCCAAAAATTCCCTCCCAAACCCCAAAAATTCCCTCTCCCATCCCCAGCCTCCCCCGGGGGGGTCCCCAAACCCGCCTGTGACCCCCCAAAAACCCCCAAAACCCCCCAACCCCGCAGGCATCGACCTGGCGGAGCTGGGCTCGCTGCTGGCGGCGCTGCCGGCGCAGGACGCGGCGCGTCGGGCCTGGGCCCTGCGGCGCCACATCCGGGAATTCCAGGAGAGCTTCTCGGCCATGGAGCGGGTGGGCACGGACCCCCAAACCCCAAAACCGGCATGGGGTCCCCTAAAATCTGGCCTGAGCCCCTAAAACCCGGCCTGACCCCCAAAAACTGGGCCTGACCCCACAAAACCTGACCTGACCCCCTAAAACCCGGCCTGACCCCCTAAAATCCAGCCTGACCCCACAAAACCCGGCCTGACCCCCTAAAATCCTCCTGACCCCACAAAACCCGGCCTAAGCCCCTAAAATCCATCCTGACCCCCTAAATCCCGGCCTGACCCCCTAAAACCTGGCCTGACCCCCTAAAATCTGCCCTGAGCCCCTAAAACCCGGCCTGACCCCACAAAACCCGGCCTGACCCCACAAAACCCGGCCTGACCCCCCAAAATCCGCTCTGACCCCCCAAAATCCGCTCTGACCCCCCAAAATCCGGCCTGAGCCCCTAAAACCTGCCATGGTTCCCTAAAACTCGGCCTGACCCCACAAATACCCCCTGACCCCCCCAAAACCCCCCTGACCCCCCAAAATCCCGTAGTGCCCCAAACCCACCCTGACCCCACAAAACCTCCGGCGACCCCCCAAAATCCGCTCTGACCCCCCAAAACCCCGCAGTGCCCCAAACCCGTGATCGCCGCCGTGCACGGGCCCTGCATCGGAGCGGGTGAGGGGTTTGGGATTTGGGGTTTGGGGTTTGGGATTTGGGGTTTGGGGTTTGGGGTTTGGGATTTGGGGTTTGGGGTTTGGGATTTGGGGTTTGGGGTTTGGGGTTTGGGATTTGGGATTTGGGGTTTGGGGTTTGGGATTTGGGGTAAAGATGAGGATGAGGAGGATGAAGATGAGGAGGATGATGATGAAGGCTCCCTCCCCCAGGCGTGGATCTGATCTCGGCCTGTGACATTCGCTTCTGCTCCCAGGACGCCTATTTCCAGGTCAAGGTGGGACACGGGGGGACCCCGGGACCCCCAAATGTCCCCCCAGTATCCCCCCAGTATCCCCCAGTATCCCCCCAGTATCCCCCAGTGTCCCCCAGTGCCCCCCAGTGCCCCCCAGTGCCCCCCAGTATCCCCCAGTGTCCCCCCAGTGCCCCCCAGTCCCTCCCAGTGCCCCCCAGTATCCCCCAGTGCCCCCCCAGTGTCCCCCAGTATCCCCCCAGTGTCCCCAGTGCCCCCCAGTATCCCCCAGTGTCCCCCCAGTATCCCCCAGTATCCCCCCAGTGCCCCCCAGTGCCCCCCCAGTATCCCCCAGTATCCCCCCAGTATCCCCCAGTATCCCCCAGTCCCCCCCAGTGTCCCCAGTGCCCCCCAGTATCCCCCCAGTGTCCCCCAGTATCCCCCCAGTATCCCCCCAGTGTCCCCCAGTGTCCCCCAGTGTCCCCAGTGTCCCCAATGTCCCCTCAGGAGGTGGACATGGGGCTGGCGGCCGACGTGGGGACCCTTCAGCGCCTCCCCAAAATCGTGGGGAGCCAGAGGTGGGTGAGGGGCACCCCCGGTGTCCCCAAATGTCCCCAAATGTCCCAAATGTCCGTCCAATGTCCCCAAACCCCCCAATGTCCCCAATACCCACTGATGTCCCCAATGTCCCAAATGTCCCCCCAATACCCCAAATCCCCCCAATCCCCCCACGATGTCCCCAATGTCCCCTTGATGTCCCCAACATCCCCGATGTCCCCAATCCCCCCAATGTCCCCAAATGTCCCCAATCCCCCCAAATGTCCCCCCAGTGTCCCCCAATCCCCCCAAATGTCCCAAATCCCCCCAAACCTCCCGATATCCCCGATGCCCCCAATGTCCCCAAATGTCCCCAATGCCCCCAATCCCCCAATGTCCCCCCAATATCCCCAATGTCCCAAATGTCCCTGAATGTCCCCAAATGTCCCCAATGTCCCCAATGTCCCAAATGTCCCTGAATGTCCCCAAATGTCCCCCCGGTGTCCCAAATATCCTCAGTGTCCCCCAATGTCCCCAATCCCCCCAATGTCCCCAATGTCCCTGAATGTCCCAATGTCCCCAATGTCCCCAATGTCCCCAATGTCCCCCCAATGTCCCCTCTGTCCCCGCTGTCCCCTGTCCCAGCCTGGTGAATGAATTGGCCTTCACCGCGCGCATCATGAGGGCGCCCGAGGCGCTGAGCTGCGGCCTGGTCAGGTGCGGCCCGCGGGATTTTGGGGCATTTTGGGGCATTTTGGGTGAATTTGGGTGAATTTGGGGGATTTGGGGGGATTTTAAAGGATTTTAAAGGATTTTAAGGGATTTTGGGGTGGATTTTTGGGGTAATTTTGGGGGGGATCTTGGGGGTTCTGGGAGGATTTTGGTGTGGACTTTGTGGGTTTTTAGGGGGATTTTTGGGTGAATTTTTGGGGGGATTTTGGGGGATTTTGGGTAAAATTCTGGGGCATTTTGGGGGGATTTTGGGGTGGACTTTGGTGGATTTTTGGGTGAAATTTTGCGGCATTTGGGGGAATTCTGGAGGGATTTTGGGGTGAACTTTGGGTGGATTTTTGGGTGAATTTTTGGAGGATTCTGGGGGGATTTTGGGGTGAACTTTGGGTGGATTTTTGGGGTAATTTTTGGGGGTATATTGGGGGTTTTGGGGGGGATTTTGGGGTGGACTGTGTAGATTTTTGGGGGGATTTTTGGGGATTCTGGGAGGATTTTGAGGTGGACTTTGTGTGGATTTTTGGGTGAATTTTTGGGGGGATTTTGGGGTGGACTTTGGGTGGATTTAGGATGAATTTTGGGTGCATTTTGAGTGAATTTTGGAGTGGATTTTGGGGGTACTTCGGGTGAATTTGGAGTGAATTTTTGGGATATATTTTGGGTGTGTATTTTGGGTGTAATTCGGGTGTATTTTGGCTGTATTTGGGGTTTACTTTAGGGTGTATTTGGGTGTATTCTGCCTGTGTTTGGGGTGCGTTTTGGGGTGTATTTTGGGCTGTATTTTGGGTGTACTTTAGTTGTATTTTGGGTGCGTTTCGGGGTGTATTTGGGTGTATTCTGCCTGTGTTTGTGGTGCATTTTGGGCATATTTTTGGGTGTATTTTGGATGTATTTGGGATGTATCTGGGTGTATTCTGGCTGTATTTGGGGTGCGTTTCGGGGTGTATTTTGGGTGTAATTTGGATGTATTCTGGCTGTATTTGCAGGGCATTTTGGGGTGTATCTGGGGTTTATTTTGGGGTGTATTTATGTGTATTTGGGCTGTGTTTGGGGTGCGTTTGGGGTGGTTTTGGGTGCATTGTGGCTGTGTTTGGGGTGCGTTTTGGGGTGGTTTTGGGTGTATTCTGGCTGTGTTTGGGGTGTGTTTGGGGTGCATTGTTCCTGTGTTTGGGGTGCGTTTCGGGGTGGTTTTGGGTGCATTGTGGCTGTGTTTGGGGTGCCTTTGGGTGCCTTTGGGTACCTTTGGACACCTTTGGGCACCTTTGGGTACCTTTGAGTACCTTTGGGTGCCTTTGGGCACCTTTGGGTACCTTTGAGTACCTTTGGGTGCCTTTGGGTGCCTTTGGGTGCCTTTGGGTGCCTTTGGGTGCATTGTGGCTGTGTTTGGACACCTTTGGGCACCCTTGGGCGCCCGGGGCTGACGCGGTGTCCCCAGCCGGGTGCTGCCGGACAAGGCGGCGCTGCTGGAGGTGGCGCTGGAGGTGGCCGAGGCCATCGCCGCCCGCAGCCCCGTGGCCGTGCAGGGCACCAAGGTCAACCTGCTGTACTCGCGGGACCGGCCCGTCAGCGAGGGGCTGCAGCACGTGGTGGGTGACACTGTCACTTTGTCACTGTGTCACTGTCACTGTGTCATTGTCACTGTGTCACTGTCACTGTGTCACTGTGTCACTGTGTCATTGTCACTGTCACTGTGTCACTGTCCCTGTGTCACTGTGTCACCGTGTCACTGTCACTGTGTCATTGTCACTGTCACTGTGTCACTGTGTCACTGTGTCACTGTCACTGTGTCACTGTCACTGTCACTGTGTCACTGTCACTGCGTCACTGTCACTGTGTCACTGTCACTGTGTCACTGTGTCACTGTGTCACTGTCACTGTGTCACTGTCACTGTGTCACTGTCACTGTGTCACTGTGTCACTGTCGCTGTCCCCATGTCCCTGACCATGTCCCTGTCCCTATGCCATGTCACTTTGTCACTGTGTCCCTGTCACTGTCCCCATGTCCCTGTGTCCCTGTCGCTGTCCCCAGGCCACCTGGAACATGGCCATGCTGCAGACCGAGGACATCCCCAAGTCAGTGCAGGCGGCCCTGGACAAGAAGGGACCCGAGGACGTCCCCTTTGCCAAGCTCTGATGTCACCTCAGTGCCACCAACGTCCCCGTCCCCATCTCTGGGGCCACCTCGGTGTCCCCCAATAAATTCTTTGTCCCCAAATCTCCTTGGCCTTGTCACTGAGGGGGGCCCCAAAGTGTCCCCAAGGTGCCACCAGGGCTCTGGGGTGTCCCCAAGGTGCCACCACGGTGTCCCCAAGGTGTCCCCATGGCTCTGGGGTGTCCCCAAGGTGCCACCACAGCTCTGGGGTGCCCCCAAGGTGCCACCAGGGCTCTGGGGGTGTCCCCAAGGTGCCACCACGGTGTCCCCAAGGTGCCACCACAGCTCTGGGGGGTGTCCTCAAGGTGCCACCACGGTGTCCCCAAGGTGTCCCCATGGCGCCACCACAGCCCCAAAATCCTGAGGGATCCATCCCCAAAATCCCAGGATTTATTCCCAAAATAAATCCCGAGGCTCCGACTCTCTGAAATTCCGTTTATTGGGGGGATTTTCGGGCAATTCCGGGGGGGTTTTAGGGAATTCACGGAAATTCCAGGAATTTCTGGAATTGCCGGGGCGGGAAAGGCCCCCGGGGGTCTCCAGGTGGGATTTGGGGCAGATTTGGGAGAATTTGGGGCAGATTTGGGAGGCAGCACAGAATCTCAGGGTTTTTAGGGAATTCCCAGGATTTTTTAAGGCATTCCCAGGATTTTTTTAGGGAATTCCCGTGGTTTTTTAAGGCATTCCCAGGATTTTTTAGAGAATTCCTGGGACTTTTTAGGGAATTCCCGGGACTTTTTAGGGAATTCCCGGTCACTTCTGGACCTGCTGGAGCGGGCGGTGCCCCCGGGGGTCTCCAGGAGGGATTTGGGAACGGATTTAGGGTGAATTTGGGAATGGATTTAGGGTGAATTTGGGGCAGATTTGGGAGCAGATTTGGGAACAGATTTAGGGTGAATTTAGGGTGAATTTGGGGCAGATTTAGAGTGAATTTGGGGCAGATTTGGGAACGGATTTAGGGTGAATTTGGGGCAGATTTAGGGTGAATTTAGGGTGAATTTGGGGCGGATTTAGGGTGAATTTGGGGTGAATTCGGGGTGAATTTGGGGCGGATTCGGGGCGGATTTTGGCAGCAGCAGCAGTGGGTGCTCGGCAATGCCGGATTTCCCGGGAATTCCCGTTTTTCGGGATCCGCTCACTTCTGGAAGTGCTGCAGCGGGTGCTGGGGAATGCTGATTTCCCGGGAATTCCCGTTTTTCGGGCTCACTTCTGGAAGTGCTGCAGCGGGTGCTGGGGAATGCCGGATTTCCCGGGAATTCCCGTTTTCCGGGATCACTTCTGGAAGTGCTGCAGCGGGTAGTGCTCCCCGTAGGTCTCCAGGTGCCGCTCCAGCTCCTCCCGCTGCCGCCGCAGCCTCGGGGGCATCTCCCGGTAAACGTCGGAGAAGAGGAGGCGCGGCGGCGGCTTCGGCTCCCGCTCCGCCTGCTCGAAGGCCTCCAGCACCTGCGGGGCCCAAGTCCCGGTTTTATAGCCCGAATTTCCGATTTTCCAGCCCGAATTCCTGATTTTTAACCCAATTTCCCGATTTTTCATCCGGAATTCCCGATTTTTCAGTCCGAAGTCCCGATTTTTTAACCCAATTTCCCGATTTTCCAGCCCGATTTCCCCATTTTCCACCCCAAAATCTCGATTATTTTCCACCCCAAAATCTCGATTATTTCCCACCCAAACCCCGCGGATTTTCCCCTAAACCCCCCGCGGATTTTACCCTAAAATCTCGATTATTTTCCACCCCAAAATCTCGATTATTTCCCACCCCAAACCCCGCGGATTTTCCCCCAAACCCCACGCGGATTTTACCCTAAAATCCCGATTATTTTCCACCCCAAATTCTCGATTATTTCCCACCCAAACCCCGCGGATTTTCCCCCAAACCCCGCGGATTTTCCCCCAAACCCCGCGGATTTCCCCCCAAAAAAATCTCGATTATTTTCCACCCCCAATTCTCGATTATTTTCCACCCAAACCCGCGGATTTCGCCCCAAAACGGGACCATTTTCCGCGAGCTCTTCCTCCAGTCGCGCTCCTGCCGCTCGTCCCACCACGCGCGGCGCTCCAGGAAGAGGCGCAGCCGCGAGATCGGGTGGTCCTGCTTGTCCCAATAATTCACCTCGTCCACCGAGCGGTACGCGGAGCTGTCGTCACTCGTGCTGTGGTGTCCGATTCTGGGGCGAAAAAACGGGATTTTGGGAAAAAAACCCCGAGTCTGGGGAAAAAACGGCAAAAAAATGGGGAAAATGGGGAAAAAACGGGGGTAAAATGGGCAAAATCCCATTGGAAATAAGGGAAAATCTGAGCTTTTACTGTGGTGCCTGATCCTGGGGCAAAAAAAACAGATTTTGGGAAAAAAACCTGGGGTTTGGGGAAAAAACACGAGATTTGGGGGAAAAAAATGGGGATTTGGGGCAAAAAATGGAAAAAAATGGGGTAAAATGGGGCAAAATCCCATTGGAAATATGGGAAAATCTGAGCGGTACACAGAGCTGTCGTTGCTTGTGCTGTGGTGCCCAATTCTGGGCTGAAAAAATGGGATTTTGGGAAAAAAACCTGGGGTTTGGGGAAAAATGGAAAAAAAATAGGGAAAATAGGGAAAAAAGGGGGGTAAAATGGGGAAAATGCCATTGGAAACTCATGGGAATGGGGGAAAATCAGAGCTGTCATCGCTCGTGCTGTGGTGCCCGATTCTGGGCTGAAAAAACCGGATTTTGGGAAAAAAACCCTGGGGTTTTGGAGGAAAAAGCAAAGGTTTTAGGGGGAAAAAGTGGAATTTTTGTGGGGATAAAGCAGAGTTTTTTTGGGGGAAAAAATTGAGGTTTTTTGGGGGGAAAAGCGGAGGTTTTGGGGAAATAAAAGCAGAGTTTTCTGGGGGAAAGTGGAGTTTTTTGGGGGAAAAATAGAATTTTTTGGGGGAAAAAAGTGGAGTTTTTGGTAGGAAAAGCAGATTTTTTTTTTGGGAAGAAAGCAGAATATTTTGGGGGAAAAGCAAAATATTTTGGGAAAAATGTGCAGGTTTTGGTAGGAAAAGTGGCATATTTTGGGGAAAAAAGCGGAATATTTTGGGGGAAAAGGGGTAGTTTTTAGGGGGTTCAAAAGCAGAGTATTTTTGGGGGGGAAAGCGAGGGTTTTTTTGGTAGGAAAAGCAGAATATTTTGGGGGAAAAGCAGAATATTTTGGGGGGGAAAAGCAGAGCTTTTTGAGAAACAAAAGCAGAGTTTTTGGGGAACAAAAGCAGAATTTTTAGGGGAAAAAAGCAGAGTTTTTAGTAGGAAAAGCAGAGTCTTTGGTGTAAAAAAGTGGAGTTTTTTGGGTGAAAAGGAGGAATTTTTAGGGGGTTAAAAAGCAGAGTTTTTGGGTAAAAAAGAGAAATTTTTAGGAGATTAAAATACAGACTTTTTTCACGGGAAAAAGCGGAATATTCGGGGGAAAAAAGCAGAATTTTTGGTAGGAAAAGCAGCATTTTGGGGGGAAAAAAGCGGGGTTTTTTGAGGAAAAAAGGGGAATATTTCGGGGACTCAAAGGAGAGTTTTCCGGGAAGGGAAGGCGGAGTTTTTGGGGCGAAAAGCGGCGGTTTTGGCGCACCGGTAGGTCATGGCCTCGATGAGGAAGGGCTGGTTCTCGGCCACGGCGCGGCGCCGCGCCTCCCGCGTGGCGTTGAACACGGCGAAGACGTCGTTGCCGTCCACGCGGATCGACAGCAGCCCGTAGCCGGGACCCCGCGCCGCTGCGGAACGGGAACGGGATGGGGGAAAATTCCGGGATTTGGGGGGAAAATACGGGGTTTGGGGGGAAAAATACGGGATTTGGGGGGGAAAATACGGGATTTGGGGGGAAAATACGGGATTTGGGGGGAAAAGAATGGGATTTGGGGAGTGGGGAAATGGGATTTGGGGGGGGGAAATGGGATTTGGGGGAAAAAATCCAGGATTTGGAGGGGAAAAAATGAGATTTGGGGGAAATAATCCAGGATTTGGGGGGGAAAAATGGGATTTGGGAAAAAAAAAACCCCAAAAACCCCCAAAAACCCCCAAAAACCCCCAAAACCCCCAAAACCCCCCAAATCCGGCTCCTCACCGATGCTGTCACCGCGGTACTGCCCCAAATTCCCCCCATAAAGCCCTATAAACCTCCCTAAAGATCCACCAAAAAATCCCAAAGAAATTTAAAAAAAATCCCAAAAAAATCCCAAAAAAATCCCAAAAAAACCCCAAAAAAAATCCCAAAAAACCCCCAAAAAAATCCCAAAAATCCCCAAATCCCCAAAACTCCCCAAAACCCCTAAATGTCACTGTGGTACTGCCCCAAATTCCCTCTAAAAACAGCTATAAAACCCCCCAAAACATCCCTGAAAAAACCTAAAAAAATCAGAAAAAATCCCATAAAGCCCCCCAAAAAAAACCCCAAAAACCCCGAAACCGCCCCAAATTTTGTTCCTCACCGATGCCGTCGCCGCGGTACTGCTCGGCGGTGGGCGTGGAGATGGCGTAGCCGTTGTTGCGGCAGAAGAAGACGATGGGACACTCCAAGGTGGCGGCGAAGTTGAACCCGGCGTGAGCGTCGCCCTCGCTGGCCGCCCCCTCCCCGAAATAACAGACCACGGCCCGGCTGGCGTCCGCGCGCTTGATGGCGTAGGCAGCGCCCACCGCTGGGGTTTTGGGGGAAAAACGGGGGGAAACGGGAAAAATGGGAGTTTGGGGGAAAAAATGGGAATTTTGGGAAAAAAACGGGAAAAAATCGGGAATAAAAAGGGATTATTGGGAAAAAATCGGGATTTTTGCAAAAAAATTGGGAAAACATTGGGGAAAAAAAGGATTTTTGGGAAAAATTGGGAAAAAAAGAGGGATTTTGGGGAAAAAATTGGGAATTTTGGAAAAAAATTGGGAAAAAAACGGATTTTTGGGAAAAAACCAGGAATTTGGGGGAAAAATTGAGAAAAAAATGTGGAGAAAAGGATTTTTGGGAAAAATTGGGAAAAAATAGGGGAAAAAAGGGATTTTTGGGAAAAAAAAGGGATTTTTCTGAAAAAATTGGGGGAAAAAATGGGAAAAAAGGGATTTTGGGAAAAAAAATGGGATTTTGGGGAAAAAATTGGGAAAAAATTGGGGGAAAAAGGGATTATCGGGAAAAAATTGGGAATAAATTGGGAAATGAAAGGGATTTTCAGGAAAAAATTGGAGAAAAATGGATTTTTGGGGAAAAAATGGGACTTTAGGGAAGAAATTGCGAAAAAAAAAAGGTTTTTGGGAAAAAAATTGGAAAAAAATGGAAAAGAAAAGGGATTTTTGGGAAAAAAATAGGGAAAAAATGGGAAATTTGGGAAAGGGATCTGGGGGGGAAAAGGGTTTGGGGAGAAAACGGGAGTTTGGGGGGAAAGGGGCGGGGCCGGGTGCCCAGGTGCGTGTCCCGGCGCCCAGGTGCGCTCACCTTGCGGGATCTGCGTGGCCAGCGGGGAGGAGATGGTGACGAAGTGCCGCTCGGCGCAGCCGTAGTGCACCGGCATCTGCCGGCCCTTGCCGGGGTCGCGCGCGTTGCCGTAGCACTGAGCCATGAACAGCTCCAGCGGGTACCCGCGGTACAGCAGCACACCTGGGCACACCTGGGTTACACCTGGGGTACAGCTGGGCACGCCCAGGGTACACCTGGGGTACACCTGGGGGCACCTGGGGACACCTGGGGTACAGCTGGGTTACACCTGGGCACACCTGGGCACACCTGGGCACGCCCGGGCACACCTGGGGACACCTGGGCACAGCTGGGCATGCCTGGGGTACACCTGGGCACACCGGGCATACACCTGGGCTACAGCTGGGCACACCTGGGTTACACCTGGGGTACACCTGGGCACACCTGGGCACACCTGGGCACACCTGGGCTACACCTGGGATACACCTGGGATACACCTGGGGCACATCTGTGCCTCACTTGTGCCTCACCTGTCCCATCCACACTTCACCTGCCCCTCACCTGTCCCCACCTGTCCCTCACCTGTCCTTCTGTCCCTCACCTGTCCCTCTGTCCCTCACCTGTCCCACCTGTCCCTCTGCCCCTCACCTGTCCTTCTGTCCCTCTGCCCCTCACCTGTCCCTCTGCCCCTCACCTGTCCCACCTGTCCTGCCTGCCCCTCACCTGTCCCTCACCTGTCCCCACCTGTCCCCACCTGTCCCTCACCTGTCCCTCTGTCCCTCACCTGTCCCACCTGTCCCTGTGTCCCTCACCTGTCCCACCTGTCCCTCACCTGCCTCCCGGTACTGCCCGAAGACGAGGTCGTTGGGGTCGAGGGCGGCGGCGCTGCCCACGTGCGTCCCCTCCTCGCCGTAGTTGGTCATGTAGAATGAGATCCGGCCCTGCGGGCGGCGCCAGGTGAGCTCAGGTGGGCACAGGTGGGCACAGGTGGGCACACAGGTGGGCACAGGTGGGCACACAGGTGGGCACAGGTGGGCACACAGGTGGGCACACAGGTGGGCACAGGTGGGCACACAGGTGGGCACAGGTGGGCACACAGGTGGGCACACAGGTGGGCACTGGCCGTACCTGGCGCTGGGACTCGTAGAGGATCCGGTCCATGGTGTTGAGCAGAGTCATGGTCCGGTAGAGCTTCAGCACCTCCTCCTTGGGCAGCTGCGGGACAGGTGGGCACAGGTGTGGGCACCTGGGCAGGTGTGGGCACCTGGGCACCTGGGCAGGTGTGGGCAGGTGTGGGCATCTGGGCAGGTGTGGGCACCTGGGCACCTGGGCAGGTGTGGCACCTGGGCAGGTGTGGGCACCTGGGCACCTGGGCAGGTGTGGGCAGGTGTGGGCACCCGGGCAGGTGTGGGCAGGTGTGGGCACCTGGGCAGGTGTGGGCAGGTGTGGGCACCCGGGCAGGTGTGGGCAGGTGTGGGCACCTGGGCAGGTGTGGGCAGGTGTGGCACCTGGGCAGGTGTGGGCACCTGGGTACCTGGGCAGGTGTGGGCACCTGGGCAAGCATGGCACTGGGCAGGTGTGTTACCTGTGCCAGGTGCGCCAGGTGTGTGTGTTGCCTGTGCCATGTGTGTGTGTCACCTGTGCCATGTGTGTGTTACCTGTGCCAGGCGTGTTACCTGTGCCAGGTGTGCTCACCTGGGGGTCCTCGCTGGCGCGCAGCACCTGGCCCTGCCGGTCCATCACGCGGTACACCGGGATGGGTGTGCCAGGTGTGTGTGTTACCTGTGCCAGGTGTGTTACCTGTGCCAGGTGTGCCAGGTGTGCTCACCTGGGGGTCCTCGCTGGCGCGCAGCACCTGGCCCTGCCGGTCCATCACGCGGTACACCGGGATCCCGGCCAGCACCTGGGGCTGGATGAACTCCAGGTGATCCGAGAAGGCGGCCGAGGCGCCCGGGAACTGCGGCCGCTCCTCGGGGGACTCCTGGGGACACCGGGGACACCGGGGGGACACCGGGGTCACATCGGGGGGACACCAGGGTCACACAGGGGTCACACAGGGGTCACACAGGGGTCACAGGGACACTGGGCACTCCTGGGGACAATGGGGCGGCACCACGGGTCCCGAAAGGGACACCAGGGTGGCATCAGGACACGGGGACATCAGGGATGGCACCAGGATGGGGACACCGGGACAGGACACCAGGCAGGGCCACCGTGTCCCCTCCCTGTCCCCTCTTTTTGTCCCCTCCCTGTCCTCTCCCTGTCCCCTCCCTGTCCCCCATCTGTCCCCTCCCTGTCCCCCCTTTTTGTCCCCTCATTGTCCCCACTCTGTCCCCCCTTTTTGTCCCCTCATTGTCCCCACTCTGTCCCCCCTCTGTCCCTTCCCTGTCCCCCCTTTTTGTCCCCTCCCTGTCCCCTCTCTGTCCCCCCATTGTCCCCTCTCTGTCCCCCCTCCCTGTCCCCGTTTTTGTCCCCGTTTGTCCCGGTTTGTCCCCTCTGTCCCCGCTCACGGCCGTGCCCCGGAGCCGCCTCGGGACGAGCCCCGGGAGGCGCCGCCGCCACCGCAGCGCCCTCAGCGCCGCCATCTTGTCCGGGGGGGCGTGGCCTCGCTCTGATTGGTCGAGCCGGGGGGGTGTGGAGGTTTAGCCACGCCTCCTAAACGACCGCGTGGCCACGCCCACATCGCCGTATTTGCATATTCCGCATTGGCCACGCCCCTTAAATTACCATAAAGCAATATGGGATTGCCACGCCTACTAATTACCATATAATGGGATTCTGGATTGCCACGCCTACAAATTACCATATAAGGGTGTGGCGGTGATGGCCACGCCCCTTGAGTGACATTGGAGGGGGGGTCTCGTTCTGACCCGCCCCCTCCCCAAATCCCCCTCCCAAATTCCCCAAATCCACGCCCCAAAATTCCCCCCAAATTTCCCAAATCCCCTCTCCTGAAAATTCCCCCCACCCCAAATCCCCCCTTCCCCCTCCCCAAATCCCTCCCCAAATCCCCCTCCCCAAATTCCCCAAATCCCCCTCCCCAAATTCCCCAAAATCCCCCCCCAGACACTGACACGGGGAGGGGGGTCCCGAGGTTTATTTTTGGGGAGGGGTCGGGGGGTTGGGGGGCACAGCTCGGGGCAGGAATAACTTAAAAATGGGGGAGGGGTCCTGGGGGGGAGGGGAGGGGTCCGGGGGGGCGGGGCCTATTTACAGACTGTACACGGGAGGGGAGGGGGCTGCAGTTTGGGGGTGGGGGTCCCCAAAATCTTGGCACCGGACCCCCAAAGTGCCCCCCCCCATCCCCCACCCCCCTATGGGGCCAGGGGGGTCCCAGCGCCGCTGGTCCCCAAATTTTGGGGGGTGTCGGGGGGATCCCGGGGCTGCTGAATCCTTGGGGGGCTCCTGGGGGGTCCCCCGGGCAGGTTTTGGGGGTCCCGGGGGGGTCCCAATGCAGTTTTGGGGGTCCCGGGTCTCATTCTGGGGGTTCCGTTCTGCTCCCGAGGGGGGTCCTGATCCCATTTCGGGGGTCCCAGTTCGGTTCTGGGGGTCCCGGGGGGGTCCCGATCCGGTTCTGGGGGTCCCAGTCCGGTTCTGGGGGTCCCGGTCTCATCCTGGGGGGCCGGGGGGGGGTCCTGCTCCAGTTCTGGGGGTTCTGATCCCGTTCCAGGGGTCCCATTCTGCTCCCGGGGGGGCCCGGGGGTCTCGATCCAGTTCTGGGGGGTTCCTGGTCTCGTTCTGGGGGTCTCAGGGGGGTCCTGATCCGGTTCTGGGGGTCCCAGTCCGGTTCTGGGGGTCCCGATCCAGTTCCGGGGGTCCCGGGGGGGGGGGGTCCCGGTCCCATTTTGGGGGTCCCAGTCCGGTTCTGGGGGTCCCGATGCAGTTCTGGGGGTCCCGATCCGGTTCTGGGGGTCCTGATCTGGTCCCGGGGGGGGGTCTCGGTCTCATCCTGGTGGTCCCGATCCAGTTCTGGGGGTCCCAGTCCAGTTCTGGGGGTCCCAGTCCGGTTCTGGGGGTCCCGATCCGGTCCCGGGAGGGTCCGGATCCAATTCTGGGGGGTCCCAATCCTGTTCTGGGAATCCTGGGGGGGGTCCCAGTCCCATTTTGGGGGTCCCAGTCCGGTTCTGGGGGTCCCGATCCAATTCCGGGGGTCCCCGGGGGGGATCCTGGTCGCGTTTTGGGGGTCCCAGTCCGGTTCTGGGGGTCCCGATGCAGTTCTGGGGGTCCCAATCCGGTTCCGGGGGTCCCGATCCGGTTCTGGGGGTCCCCGGGGCCGTTGCCCCGTCCCCCCCGAGGGCGGGGGAGGGGCGGCTGCCGGGGGTGGGGGAGGGGCCGTCACAGCCCCCCCCCCTCGGAGCAGCCGGGGGGCGGCTTCCGCTTGATCCCCAGGTAGATGGCGACTGTGGGGGAGGGGACAGGTGAGTTCGGGGGTCCCAGGGGGGCGGGGGGGGTCCCCCGGGGGGGGAGGGGGGAGGGGGGAGGGGCAGCACCCACCTTGTGAGCGCAGGTCCCCCGATTCCCGCAGGTTCGTCTGCGACCCTGACCCCCGAAAAAACCCTCAGGTGGCCCCAAAAATTCCACCCCAACCCCGAAAATCCCATCCCAAAAAATCCCTCAGATGGCCCCAAAAAATCCCATCCCAACCCCAAAATTCCCATCCCAAAAAATCCCTCAGATGGCCCCAAAAATCCCATCCCAAAAATCCCTCAGATACCCCCAAAATTCCATCCCAAAAAATCCCTCAGATGGCCTAAAAATACCATCCCAAAAAATCCCTCAGATAGCCCCAAAATTCCATCCCAAAAATCCCTCGGATGGCCCAAAAATTCCATCCCAAAAATCCCTCAGATGGCCCAAAAATTCCATCCCAAAAATCCCTCAGATGTCCCGAAAATTCCATCCCAAAAATCCCTCAGATGGCCCAAAAATTCCATCCCAAAAATCCCTCAGATGGCCCAAAAATTCCATCCCAAAAATCCCTCAGATGGCCCAAAAATTCCATCCCAAAAATCCCTCAGATGTCCCGAAAATAAAACCCTAAAAAATCCCAATCCAAAAATCCCCAGATCCTAAAAAAATCCCATCCCAAAAATCCCCCGGATGTCCCAAAAAATTCCATCCCAAAAACCCAAAAAATCCCCAAAAATTTCCCCCCAAAAAATCCCCCAGCCCCAAAATCCCCCCGACAAGCCCTGGGAACACTGGGACAGGTGACACAGGTGTGCCCAGGTGCGTCCCAGGTGTGCCCAGGTGTCCCCAGGTGCCCCCCAGTTGTGCCCAGGTGTGCCCAGGTGTCCCCAGGTGTCCCCCAGGTGCCCCCCAGGTGTGCCCAGGTGTGCCCAGGTGTTCCCAGGTGTCCCCCAGGTGTGCCCAGGTGTCCCCCAGGTGTGTCCCAGGTGCCCCCAGGTGTGCCCAGGTGGTCCCAGGTGTCCCCCAGGTGTGTCCCAGGTGTCCCCCAGGTGTCCCCCAGGTGTGTCCCAGGTGCCCCCCAGGTGTGCCCAGGTGTGCCCAGGTGTTCCCAGGTGCCCCCCAGGTGTGCCCTGGTGTGCCCAGGTGTTCCCAGGTGTGCCCAGGTGTGCCCAGGTGTTCCCAGGTGTGCCCAGGTGTCCCCCAGGTGTGTCCCAGGTGCCCCCCAGGTGTGCCCAGGTGTGCCCAGGTGCCCCCCAGGTGTGCCCAGGTGTGCCCAGGTGTGCCCAGGTGCCACTCACGGATCTTGGTGGCGCCGGGGCCGGGCGTGGCCGAGACGCAGCGATTGGAGCTCTGCCGCCGGGAGGGGTCCAGGGACACCCTGGCAGGTGGGACAGGTGAGACAGGTGAGACAGGTGGGACAGGTGACCCCCCAGGTGTGTCAGACCACCCCCAGGTGGGTTACCTGCCCCCCAGGTGCATTACCTGCCCAGGTGTGTGTGCCCGCCCAGGTGTGTTACCCCCCCAGGTGTGTGTGCCCCCCAGGTGTGTGTGCCCCCCAGGTGTGTGTGCCCCCTAGGTGCCCCCCAGGTGTGTGTGCCCCCCCAGGTGTGTTACCCCCCCAGGTGTGTGTGCCCCCCCCAGGTGTGTGTGATCCCCAGGTATGTATGACCCCCAGGTGTGTGCCCCCCCAGGTGTGTGTGCCCCCCCAGGTGTGTGTGCCCGCCCAGGTGTGTGACCCCCCCAGGTGCGTTACCTGCGGGTCAGCTTGGAGGTGATCTTGCTGAGCAGCGTGGCCGTGGGGCGGGGCCGGGGCGGGGCGGCGGCGGCGGGGCGGGGCCGGAGGGGGGGGCGAGGCGGGGGGAGGGGCGGCCCCTCCCCCACCCCCCCGGCGGCCCCCCCCGGCCCCGCCCCCCCCGTGGAAGGTGCTGCGGGCGGAGCAGCCCCGGGCCAGGTGCGCCAGGTGAGCCCCGCCCAGCGAGTGGCTGGAGGGGGAGGGCGGCGGGCGGGACGGCAGGCTGGGGGAGGGGACAGGTGAGGGACAGGTGAGACCCACGGGTGACATCACACACCCACAGGTGACCCCACAGGTGACCCCCCCCTACCCACAGGTGACCCCACCCACCCCCCCCATACCGGGACAGGCAGAGGCGGCTTTGGGGGTAATTTTGGGTGATTTTCGGGTGGATTTCGGGTGTGCCAGGTGTGGCCGCTCACCTGTCCTTGCCATTGGGCAGCAGCAGGTGCCGCTCACCTCCCGAGCACACGTAGGTGTTCCTGCGGCCCATCACGCTGGGGGGCACGTGGGGCTGCGGGGGGGGACAAACGGCGCGTCCAGGTGTGCCCAGGTAACCCCCAGGTGTGCCCAGGTGTGCCCAGGTAACCCCCAGGTGTGCCCAGGTGTGCCCAGGTGTGCTCAGGTACCCCCCAGGTGTGCCCAGGTGTGCCCAGGTACCCCCCAGGTGTGCTCAGGTACCCCCCAGGTGTGCCCAGGTACCCCCCAGGTGTGCCCAGGTGCCACTCAGGGTGTTCCCACCCCCTCAAGTGCCCTACCAGGTGTGCCCAGGTGTGCCCAGGTGTGCCCAGGTACCCCCAGGTGTGCCCAGGTACCACCCAGGTGCCCCCAGGTGTGTCCAGCTGCCCGCCCAGGTGCCCCCCAGGTGTGCCAGGTGTGTGCCCAGGTGTGCCCAGGTGTGCCCAGATGCCCCAGCTACCCGCCAGGTGCCCCCAGGTGCCCCCAGGTGTCCCAGGTGTGTGCCCAGGTGTGCCCAGGTGTGCCCAGGTGTGCCCAGGTGTGCCAGGTGTACCCACCGCTCCCTCCAGGTGCCGCTCGGGGATCTCGGCCTTGTTGGGGTTGTGGGCGTGGCTGACCAGGGGGGAGGGGGGCGGGGCGGCCCCGCCCCCTCGCCCCGCCCCCCCGGGCCCAGGCCCCGCCCCCCCGGGGCCGCCGCCGCTGCCGCGCCGGGACGAGGCCACGCCCACTCCCGCCGAGGCCACGCCCCCTTCCCGCAGCTCGGCCGGGGGGGCGGGGCCGGGGGGGCTGCGGCGGGGCGGGGCCGCCGAGGGGGCGGGGCCACCTGCGGGGTCACGGAGAGGTCACGGAGAGGTCACGAGGGGGTCACGGGGGAGGGGACACCAGTGCCCCCCAGTATCCCCCCAGTGCCCCCCCAGTATCCCCCAGTGTCCCCCAGTGTCCCCCCAGTATCCCCCAGTGTCCCCCCAGTATCCCCCAGTGTCCCCAGTGTCCCCAGTGTCCCCCAGTGTCCCCCCAGTGTCCCCCCAGTGTCCCCCAGTGTCCCCCAGTATCCCCCAGTGCCCCCCAGTGTCCCCCAGTATCCCCCAGTGCCCCCCCAGTGCCCCCCCAGTATCCCCCAGTGCCCCCCAGTGTCCCCCAGTATCCCCCCAGTATGCCCCAGTGTCCCCCAGTGCCCCCCAGTATCCCCCCAGTATCCCCCAGTATCCCCCAGTGCCCCCCCAGTGCCCCCCCAGTATCCCCCAGTATGCCCCAGTGTCCCCCAGTGCCCCCCAGTATCCCCCAGTATGCCCCAGTGCCCCCCCAGTATCCCCCAGTATGCCCCAGTGCCCCCCCAGTATCCCCCAGTATCCCCCCAGTATCCCCCAGTATCCCCCCAGTGCCCCCCCAGTATGCCCCAGTGTCCCCCAGTGCCCCCCCAGTATCCCCCAGTGCCCCCCCAGTGCCCCCCCAATGTCCCCCAGTATCCCCCAGTGCCCCCCAGTATCCTCCAGTGCCCCCCAATGTCCCCAGTGTCCCCGCTGTCACTCACAGAAGTTGCTGTGTCCCCCAATGTCCCCAATGCCACCCCAATGTCCCCAGTGCCACCCCGCTGTCACTCACAGAAGTCGCTGTGCCGCCGCTGCCGGTGGTGGCCGGCCCCGCGCTGTCCCCGGCCGTGTGTCCCCGATGTCCCCGACTTGGTGGTGGCACCGTTGGGAGCCTCGGCCGGGCCCCGGGGCCGTGACAGCGACAGGGACGGGCCCGTGCCACCCTCGGGCTGCCATTGTCACCGGGGTCACAGGGTCACCAGGGTCATAGGGTCACCATTGTCACCAGGGTCACAGTGTCACCAGGGTCATAGGGTCACCATTGTCACCAGGGTCACAGTGTCACCAGGGTCACAGGGTCACCATTGTCACCAATGTCCCCAAATGTCCCCCCCAATGTCCCCAATCCCAATGTTCCCAGTGTCCCCAATCCCCTCAATGTCCCGAATGTCCTGAATGTCCCCAATCCCCCCCAATGTCCCCGATGTCCCCGATGTCACCCACCTCTCCCCGCCGGCCCAGCAGCAGGTAGGTGGCCGTCACCTCGTTGTACTTGTGGGTGCTCAGCGCCTCCTTGATCTCCTCCCTGGTGTAGCCCATGCCCACCATCACCTCTGCCAGGGGACAGCGCGGTGTCACCGGTGTCACCGGTGTCACCCGGTGTCCCCAGGTGTCCCCAGGTGTCCCCGGGTGTCCCTCACCGATGCGTTTGGTGTCCCCAAAGTCCTCCTGGGGCTCCGTGTAGGGCATCAGCTCGTCGCCCTCGTAGCCGATGTTGATCCATTTGTCCTTCATGATTTGCTGGGGGGTGACACGGGGACGTTGGGGGACATTGGGGGGACATTGAGGACATCGGGGGACATTGGGGACATCAGGGACATCAGGGGGACACGGGGATATGGGTGGCAGAGGGGTGACAGCGTGGCAAAAGGGGGACATGGGACACCCCCAGAGCCCTTCAGGACCTCCCAGAACCCCTGAGACCCCTTAAAACTGACCCAAAAGTGACCCAAAACCCCTCAAAACCACCCCAAAACCCCTCCCAGAACACCTGAGACACCTTAAAAATGACCCAAAACCCCCCAAAACCACCCCAAAACCCCTCAGAACTGCCCCAAAACTCCTCAAACCTCCACTAGGGCCCCCAAAACCTCTCAAAACCACCCCAAACCCCTCTCAGAACCCCTGAGACCCCCCAGCACCACCCCAAACCCCCCCAAAGCCACCCCAAAGCCCTGTCAGGACCCCACAACCCCTGTCAGGACCCCACAACCCCTGTCAGGACCCCCTAAACCCCTGTCAGGACCCCCCAAAGCTGCCCCAAAACCCCCCAAAACCTCCCCAAACCGCCCCCAAACCCCCTCAGAGCCCTGTCAGGACCCCCCAAAACCGCCCCAAACCCCCTCAAAGCCGCTCCAAACCCCCTCTGACCCTCCCCAAACCCCCTCTGACCCTCTCCAAACCACCCCCAAACCCCCTCTGACCCTCCCCAAACCACCCCCAAGCCCCCCCAGGACCCCCAGGCCCCCCAGACCTCGAGGGTGCAGCGCTTGGCGGGGTTGAGCACCAGGAAGCGGCGCAGGATGTTCTCGCAGTCCGTGGACATGTAGAAGGGCACGCGGTACTTGCCCCGCAGGACGCGCTCCCGCAGCTCCTGGGGGGGTCACGGGGTCACCCGGGGTCACCGGGGTCACCGGGGGTCAGCGGGGGTCAGCTGGGGTCAGTGGGGGTCAGCTGGGGTCAGCTGGGGTCAGGGGATTTGGGGCAGGGGGCACACGGGGGACACACAGAGGAGGGGACGCGGGAGTGGCCCTGGGGCTCCTGGAGGGGACAAAGGGGACAGGAGGTGACCACAGGTACCAGGAGATGACCACAGGTGACCACAGGTACCAGCAGATGACCACAGGTGACCACAGGTGACCACAGGTGACCAGTGGCACCGGTCACCTCCAGGCCACGCCCACCAGAGTGACCACTGACCGGCTGACCCCTGTGGGGAGCTCAGGGGTCACAGGGGGTGGCCAAGGAGGGTCAGGGCCGAGTGACCGGGCAGTGACCGCAGGTGACCGGGAGGTGACCACAGGTGACCGGGAGGTGTCCGAGTGGTACCAGGAGATGACCACAGGTACTGGGAGGTGACCAGAGGTACCGGGAGGTGACCAGACGGTACCAGGAGGTGACCACAGGTGACCGGGAGGTGTCTGAGTGGTACCGGGATGTGACCGGGCGGTACTGGGAGGTGACCGGGAGGTGACCGGGCGGTACTGGGAGGTGACCAGGCGGCACCCAGAGGTGACCACAGCTGTCCGAGCGGTCACCTTGAGGTTGTGGCCGTCGAAGGGCAGCGAGCCGCTGACCAGCGTGTAGAGGATGACCCCCAGGCTCCAGATGTCCACCTCGGGCCCGTCGTACTTCTTGCCCTGGAAGAGCTCGGGGGCGGCGTACGGGGGCGAGCCGCAGAACGTGTCCAGCTTGGAGCCCCGCGAGAACTCGTTGCTGAAGCCAAAATCCGCGATCTTGATGTTGGCGTCGGCGTCCAGCAGCAGGTTCTCGGCCTGGGGACACGGGGACAAGGACACTGTCACTGGGATGGGGACACTGGGATGGGGATGGGGACACTGGGACAAGGACACTGTCACTGGGATGGGGACACTGGGATGGGGATGGGGACACTGGGACAAGGACACTGTCACTGGGATGGGGACACTGGGACAAGGACAGGGACACTGGGATGGGCACAGGGACACTGGGATGGGGACACTGGGATGGGATCCCAATGTTGGTGTTGGTGTCCAGCAGCAGGTTCTCGGCCTGGGGACACGGGGACAAGGACACTGTCATTGGGATGGGGACACTGGGATGGGGACACTGGGACAAGGATGCTGTCACTGGGATGGGGACACGGGGACAAGGACAATGTCACTGGGATGGGGACATGGGGACAGGGACACTGTCACTGGGATGGGGACACTGGGATGGGGACACGGGGACAAGGACACTGTCACTGGGATGGGGACACTGGGATGGGGACAGGGACACTGGGATGGGGACACGGGGACAAGGACGGGGACACTGGGATGGGATCCCAATGTTGGTGTTGGTGTCCAGCATCAGGTTCTCGGCCTGGGGACATGGGGACAAGGACACTGTCACTGGGATGGGGACACGGGGACAAGGACGGGGACACTGGGATGGGGACATGGGGACAAGGACATTGTCACTGGGATGGGGACACTGGGATGGGGACACGGGGACAAGAACATTGTCACTGGAATGGGGACACTGGGATGGGGACAGGGACACCAGGATGGGGACATCAGGACGGACACGGGGACACCAGAAGGGACACAGGGACACCGAGAAGGACACGGGGACCTCCCCACCACCCCCGTGGTGCCACCCCCGTGTCCCCACCCCGCCGTGTCCCCGTGTCCCACCTTGAGGTCCCTGTGCACAATGTTCTTCTGGTGGCAGTAGTGCACGGCCGAGACAATCTGGGGACAGCGGTGGCATTGGCACCGAGGGTCCCCAACACCCCCCAGGTGTCCCCAAACCCCCCTGGATGTCCCCAAAATGTCCCCAACACCCCCCAGGTGTCCCCAAAACGTCCCCAAGCCCCCCCAGGTGTCCCCAAATTATCCCCAGACCCCTCCCAGGTGTCCCCAAACCCCTCCAAGATGTCCCCAAACCACTCCCAGGTGTTCCCAACCGCCCCCCAGATGTCCCCAAACCCCCCCTGAATGTCCCCAAAGCCCCCCAGGTGTCCCCAAACCCCTCCCAGGTGTCCCCAAATTGTCCCCAAGCCCCCCCAGGTGTCCCCAGATTGTCTCCGAGCCCCCCCAGGTGTCCCCAAAATGCCCCCCCAGGTGTCCCCAAACCCCCCCAAAATGTCCCCAAATTGTCCCCAGGTGTCCCCAAACCCCCCCAAAATTGTCCCCAGGTGTCCCCAAACCCCCCCAAAATGTCCCCAAATTGTCCCCAGGTGTCCCCAAACCCCCCCAAAATTGTCCCCAGGTGTCCCCAAACCCCCCCAAAATGTCCCCAAATTGTCCCCAGGTGTCCCCAAACCCCCCCAAAATGTCCCCAAATTGTCCCCAGGTGTCCCCAGGCCCCCCCAGGTGTCCCCACCTGTCTGAACTTGGCCCTCGCCTCCTTCTCCTTCATCCTCCCGTGGGACACCAGGTAATCGAACACCTCACCTGGGGGGGCACAGCTGGCTCCAAATCCCCAAAATTCCACCCAAAATATCCCAAAAAAACCCACAAAATCCACCCAAAAAAACCCCAAAATTCCACCCAAAATATCCCGAAAAACCCCACAAAATCCCCAAAAAAAATCCCCCCAAAAAATTCCCAAAAATGCACCCAAAAAATCCCCAAAATCCAACCAAAAATCCCCAAACTTCTGCCCAAAAAAATCCCAAAAATCCCACAAAATACCCCCCAAAAATCCAACCAAAAATCCCCAAATTCCACCCAAAAAAATCTCCAAAATCCACCAAAAATCCACACCTGGCTCAGGCACAGCCCAGGTGTACTTTGGGTGCCCCCAGGTATATTTTGAGTGTGCCCAGGTGTATTTTGGGTGTGCCCAGGTGTATTTTGGGTGCCCCCAGGTGTGTCCAGATGTGCCCAGGTGCCCCCAGGTGTGCCCAGGTGTACTTTGGGTGCCCCCAGGTGTATTTTGGTTGTGCCCAGGTGTATTTTGGGTGCCCCAGGAGCCCCCAGGTGTGCCCAGGTGTGCCCAGGTGTATTTTGGGTGCCCCAGGTGTGCCCAGGTGTATTTTGGGTGCCCCCAGGTGCCCCCAGGTGTGCCCAGGTGTGCCCACCTGCGCTGGCGTACTCCATGACCAGGTACAGCGTCTTCTCCGTCTCGATCACCTCAAACAGCTTCACTGGGGGGGGGTCAGCGCCGACCCCTCCCCAAATTCCAGACCCCTCCCCAAATTCGGGACCCCTCCCCAAAATGGGGACCCCTCCCTACCCCTGAGACCCCTCCCCATTTCCAAGACCCTCTCCCCATTTCCAAGACCCTCTCCCCATTTTGGAGACCCCTCCCCATTTTGGGGACCCCTCCCCACCCCCGAGACCCCTCCCCATTTCCAAGACCCTCTCCCCATTTTGGGGACCCCTCCCCATTTCGGGGACCCCTCCCCACCCCCGAGACCACTCCCCATTTCCAAGACCCTCTCCATATTTTGGGGACCCCTCCCCATTTCTGGGACCCCTCCCCATTTCGGGGACCCCTCCCCACCCCCGAGACCCCTCCCCAATTCGGGCCCCCCCTCACCGATGTTGGGGTGGTTCAGCCCCTTCATGATCCGAACTTCCCGAAACAGCTGAGGGGGGAAAGGGGTCAGTGGGGGGAGGTGGAGACCCCTCCCCAATTTGGGGACCCCTCCCCCATGTGGGGACCCCTCCCCAAAGCGGGGGGAGCCCCCCGGGACCCCTCCCCACCTTCTGCAGGCTGGTGGGGTTCAGCTGCGTCTTGTCGATGATTTTGATGGCGACCTGAAAAATGGGGAGGGGGCGCTCAGGGGACCCCCCCCAAATTTACCTGGGACCCCCAAACTCACCTGGGACCCCTCCCAGCTCCTTATGGGACCCCAATTTCCCCCCGAGCCCCCTCCCCAGAACCCCAAACTCCCTCCCACCACCCCAAACCACCCCCAGACCCCCTCCCCAAATCCCTGAGCCCCCTCCCACCACCCCAAATCACCCCAAATCCCCCTCCCACCACCCCAAACCACCCCCAAACCCCCTCCCCAAATCCCTGAGCCCCCTCCCATCACCCTAAGCCACCCTGTAACCCCCTCCCCAAATCCCAAACCACCCCGAAACCCCCTCCCACCGCCCCGAACCCCCCCCAAATCACCCCCAAACCAGCCCCAAACCCCCTCCCACCGCCCCAAATCACCCCAAACCCCCTCCCACCACCTCAAACCACCCCCAAATCCCCCTCCCATCACCCTGAATCACCCCAAACCACCCCCAAAGCCCCCCCCAAACCCCCTCCCCAAATCCCAAGCCACCCCGTAACCCCCTCCCACCGCCCCGAACCCCCCCGAATCACCCCTGAACCAGCCCCAAACCCCCTCCCACCACCCCAAATCACCCCCAAACCCCCTCCCACCACCCCGAACCCCCCAAACCACCCCCAAACCCCCTCCCATCACCCTGAATCACCCCAAATCACCCCTGAACCACCCCCAAGCCTCATCCCACCTCCCCAAATCACCCCCAAAGCTCCCCCAAACCCCCTCCCATCACCCCCGAACTCCCTCCCACCACCCCAAATCACCCCAAAGCCCCCCCAAACCCCCTCCCCAAATCCCAAAGCCCCTCCCCAGCCCCCCGCGCACCTCTCGGCCGGTCAGCACGTGCCGGGCCAGTTTGACCTTGGCGAAGTTGCCTTTGCCGATGGTTTTCAGCAGCCGGTAATTCCCCACGTGCGGCGGCTCCTCCGCCCCCAGCGAGTTCCGGCCCCGGGCGGGGCCCAGCGACCCCCGGCCCGGGCCCGCCCCCGCCGGGGGGCCCTTCTCGGGCCGGGCCGCGCCCCCCGGGGCCGCCAGCTGGGGAGGGGGAGACCCCAGACTCAATTGGGGGGGCACCCCAGTAACACACTCCAATTATAGCAGTGAGACCCCGCCCGAGTTACAGCAGTGAGACCCCAGACTCAATTAGAGCAGCGAGACCCCGGATTCAATTAGAGCAGTGAGACCCCCGCCCCAGTTATAGCAGGGAGACCCCAGACTCAATTGGGGGGGCACCCCTGAGACCCCCCTGACTATCACAGGGAGACCCCAGACTCAATTAGAGCACTGAGACCCCAGACTCAATTGGGGCAGTGAGACCCCCACCCCAGTTATAGCACTGAGACCCCCACCCCAGTTACAGCACTGAGACCCCAGACTCAATTGGGGGGGCACCCCTGAGACCCCCATCCCAGTTACAGCACTGAGACCCCAGAGTCAATTACAGCAGTGAGACCCCAGACTCAACTGGGGGGGCACCCCAGAGACCCCCACCCCAGTTATAGCACTGAGACCCCAGACTCAATTGGGGGGGCACCCCTGAGACCCCCCTGACTATCACAGGGAGACCCCAGACTCAATTGGGGGGGCAACCCCGAGACTCCCATCCCAGTTATAGCAGTGAGACCCCAGACTCAATTACAGCAGTGAGACCCCAGACTCAATTGGGGGGAGCACCCCTGAGACCCCCACCCCAGTTACAGCAGTGAGACCCCAGACTCAATTAGAGCAGTGAGACCCCCGCCCCAGTTATAGTAGTGAGACCCCAGACTCAATTGGGGGGGCACCCAGAACCACGCCCCAGTTATAACAGTGAGACCCCAGACTCAACTGGGGGGGCGCACCCCAGACCCCCGCCCCAATTATCCCACTGAGACCCCCACCCAAATTGTGGGGTCAGCCCTGAGACCCTCCTGATTATCCCAGGGAGACCCCCGCCCCAAATAACACCGAGAGACCCCCACCAAAATTGTGGGGTCAGCCTTGAAAACCCCCCTAAAATATCAGTGAGACCCCAGACTCAATTGTGGGGTCACCCCTGAGACCCCCCACCCCACAATATTACAGGGAGACCCCCCCCCCTAATTATAACGGGGAGACCCCCACTCAAACTATGGGGTCACCCTTGAATGCCCCCCTAAAATAACACAGGGAGACCCCCGCCCCAATTACGGCAGGGGTGAGACCCCCCCCAGAAACTGCCCGGGACCCCTCCCCAAAAACCCCAAACCCCCCAAAACCCTCAAGATCCCTCCCGAAAAACCCCAAACCCCCCAAAATCCCCCGAGACCCCTCCCCAAAACCCCCAACCCCCCCAAAACGCCGAGACTCCTCCTCAAACCCCCCAAAATCCCCCGAGACCCCTCCCCAAAAACACCAACCCCTCCCGGTTCCTCCCGGTGTCCCCCAAACCCCTCCCGGTTCTCCCCAAACCCCTCCCGGTACCAGCCCAGCCCCTCCCGGTAACCCCGGTCCCTCTCGGATCCCTTCCCGGTTACCCCCAAACCCCTCCCGGTCCCTCCCGGTTCCCCCCCCCGGTCCCTCCCGGTTTCCCCCCCCGGTACCGCCGCCCCCCCCCTCACCGTGTCGGCGTTGCGCTCGTTGCCCGCCGCCAGGGCGGAGCGCGAGGACATGGTCCCGGCCCGGGGGGGGGCGGCGGGAGCGGCCGGCGGTGCCGCCCGGGTCCCGTTCCCGGGGCCGCTCCCGTTACCGGCGGGGCCGGGCCGGGGCGGCCATGGCGGCCATGGCGCCGGAACCGGAAGTCGGTGGGCGGGGCTTCACCTGTAGAGGGAGCATGAGCAGTGAGGCTGGGAGTGTTAGCCACGCCCACGGGGAGAGGAGGACCAATCAGAACGCGCGGCTCCGGCATGGAGACAGATGGCCACGCCCCCAGCCTGAGAGGCGTGGCGGAGAGCGGGCGGAGCGTTGTGATTGGCTGAGCGCTGGCCAATGGGAAGGGAGAGCGCGGTTTAACCCCTGCGGGGCCGGGAGGGGTCACCTGGGGTCATCTGGGGTCACACCGGGGGTCACACCTGGGGTCACACCCGGGGTCACACCCGAGGTCACACCCGGGGTCATCCGTGTCACACCTGTGGGGTCACCTGTGTCACCCATGTCCCCTCCATGTCACACCTGGGGTCACCAGTGGGGTCACCTGGGGTCACACCGGGGGTCACACCCGGGGTCACACCTGGGGTCACCCATGAGGTCACCAGTGCCAGCCGTGTCCCCTCCGTGTCACACCTGTGTCACCTGTGTCACCTGTGTCACCCCCGCTGTCCCCCCGGTCCCACCCCGGTCCCGCCCCGGTGTCCCCATAGTCCCCCCGGTCCCATCCCGGTGTCCGCTCGGTGTCCCCCCGGTCCCATCTCACTGTCCCCGGTCCCCCCGGTTCCCCCCCGGTGTCCCCCCGCTGTCCCCGCTGTCCCCCGGTATCCCCCCGGTCCCGCCCCGCTGTCGCCGCCGCCCCCCCGGTCCCCCCCTCCCGGTGCCGGTGCCCGAGCGGAACCGGGGCTGACCCTGCCCGGCCGGGGAGGCCCCGCCGGGGCGGCGCTTCCTCAGGAAACCCCCGGGCAGGGCAGCGCCGCCCCGGTGGCACCGTCACAGGCACCGGTGTCACCGCCAGAGCCGCCGGTGTCACCGCCAGAGCCGCCGGTGTCAGCGGAGCTCCGCCCGTGCCACCGCCAGAGCCGCCGGTGTCCCCTCCGCCAGCGCCGCCAGAGCCACCGGAGCCACCGGAGCCACCGGAGCCACCGCAGCTACCGCAGCTACCGGAGCCACCAAAGCCACCGGAGCCACCAAAGCCACCGGAGCCACCAAAGCCACCGGAGCCACCGGAGCTACCGGAGCCACCGGAGCCACCAGAGCCACCGGAGCCACCGGAGCCACCAGAGCCACCGGAGCCACCGGAGCCACCAAAGCCACCGGAGCCACCGGAGCCCGCCTGCCGCGTCCCCGCCGCGTCCCCGCTGCTCCAGAGCCACCCCGGTGTCCCCGTTCCCTCCGGTGTCCCCGCTCTCCCCGCTCTCTCCGGTGCCCCTGGTGTCTCCGTTGCTCCGGCTGCCATCCCGGTGTCCCCGTTGTTCCCGTCGTCCCCGTTCCCCCCGGTGCCCCCACTCTCCCCGCTCTCCCCGCTCTCCCCGCTCTCCCCGGTGTCCCCGGTGCCCCCGTTGTCCCCGCTCCCCCCGTTCCCCCCGGTGTCCCCGGTGTCCCCGGTGCCCCCGTTGTCCCCGCTCCCCCCGTTCCCCCCGGTGTCCCCGGTGCCCCCGGTGCCCCCGGTGCCCCCGCTCTCCCCGCTCCCCCCGGTGTCCCCGGTGTCCCCGGTGCCCCCCGGCCATGCCGCTGCTCCGGAGACCCCCGGGCGGGCCGGGCCCGGCGGCGGCGGCGGACGGACCGGGCGGGGGCCGTGAGGACGGGGACCGGGACCCGTTCGCCGCCAACCCCGAGGGGCGCCGCCGCCGCCGCGCCACCCTGGCCGGGCTGGTGGGGCTGGGGCAGCTCGGGGGGCACCGGGAGCAGCTCGGGGGGCACCGGGAGCAGCTCGGGGGGCACCGGGGGCAGCTCGGGGCTCCGTTCGGCCTCGGCCGCCGCTGCCGTGAGCCCGGCGGGCCCCGCGGGCGGCGGCGCTCGGAGGATTCGGGGGTCCCGCGGCGGGCGGCGGAGGAGGCGGGCGGCGGCAAGCGCGCCTCGCTGCTCCGGTTGGCCCGGGGACCGTGGGGACCGCGCGGCGGCACCGAGAGGGCGGCGGCGGCCGAGGCACCCCCGGGGCACGGCGGAGACGGGACCGGAGCGCGGCCCGGGAGCGGCGGGAGGGACGAGGACGGCGGCGGCGGCGGCGGCGGGGACGGCGGCGGGGACAGGGGACCGCTGTCCGGTGAGTGGGGACACCGGGGACACGGGGGGGTTGGGGACACCGGGGGGACACCGGGGGGACAGGGGGGGTTTGGGGACAGGAGGTGGGAACAGGGAACTTGGGGACAGGGGACACCGGACAGGGGACACGGGGATGGTGACACGGGGATGGAGACAGAGGACACGGGGATGGGGACACGAGGACAGGGGACACAGGGATGGTGACATGGGGATGGGGACACGGGGATAGTGACACGGGGATGAGGACAGGGAACTTGGGGACAGGGGACACGGGGATGGTGACACGGGGATGGGGACATGGGGATGGGGACACGGGGATGGTGACACGGGGCTGGGGACACAGGGATGGTGACACGGGGATGGGGACACGGGGACAGGGGACACGGGGATGGTGACACGGGAACAGGGGACACAGGGATAGTGACACGGGGACAGGGGACACAGGGACGGTGACACGGAGCCCCACGCGTGACCGCCCCGCGCTCCCGCAGTGCTGGAGATCCTGGAGCTGATCCAGCGGCGGGAGCTGCTGGCGGCGGACGCGCAGATCATCGCGCTGGAGGCCGAGTGCGCTCTGACCCCATCGCGCCCCCCGTCCCCTCCGCCCGTCCCCGCCGCCCCCTCCTCACCGGCGACCCCTCCGCCCTCCCCGGTCCCCCCGTCCCCGGGCCCGGGCGGCGGGCGGCGGGCGCGGGACGTGGCGCTGCTGTACCGGGCGCTGCTGGCGGAGCTCTGGGCCGTGCTGGGCGAGGCGGTGGCGGCGGGACGAGCGGCGGCGCCGCTCCGGGCCGTGGTGGCCGTGCTGGAGCAGGAGGAGGCGGCGGACGCGCGGAGCCCTCCCGGGACCGTCCCGGGGCGGCCGCGGGGGCTGCGGCGGCGCTGGCAGGAGGCGGTGGCCCGGGCGGCGACCGAGCGGCTGGCGCAGGTGGCACCGGCCGGGGGGCTCGGGGCCCGGCTGGCCGCGCTGGCCGCCAGGGTGGTGGGCGACCTGGGGGTCGTCCGGAGCCACGTAGCGCCCGTGTACCCCCCCGAGTACGGCGCGTTGGGGGTCTACGCCCGCGGATACCACCGGGCGCTGGCGCAGCAGCTGCGGGCGCTGGCGCAGAGACCCCTGGCAGTGCCCGACCTGTACCTGCTGCTCGACTGGCACAGCAACGCCTACCCCCGGTGAGAGGGCTGGGACCCCCAAACCTGCCCCAAATTAGTGCCCGTACCCGAAATCTGCCCCACGGCAAAGCCCGCCCCCGAAACCTGCCCCAAATTAGTGCCTGGCCCCGGTGAGAGGGGCTGGGACCCCCGAAACCTGCCCCAAATTAGTGCCCGCCCCCGGTGAGAGGGGCTGGGACCCCGAAACCTGCCCCAAACTAGTGCCCGTACCCGAAACCTGCCCCAAATTAGTGCCTGCACCCAAAATCTGCCCCAAAGTAACACCTGCACCCGAAATCTGCCCCACGGCAAAGCCCGCTCCCAAAACCTGCCCCAAATTAGTGCCTGCACCCGAAACCTGCCCCAAATTAGTGCCCGTACCTAAAACCTGCCCCAAATTAGTGCCTACCCCCGGTGAGAGGGCTGGGACCCCCGAAACCTGCCCCAAATTAGCGACTGCCCCTGAATACTGCCCCAAAGTAATGCCCGCCCCCAAAAACTGCCCCAAAGTAATGCCTACCCCCGGTGAGAGGGGCTGGGACCCCCAAACCTGCCCCAAATTAGTGCCCGCCCCCGGTGAGAGGGGCTGGGACCCCCAAACCTGCCCCAAATTAGTGCCTACCCCCGGTGAGAGGCGCGGGGACCCCCGAAACCTGCCCCAAATTAGTGCCTGTACCCGAAACCTGCCCCAAATTAGTGCCTACCCCCCGTGAGAGGGGCTGGGACCCCCGAAACCTGACCCAAATTAGTGCCTGCACCCAAAATCTGCCCCAAAGTAACACCTGCACCCGAAATCTGCCCCACGGCAAAGCCCGCCCCAAAATCTGCCCCAAATCAATGCCCACCCCCAAAATCTGCCCCAAATCAATGCCTTCCCTCAAAATCTGCCCCACAGCAAAGCCCACCCTGGGTGAGACACCCAGGGACCCCCAAAATCTGCCCCACCCACCCTGGCACAGAGGGTGTCACCCCTGGGTCACCCCTGGGACACCCAGGTGACCCCTCCTGGCACCTGTGGGACCCCCCCCCATAACCCTGTGACACCCTCGGGACCCCCCAAAACCCGCCCCACCCACCCCAGGTGGTGTCAGCCCCCCGACATCCATCCCCGGGTGTCCCCAGGGTGTCCCAGGGTGTCCCCGGGGTGTCCCAGGGTGTCCCTGGGGTGTCCCCAGGGTGTCCCAGGGTGTCCCCGGGGTGTCCCAGGGTGTCCCCGGGGTGTCCCCGGGGTGTCCGAGGCTGTCCCAGGGGTGTCCCAGGGTGTCCCCGGGGTGTCCCAGGGGTGTCCCAGGGTGTCCCTGGGGTGTCCCCAGAGTGTCCCAGGGTGTCCCAGGGTGTCCCTGGGGTGTCCCAGGGTGTCCCAGGGTGTCCCCAGGGGTGTCCCAGGGTCTCCCCAGGGTGTCCCAGGGTGTCCCAGGGTGTCCCCAGAGTGTCCCAGGGTGTCCCAGGGTCTCCCCAGGGTGTCCCCAGGGTGTCCCAGGGTGTCCCAGGGTGTCCCCAGGGTGTCCCCAGGGTGTCCCAGGGTGTCCCAGGGTGTCCCCAGAGTGTCCCAGGGTGTCCCAGGGTCTCCCCAGGGTGTCCCCAGGGTGTCCCAGGGTGTCCCAGGGTGTCCCCAGGGTGTCCCAGGGTGTCCCAGGGTCTCCCAAGGGTGTCCCTGGGGTGTCCCAGGGTGTCCCAGGGTGTCCCCAGGGTGTCCCAGGGTGTCCCAGGGTGTCCCCGGGGTGTCCCCAGGGTGTCCCGGGGTGTCCCCAAACACCCACCGAGGCCATCCCCCCCCCTGCAGGGAGGTTTTGGGGCACCCCGAGGTGGGGGCTCTGCTGCGGGCGCAGGAGTTGGGGCCCCTCCTGCCCCCCGAGACCCAGCGGGACCTGGAGAGCTCCTGCATCGCTGCCGTCAAGGTGGGGACACGGGTGACACCGGGGCACGGGGGTGGCAGGGGACACGGCGCCCCGCCCCGCTGTCCCCCGTGTCCCCTGGGTGTCCCCACCGTCCCCCCGCTGTCCCAGGCCAAGGTGGAGGTGGCGCTGGCGCAGGAGCTGCAGCTCAGCGAGGACACGTGGCCCGAGGATGTCACCAGCCAGGACATGGAGGACGGGCTGGCCACGCGTGTCACCGGGGTACGGCCGTGCCACCCGTGTCCCTGTCCCTGTCCCCCTTGGGGACCTCGCTGGGACCCCACAGAGGGGACAGTGGTGGCTCAGGGGACAGCGTGGCTGTGGCCGGGCCGTGTCCTCATGGCTCAGGGGACACTGTGGCCATGTCCCCATGGCTCAGGGGACACCGTGGCCGTGTCCCCACACCCACGGTGGCCTTGTCCCCACAGCTGCTGCGGGCCCACGTGGACCGAGCCCCCCAGGTGACCCCCGAGTTTGGGCGGGAGATGGCCCACAGCCTGCTGGGCGTGCTGGTGGCCTTCCTGCACAGGTGGGGACACCCTGGGGACACCCTGGGGACACCCTGGGACACCCCTGGGACAGCCTGGGGACACCCTGGGACACCCTGGGGACACCCTGGGACACCCTGGGACACCCATGGGGGACGTGGGTGGCGTGGGCACACTGGGATGTGACGCAGCACGCGGCGGGGGTGACACAGGGACACGGTGACACGGTGACACCCGTGTCCCCCGGTGCCACCGCCGCGGTGACCGGGTGTCCCCAGCTTCCAGCGGAAGGTGGAGCGGTTCCTGGACGCCCCCGGTGAGCTCCCCCCGCCCGACGGCACCGCCGGCCGCGCCATGGCCTTGGCCAACTGCTGTCCCCCCTTCAGGTGAGGCCACCAGAGTGTCCCCGGGCGTCCCCGCGGTGTCCCCGCGGTGTCCCCGAGTGTCCCCGCGGTGTCCCCACCCCGCTGTCCCCCCCCAGGGCCTTCACCGAGCGGCTGGCGCAGTTCGGGCACCCCGAGAGCGAGGAGCCGCGGCGGCGGGCGCACGCCGCGCTGGACCGCGTCACCCGCGCCTGCGGCCACCTCCTGACCCGCCGCCTGCTCGAGGAGCTCAAGGTGCCACCAGGGCGGGCGGGGGCACCCATGGGTGCGGGGAGGGGGTTTGGGGGTGCTGGGTTGGGGGGCAGCTGTGGGGCATGAGGGGGGTGACAATTGTGGGGTATGGTGGGTGACACCTGTGGGGCTTGGTGGCCGTCACTGGGTGCTGGGTTGGGTGACAATTGTGGCACGGGGTGGGTGACAATTTTGGGACATGGGGGGTGACAGCTGTGGGGCGTGGTGGCCGTCACTGGGTGCTGGGTTGGGTGACAATTGTGGCACGGGGTGGGTGACAATTTTGGGACGTGGTGGGTGACACCTTTGGGACACGGTGGCCATCACTGGGTGCCGGGTTGGGTGACACCTTTGGGACACGGTGGCCGGGTTTCGGTGGCCGAGGCCGGTGCCACCCATGGGTGACGGTGACGTCCCCGCCCGTCACCCCCAGCCCCACTTTGCGAAGCTGATGAAGCGCAAGTGGCTGACGAGCTCGGACGCCTTCGACGCCATCGTGATGCTCATCACCGGCTTCGCGCAGACCCTGCGGCCGCTGCACCCTGAACCCCACCAGGTCTGCGGGGTGGGGACACCCAGGGGACACCCGGGGAACATCGGGATGGGCGACATCTGAGGGACACAGTGACATTGGTGGGTGTCACATTGGGTGACACCTGTGGGACATCAATGGGGACTTAGGTGACACCTGTGGGACACCGTGACATTGGTGGGGACTCGGGTTGGGTGACACCTGAGGGACATCAGGATGGGCGACACCTGAGGGACATCGGGATGGGTGACACCTAAGGGACACCGTGACATTGGTGGGGACTTGGGTTGGGTGACACCTGAGAGACATCGTTGGGGAGTTGGGTGACACCTGAGGGACACAGTGACATTGTTGGGTGTCACATTGGGTGACATGTGTGGGACACCATGACATTGTTGGGCGCCCCGTTGGGTGACACCCATGGGTGTGATGGCCATGGGACATCGTTGGGTGCTACCCTGGTGACACCACAGGCACGGTGGTGACACTGATGCCACCCTGGTGACCCGGTGGCCGCGGTGGCCACCCCAATGCCACCCCGGTGACCCGGTGGCGCGGTGGCCGCGCTGTCCCCGCAGGCGCTGGTCAGCGAGCTGCACCGCCGCGTGCTGCAGGAGTACGTGCGGCCGCTGCTGCAGGGGCGCCCGGGCTGCGCCTCGGCCAAGGCGCGCGCCCGCGTGGCCGCCCGCATGGGCGACGAGGCCCGGCAGCTCCGCGAGCTCTTCACGCGCCTGGTGAGACCCCCGGGACCCCCCGGGGCTGGGGGACACCCGTGGGTGGGGTGGCACCTGTGGGACGTCGCTGGGGGTTGGGTTGGGTGGCACCCATGGGAGATTTTTGGCACCTGTGGGACAGTTTGGGGTTGGGTGGCACCTGTGGGACATCAATGGATTGGGTGGCACCCTTGGGACATTGCTGAGTTTGGTGACACCCGTGGGACATCAATGGGTTGGGTGGCACCTGTGGGACATTTCTGGGCTGGGTGACACCCGTGGGACATTGCTGAGTTTGGTGACACCTGTGGGGCATCGATGGGCTGGGTGGCATCGATGGGCTGGGTGGCACCCATTGGACATCTCTGGGCCGGGTGACACCCGTGGGACACGGGTGGGTGCTGACGCGTCCCCGGTGTCCCGCAGGACTCGGCCGCGCCCTGGCTGGACTCGGTGGTGCCGCGGCTGCGGGAGCTGCTGGTGCTGGAGGACACGGCCGCGCTGCAGATGGAGGTCGGCGCCCTGGCCCGGGACTTCCCCGACGTCCGGTGGGTGCGGGGGGACCCCCGGGGGTCCTGGCGGGGTGACACGGACCGGGGCTGGGTGACACGGGTGGGTGACACGGCTGGGTGACACGGGTGGGTGACACGGTGGGTGACACGGGTGGCTGCAGCCCGCCCGCGGTGACCACGCGGTGACCGGACGCGGCTCCGGCCCTTCCCGGCAGCTCCCGCCCGGTTCCCTCCGCCGGGAAGCGGCCGCGGCCGAGCGCCAGGTCCCCTCCCCTGTCCCGGTGCCGCTCCCGGGGGACCCGAGGCACGCGCGGCCACCCGTGGGGGGGAGGGGACACCAGTTAAAGGGGGGGACTGGGACCAGTTCAACCAGTGAGGCGAGGGGGTCACCCCGGAGATGGGGGCGCGCCCCTCTCCCCAAACCTCGGGGGGCTCCGGGATGTTTCGGGGTGGTGTCGCTGCTGTCCCCACTGTCCCCACTGTCCCCTCACTGTCCCCGCTGTCCCCACTGTCCCCTCTCTGTCCCCGCTGTCCCCTCACTGTCCCCAATGTCTCCTCACTGTCCCCTCTCTGTCCCCTCTCTGTCCCCTCACTGTCCCCGCAGGCGGAGACACGTGGCCGCGCTGCTGGACGCGCGTGGGCTGCGGGCTCAGGGCCCTCGGCGGGAGATTCTGGGGGTGCTGCAGGATTTGGGGGGCTCGGAAGCCGAACCGGGACCCCCCTCCCGGTCCCGCCCGTTCTTCTCGGAGCTGCCGGTGCCGCGCCCCGTGCGCTGCCTCCCGTTCCAGCTGCCCCGGCTGCGCCTGCCCCGCCGCAGCCCCGCCAGGACCCCCCCGTGACACCCCCGGGCCTGGGGACACCCCAAAATCCGGGGGCACCCCCACCCCGCTTCCCCCCAGTTCACCCCAGTTCCCCCCAGTTCCTCCCAGTTCCCCCCAGCGTGTAAATGACGGCGTGAATTTAAGGCTGGTGGCGGTGTCCTCGTCCTTGGGGACACTGAGGGGGACTTGGGGACACCGGGGGGAGCTTGGGGACACGAGGGGGACACTGAGGGGGACTTGGGACACTGAGGGGGACTTGGGGACACGAGGGGGACTTGGGGACACCGGGGGGGACTTGGGGACAGCGAGGGGGATGAGGGGACACTGTGGGGACAAGGGGACACGGCAGGGACAAGGGGACAGGGTGGCCACAAGCGGCCACCTCAGCCCTTGCCGGGGGCCGTGGCGGGGTTGGGGACAGCGCTGGGGACACCGGGGGGCTCTGGTGGCACCGCTCAGCAGAGGGACACGGTGGCCGCGGCCCGGGGGGGGCCCTGGGCGGGTCCCCCGGCTCAGAAATAGCCGAATCCGGGCAGGAAGAGGCGAGAAATAATAAAAATGGCTAAAAATAAGTGGCCGGGGCGGGAGCGGGGCCAGAGGTCACCGGGTCACCCCCGGCCCCGGGGAGGGACCGGCGGCGGCGGCGGAAGCGGCAGCGCTGGGCGGGGACCGGGGGGCGAAAACGGGGGGCGAACAGGGGGGAAATTGGGGCTGGGGGACAATTAGGGACATTTGGAGACGGGGGATAATTAGGGACACTCGGGGATGGGGGTGGCACCGAGCGGGGACGCGGTGACAAAAAGCAGCGCGGACGTTGTCACCTCCCCCCCCCCCCCCGGGCATGGCCGGGGACGGTCCCGGTGGCGGCGCCGGTGAATCACCGGGAGGATGGCGGCACGGAGGGGGAGGAAGGAAACCCCCCCAAAATGGGGAGTGGGGGGGTCGGGGGAGCCCCCAAAGGTGGCACGGCCACCCCACCCCCACCCCGGAGCGGCCCAGGGACACCCGAATTGGGAAAGGGCACTCAAACTGGGAGGGAGCCACAGCAAACTGGGACCAAACTGGGACAGAATTCACAGCAAACTGGGACCAAACTGGGAGAGAATCCACAGCAAACTGGGACAGAACCCACAGCAAACTGGGAGAGAACCCACAGCAAACTTGGACCAAACTGGGAGGGAAACTACACTGGACCCGGAAAGGATCCCCCAAACTGGGAAAGGACCCCCCAAACTGGGAAAGGACCCCCCAAACTGGGAAAAGACCCCCCAAACTGGGAAAGGAATCCTCAAACTGGGAAAGGAATCCTCAGACTGGGAAAGGAGTCCTCAGACTGGGAAAGGAGTCCTCAAACTGGGAAAGGACCTCCCCAAACTGGGAAAGGACCCCCAAACTGGGAAAGGACCCCCCAAACTGGGAAAGGATCCTCAAACTGGGAAAAGACCCCCCAAACTGGGAAAGGATCCTCAAACTGGGAAAGGACCCCCCAAACTGGGAAAGGACCCCCCAAACTGGGAAAAGACCCCCAAACTGGGAAAGGATCCTCAAACTGGGAAAGGACCCCCCAAACTGGGAAAGGACCCCCCAAACTGGGAAAAGACCCCCAAACTGGGAAAGGATCCCCCAAACTGGGAAAGGACCCCCCAAACTGGGAAAGGACCCCCCAAACTGGGCAGCGCCCCCCCAGTTCCTCTCCCCGCGCTCCCCCCGCCGGTCACGGGCGGAACTGCAGCGAGCGGGAGGGGGCGTGGCTTGCGGAGGGCGTGGCCTCCGCCCCTCCCATTTCCCCGTTGATTGACAGGTGGGTGGGGCAACGGAGCGGTGCCCCCGTGTCCCCCCCCGTGTCCCCACGGGATCCGTGTCCCACCCCGTGTCTCTGTGTCCCCCCCGTGTCCCCCCCGTGTCCCCGCTGTCCTCGTGTCCCCTCTGTCCCCACGAGCTGGGTGTCACCCCCCGTGTCCCCACGGGCTCCGTGTCCCCGTGTCCCCCCCGTGTCCCCGCTGTCCTCGTGTCCCTGTGTCCCCCCATGTCCCCGTGTCCCCACGAGCTCCGTGTCTCCCCCGTGTCCCCGCTGTCCCCGCTATCCCCGTGTCCCCGTGTCCCCGTGTCACCCCCGTGTCCCCGTGTCCCCTCCGTGTCCCCGCTGTCCTCGTGTCCCCTCTGTCCCTGTGTCTCCGCTGTCCCCCCTCTATCCCCGCTGTCCCCTCTGTCCCCTCTATCCCCTCTGTCCCCGCTGTCCCCTCTGTCCCCGCTGTCCCCTCTATCCCCGCTGTCCCCTCTGTCCCCGCTGTCCCCGTGTCCCCACGAACTCCGTGTCCCCCCCGTGTCCCCGCTGTCCCCTCTATCCCCGCTGTCCCCCCCGTGTCCCCGCTGTCCCCGCTGTCCCCGCCCCGCCTCGCTGATCCCTCCCGGTGTCCCCGCACCCAAGAACGGCACCGGGAGCCGCTGGAAGCTGCTTTTATTGGCCACGTTTGGGGCGGGACGAGCGCGGACGGGGGGCCCGGGGGGCGGCCCCGGGCGGGCACCAACACGGCACAGGGCGACAATAATTATCCTCGTTATAATAATAATAAAAAATTAAACATCTCCCGCGCAACAAAAATAGATTTATGTACCGGGGCTGGGGCGGGGCCGACAAGCGGAACCGGGACAGGCGGGGCACGGGCGGGCGGGGGCGAGCGGGACCGGAGAGCCCGAGCGGGGCGGGCACCGGGAGCGGGGCACACCTGGGCAGGTGAGCCCGGGGGGCGGAGGGGCACCAGGGGCGGGAGGTGACCTGCAGGGGTCACCTGGAGGCCGCAGGGACCCCCCGAAGGGGACAGGGAGGTGACAGGGTGGCACCTCCGAGCGGGGGAGACCCCGTGGGGACACCTGGAGCAGGTAAAGGTGGCCATAGGGACACCTGGAGCAGGTAAAGGTGGCCACGGGGACACCTGGAGAATGAGGAGGTGGCCACAAGGGACACCTCGTTCAGGTAAAGGTGGCCACGGGGACACCTGGAGCAGGTAAAGGTGGCCATGGGGACACCTGGAAAGGGAAGAGGTGGCCACAGGGACACCTGGAAAAGGAGGAGGTGGCCACGGGGACACCTCGAGAAGGAGGAGGTGGCCACAGGGACACCTGGAAAGGGAAGAGGTGGCCACAGGGACACCTGGAGCAGGTAAAGGTGGCCACAGGGACACCTCGAGAAGGAGGAGGTGGCCACAGGGACACCTGGAGCAGGTAAAGGTGGCCACAGGGACACCTGGAGCAGGTAAAGGTGCCCACAAGGGACACCTGGTGCAGGTAAAGGTGGCCATGGGGACACCTGGAGAGGGAAGAGGTGGCCATGGGCACACCTGGAGAGGGAGGAGGTGGCCACAGGGACACCTGGAAAAGGAGGAGGTGGCCACAGGGACACCTGGAAAAGGAGGAGGTGGCCACAGGGACACCTGGAAAAGGAGGAGGTGGCCATGGGGACACCTGGAAAGGGAAGAGGTGGCCACGGGGACACCTGGAAAAGGAGGAGGTGGCCCGTAGAGCCCCTCAGAGCGGCGTGGAGGGGACACGGGACATCTCCAGGGGGACAGAAATGACACCTGGACCTTCTGTGGGGACGGGGACACGGCGGCGGCTTCTCCAAAGGGGGTGGAGGTGGCACCGGGACCCTCCTGGGGAACCGGGATGGGGCACAGGGACCTTCAGCGGGGGCTTGGGGACACCTCAGGTGTGTCACAGGTGCCACCAGGGCCAGGCTGGGACATCTGCGAGGCGCTGGAGGCGCGGCAGGAACGCCCCGGGTCGGGGACAGCCACCTGCGAGGTGCCGGGGACAGCGCGGGGACATTCTCCGGGTGACGGGGACGTCACCGGAGGGACGGGGACATCTCCAGAGGGACGGGGGGGTCCCGGTAGGACCCCCGAGAGGCGGCGGGGACCGGGGGCGGACACCTCCGAACAGCCACGGGGTGGCGGGAGCCTCATCACGGCCACCAGGCGCCAAAAAAAACCCCAAAACTCCAAAAACAAAAAGAATAAAAATAACCCTTCAAGCCTCCCCCTAAAAATAAAAAAAAATTTAAAAAAAAAAATTTAAAAAGTAAAAAATAAAAGGATCCCCAGCGGAGCCGGGGAAAACAAATCCCGAAAAAAGCGGGGTGGGCCAAGCCCAGCCCGAGGCGCGGCGGGGGCAGGGAGGAGGTGCCCGTTTTTTTGGGGGGCTCGGGGGGTCCGGGGGCGGCTCGCTCGGGGAGGGGGGACCCCGTTCACAACGCGAGGAGCGAGGGAGAGCTCAGGGAGTCCGAGGACCGGTCGCTGCTGCCGCTCCGCTGGTGCGAGGCTCCACACGTGGCTCCCTCTGGGTGGGTGAACACAAACGCGGGGGTGGCGTTAGGGGGTCCCGCGGGGACCCCGGGCGGGAGGCAGCAGCCGGGGAAGGGACCCTGCGGGCCCTGGAACGGCACCGGGGGCAGGAAAGCGACGGTCCCCGCCTCGCCCGGGCTGCTCACCTCCGGTGCGGCGGGGCCTCGCGGAGCCGCGGTGGCGGCGATGTCCTCGAAGGCGGCGGAGGGGACTTTGCAGGCGGGCGCGTGGGCCACCAGCACGAACTCCAGGCGCTCCTTCTCCTTGCGCAGCTCCGCGATCTCCGACTCCAGCTCCGCCTTCTCCTCCTCCAGCTGGTCCGTCTCCTGCGGGGACAGCGAGTCAGACGCGCGGGGACGGGCCCGGGGTGCCCCGGGGTGCCCGGGTGTCCCCACGGTGTCCCCAAGTGTCCCCAAGTGTCCCCCAGGTGTTCTCCGGGGTCCCCACGGTGTTCTCCGGGATCCCCCAGGTGTCCTGCAGGATCCCCCGGTGTCCCCCGGTGTCCCCCTGGGATCCTCTGATATCCCCTCTGTGTCCCCCAGGTGTCCCCAGGTGTTCTCCGGGATCCCCCGGTGTCCCCAGGTGTCCCCCCGGTGTCCTGCAGGATCCTCCAGGATCCTCTAATGTCCCCTCTGTGTCCCTCAGGTGTCCCCTGGTGTCCCCCCGGTGTCTCCCGGTGTCCTCCGGGATCCTCTGATGTCCCCTCTGTGTCCCCCAGGTGTCCCCACGGTGTTCTCCGGGATCCTCCAGGGCTCTGGTGTCCCCAGGTGTCCCCTATGTGCTGTCCCCAGGCCAGGGGACATCCCTGAGTGTCCGTCTGTCCCCCACCGTGTCCTCTATTCCCACGGGTGACATCGTCACCCTCCTCCTCTTCCTCCTCCTGTGGCACCCCTGGGTGTCCCCTCTGCTGTCCCCAAGCCTGGTGACACCTCTGGGTGTCCGTCTGTCCCCTCTGCTGTCCCCAAGCCTGGTGACACCTCTGGGTGTCCGTCTGTCCCCTCTGCTGCCCCCAGGCCAGGGGACAGCGCCATCCCCTGTGTGTCCGTCTGTCCCCAACTCTCAGGGGTGCCACTGTACCCCTCTGCCACCGCTGGCCATCACTCTGTCCCCAACTCCTGGGGACATCTTGGGGACATCGCCACCTCCCCCGAGGACACACGATGTCCCCAGGGATGTCATTGTCCCTCGCAGCGACGCCGCTGTCCCCAACCCCCTGCCACTGTCCCCAGCCGCGAGGACATCGCCACCACCCCCAAAGCCTCCCTGGGGACACTCCTGTCCCCAAATCCCTCCGGGGACGCGTCGCTGCCACCTCGGGCGGTGGGGACAGGGACACCCCGGGTGGGGAGGGGACAAAGCCACCTCGTGAGGGGACAGGGAGACTCCGGGTGGGGACAAAGCCACCTCGGGTGGGGACAAAGCCACCTCGGGTGGGGACAGGGCCACCTCGGGAGGGGACAAATCCACCCCGGGAGGGGACAGAGACACCTCGGGAGGGGACAAAGCCACCTCGGGAGGGGACAGGGAGACCCCAGGAGGGGACAAATCCACGCCGGGAGGGGACAGAGACACCTCGGGAGGGGACAAAGCCACCTCGGGTGGGGACAGGGACACCCCGGGTGGGGACAAATCCACCCCGGGTGGGGAGGGGACAAAGCCACCCGGGCGGGGAGGGGACAGGGCCAGCCCCCGGTGTCCCGGTGTCCCGGTGTCCCCGCGCTCACCGCCTGCAGCCGGTCCGTCAGCTCCCGGCGCCGGTTCCGGCATTTGGCCGCCGCCAGTTTGTTCCGCTCCCGCCGCACGCGGCGCTTCTCCTCCTCCTCCGGGGTCAGCTGTGAGGGACCGCAGTGTCACCGCTGTCACCCGCCGGGGTCACCTCCCCGCTGTCACCTCCCCGCTGCCACCCCCCGGGCCCCAAATCCCGCCGCCTTCCTCCCGCTACGGTGGTGGCACCGAGAGCGGTGTCCCCAAGGTGCCACCACACGGGGTGTCCCTCAATCTCTCATTGCTCACGGTGTCCCCAAGGTGCCACCACCGGAGGTGTCCCTCAACCTCCTGCCACTCACGATGTCCCCAAGGTGCCACCACCTGGGGTGTCCCTCAATCTCCTGCCATTTATGATGTCCCCAGGGTGCCACCACCCCACTGACCCTCAATCTCCTGCCACTCACGATGTCCCCAGCTTCCTCTCATGTCCCCAAGGTGCCACCACCTGGGGTGTCCCTTGATCTCCTACCACTCACGGTGTCCCCAAGGTGCCACCACACGGGGTGTCCCTCAACCTCCTGCCACTCACAGTGTCCCCAGGGTGGCACACCCGGGGTGTCCCTCAGTCTCCCACTGCTCTGACGCCCCCAAACCCCCCGGTGTCCCCAAGGTCCCCCTCCCCGCGCCCCCGCTCACCGTCTCCTCGCGGCCGCGCCGGGGCCGTGCCCGGGCCGGTCGGGCGGGGGTCGGTGCCGGGGGTCCCGGGAAGGCGCCGAGCCCCGGGCCGGTGTAGCTGGGCCCGGGCAGGTCGTAGGGGTCCAACGGGGGCGGCGGCGGCTGTGCCATGGCGGCCCCCGGTGCCACCGAGGAGATGAGCGTGGGCTGCACCAGCCACTGCAGGTCCTGGCTGCTGCTGATGGCCGTCACCGTGGGCACGAAGGAGCCGGGCATGTCCCCCGGGCCGCCGCACTCCTGCGGGGAGGGTCAGCGCGATAGCGGCGATAGGGGCGCGATAGGGGCGCGATAGGGGCGCGATAGTGGCGATAGGGCCGCGATAGAGACGCGATAGGGGCGCGATAGTGGCGATAGTGGCGGGGACATCCCCGCGGGAGGGGCTGGGTGGGCAGCGGGGTGACACCGGGGTGACACCGGTGGGGACACCCTGGGGTGACAGCGAGGTGACAGCGGGGTGACACCGGGATGAAACCGCCGGTAGGGGTTCGGTGGACAGCGGGGTGACACCCGGGTGACACCCCGGGGTGACAGCGTGGTGAGGGTGGCATTGTCACCCCCATGGCCTTGGGGACAGCGCTGTCCCCAGCGGGTGGCACTGGGCTGCACCCCCGGCTCATCCTCCTCCTCCTCCTCCTCACCCTGCCGTGACACCCTCACCTCCCTGCCACCCGCGGGTGACACCCCCGTGTCCTTGTCACCCCACTCCGCCGCTCCCTGCCCCCCCAGACCCATCTCGGCCCAATGGGGGGGGGGGAGGGGTCGCAGCCCCCTCCCCAAATAAAAAACCCTCCGGTGTCCCCATCCCTCCCCCTCCCCCCAAACCCACGGGCGTGGGAGGCACCCACGGGCCCGGGGGGACACCGGCAGCCCCGGGGGGGGGGGGGACACCGGATCCCCCCTCCCCCCATCCCGGGGGTCTCCCCGTCGCTGCCGGAGGGGGCGTGGCCATCATTTTGGGGGGCGTGGCCTCGCCGCCGCTTTAACAGCGCGCGTGGGCGTGGCTTTGCAGCAGAGTGGGCGTGGCCACGGGCAGAGTGGGCGTGGCCCTTCCTCCCGTCTCCCCTGACAACAACGCGGGGGGGGAGGGGGGGACACCCCAAAAATAACCCGCGCGCGCCGCGTGCGTGCGTGCCGCGTCACCGGCGGCGACGTCACCGCGCGCGCTTACGCACGGCCCCACCCCCCACGCCCGCCCCCCTCCGTTCCCGTCCGTTCCCCCCCGGTTCTTTCCCCCGGTTCTTTCCCCCGCCCGCCCCCGGACCGGCGCTCACCTGCGCGGCCCCGGCGGCCGCGGGGCTCCCGAAGGAGTCGAGCGGCGACAGGTACTGCGACTCGGCCGAGGGCGAGGAGCTGCAGCGCGACCCCGAGTCGTAGTCCCCGGGGAAGCCCTGGAACATGGCCCCGGGGCCGCGGGGGCCGCCCCGCCGCGACAAGGCTGCGGGTCACGCCGCCGCCACCGGCATCACGGGCACGGCGGGATGCTCCGGTGTGCGGGGGAAGCGCGGGGGGAAACCCGCCGGGGGTCGCTGAGGGGTCTCCGGTGAGTCGCGGTGAGCCCCGGTGAGGCTCCGGTTAATCGGTGGGAGCGCCCGTCCGCTGTTAGAGCCGCCGGCGTGTCCGCGCAGGGCTCCGGTGCAACGTCCCGGTGAGCGGCTGCGAGCTCCGGTATATCCGTGCCGGGCTCCGGTGCGGCTCTGCGGGTCTCGGTTGTCTCGCTGGCGAACGCCGCCGTGCCCGTCCCGAGCTCCGGTCGTGCGCTATAAGCTCCGGTACGTCCTGCCGGCTCCCGGTTTGCCGCTCCAAAGCCCCCGCTGCGCCCTTTACACACCGCGGTCCGTCCGTCCCAGGCTCCGGTTGCTCGGTACAAACTCCCGCCGGGCTCCAAAGTTGTCCGGTAACAAACCCCCCCCGGTGCCAAGCTCCGGTTCTCCGCTACAATCCCCGCTACGTCCGTCCCACAAAGTTCCGCTCGGCCGCCGCCAACTCCGGTAAAAAATCCCTCGCCGGGCTCCGGCACGTCCGCTCCGAGCCCCGGTGGCGCTCCCGCCGCTCGCCCGGTCTCCGGTTTTATGAATGAACGGCTCGCGGCAGTCCCGCCGCTTTATACGGCGGAGCCCCGCCCCCTCGCGCTGACGTCACGGCGGCCGCCGCCGCTTCTCCGGGACCACCGGGACCCCCCGGAACCCTCCCGGAGCTCCGAACCGCCGTGGCCGCGGCCGCCGTCGCCGTTTGAGGCTCCGGGAGCCGCCGCCGCCGTTAAGAGGCGGCGGGGAGCGCCGGGAGCGGGGGGGATCCCCCGGCCCCGCCCCCCGGAGTTCCTGTGACGCAATTAACCAAATTTGGGCTTGTCTGGAGTGTTTGTTTGGTATCCTAGCAATGACGTCACAGGGATTCCCTCCGCCGCCGCCGCCGCCGCCGCCGCCGCCGCCGCCGCCGCAGCGCGGCCGCGTATTAATAGAAACGGGACCGGCCGCGGTTCTAGAAACGGCCCGAACCCTCCGGGACAACCGGGACAACGGGGCCGGGACACCGGGAATGGACCGGGACACCCCGAACCCTCCGGGACAACCGGGACAACGGGGCCGGGACACCGGGAATGGACCGGGACACCGGGAATGGACCGGGACCCCCCGAACCCTCCGGGACAACCGGGACAAGCGGGGCCGGGACACCGGGAATGGACCGGGACACCGGGAATGGACCGGGACAACCGGGGCCGGGACTCCCGGGAATGGACCGGGACACCGGGAACGGAACCCCCGGGAATGGACCGAGACAACCGGGGCCGGGACCCCCGGGGAATGGACCGGGACACCGGGAACGGAACCCCCGGGAATGGACCGGGACACTGGGAGTGGACCGGGACCCCTCGAACCCTCCGGGACAACCGGGACAACCGGGGCCGGGACTCCCGGGAATGGACCGAGACAACCGGGAATGGACCGGGACACCGGGAATGGACCAGGACAACCGGGGCCGGGACTCCCGGGAATGGACCGGGACACCGGGAACGGAACCCCCGGGAATGGACCGGGACACCGGGAATGGACCGGGTCACCGGGAATGGACCGGGACAACCGGGGCCGGGACCCCCGGGAATGGACCGGGACACCGGGAATGGACCGGGACAACCGGGGCCGGGACCCCCGGGAATGGACCGTGACAGCGGGAACGGGACCGGGACCCCCCGAACCCTCCGGGACACCGGGAACGGGACCCCGGAAATGGACCGGGACACCGGGAACGGGACCCCCGGGAATGGACCGGGACACCGGGAATGGACCGGAACCCCCCGAACCCTCCGGGACAACCGGGGCCGGGACACCGGGAATGGACCGGGACACCGGGAATGGACCGGGGTCCCCCGAACCCTCCGGGACAACCGGGACAACCGGGGCCGGGACACCGGGAATGGACCGGGACACCGGGAATGGATCGGGACCCCCCGAACCTTCCTGGACACCGGGAACGGGACCCTCGGGAATGGACCGGGACACCGGGAATGGATCGGGACCCCCCGAACCTTCCTGGACACCGGGAACGGGACCCTCGGGAATGGATCGGGACACCCCGAACCCTCCGGGACAACCGGGGCCGGGACCCCCGGGAATGGACCGGGACACCGGGAATGGACCGGGGTCCCCCGAACACCGGGAATGGACCCGGGACCCCGAGAATGGACCGGGTTCCCCAGGATACCGGGAACGGGACAAGGACCCCCGAAAACCCGGCCGGGTCCTCCGGTTCCCGGTCCCGGGAACCCCCCGAGAGCCCCGAGCCCCTCCCCCACACCGGTAACACCGCCGCCCCACCCCCACCCCGGGGATCCCCGGTATCCCCCGCCCCCTCCGGGGCGTCTCCCCGGTGTGGGCTTCCCCCGGTGACCTGCCGGGATCTCGCCGGGATCCCGCCGGTGATCTCCGCGTTTCCGCCCCCGGGATCCCCTGGCGTCCTCCAGGAGCCCCCGGGACCTCCGGTAATCCCCCCCGGGATCCCTCCCGGTACCTCCGGGACCTCTCCCGGGATATCCCGGTAACCCCTCGAGCACCGTCCCGGGCTGGAGCTGTTCCCGGTACCGGAGCGGTGGGAACTCCCCCCCGGGGGTCACCGGGACCGGGCTGAGGATCGGATCCCGGTACCGGAGTGCACCGGCCCCGTCCCCCGCAGTCCCGGGGGGTTCGCGACGGGGATCCGGAGGGTCCCGGTGCCTTCGCAGCGCCGGGACGGGCACCGGGGGCTGATGTCACCGGCGGGAACCGGCGCTGAGTCACGGCGGGACCGTGGGGAGCGGCGGGGGGGGCGGTTCCCACGCCCCCGGGTTCACTCGGTCATTCATCCGCGCGGGCCCCGCCCCCTCCGGTGTCCCCGGTGTCCCCGGTCCCGGCGTGTCCCGGGACTCCCGTCCCGGGGTCCCGGTCCCGGTGTCCTGTTCGGGCTCCCTGCGGTGTTCCGGGGGTCCCGTTCCCGGTGTTCCGGGGGTCCCGGGGGTCCCTGTCCCGTTCCCGGGGTCCCGGGGGGTCCCGGCCCCGTTCCCGGTGTCCCGGTCCATTCCCGGGGGTCCCGGCCCCGGTTGTCCCGGAGTGTTCGGGGGGTCCCGGTCCATTCCCGGGGGTCCCGGCCCCGGTTGTCCCGGAGGGTTCGGAGGGTCCCGGTCCATTCCCGCTGTCCCGATCCATTCCCGGGGGTCCCGGTCCATTCCCGGGAGTCCCGGCCCCGGTTCTCCCGGTTGTCCCGGAGGGTTCGGGGGGTCCCGGTCCATTCCCGGTGTCCCGTTCCATTCCTGGAGGTCCCGGCCCCGTTCCCGGGGGTCCCGCCGCGTTCTCGGGGGTCCCGGTCCCTTTCCCGGGGTCTCGAGGGTCCCGGCCCTGTTCCCAGGGTCGGTCGGTTCCCGGGGCTCCCGGCCCCATTCCCGGTGTCCCCGGGGTCCCGGTCCCGGTATCCCGGGGGTCCCGGTCGGTTCCCGGGGGTCCCGTTCTCGGTGTCCCGGGGGTCCCGTTCCCGGTGTCCCGGCGGTCCCGTTCCCGGTGTCCCGGTCGGTTCCCGGGGGTCCCGTTCCCGCTGTCCCGGGGGTCCCGTCCCCGGTGTCCCGGGGGTCCCGTTCCCGGTGTCCCGGGGGTCCCTCGGGCTTTCCCCGCCCCTCTGGCGGTGTCCCGGTGCCGGTGTCCCGGTAAACACGGCGCGGGTCTCCCCGGTGACGGCGTTCTCCGCCGGTGACGTCACCACGTCCGGCGTCCCGTGTTTACGTCGCGCGGCAACGGCCGCGGCCGCCATGGCAACGGGGGCGGGGCCAGGGCGGGAGGGGGCGGGGCCAGGGCGGGAGGGGCGGGGCTTGAGGCGCCGCGTTCCCGCGCTTTCCGCGGGGCGGGGGGGACACTGGGGACATTGGGGACATTGGGGGGCACTGGGAGACACTGGGGACACTGAGGGGACATTGGGGGGCACTGAGAGACACTGAGGGGGGCACTGGGGGGACAAAAGGGGACATTGGAGGGCACTGAGGGGACAAAAGGGGACACTGAGGGGACAAAAGGGGACACTGGGGGGACATTGGGGGACATAACGAATGGCAGACCCATGTCGGGGGTCCCCGCGGCCCCCCAGGACACCCTGTCCCCCCCCCACCCGTGTCCCCTGGCCACCAGCCCCGTCTGTCACAAGAGTTTTTATTAAAGTCTGACCCCTCCCCCCGCTCTGGGGGTGGGGAAGGACACGGGGGGGGGGGGCGGGGCGGGCCACCCCTCCCCCAGCCCGTCGGTGTCACCTCGGGGGTGTCGCTGTCACTGCGGGGTGGCTTTGGCACTCGGGAGCTTGGCCAGGAGCCTGCGGGGACAGCGGGGGCTGGGGGCTGGGGACACCCCCGGGACACCCCCGGGACACCCCCGGGGACATGGGGACAGCACGGCGACACCCACAGGGACATCGGGACACCCCTGGGACACCCCGGGGACATGGGGACAGCACGGCGACACCCACAGGGACATCGGGACACCCCTGGGACACCCCTGGGACACTCCCGGGGACATGGGGACAGCACGGCGACACCCACAGGGACATCGGGACACCCCTGGGACACCCCGGGGACATGGGGACAGCACGGCGACACCCACAGGGACATCGGGACACCCCTGGGACACCCCTGGGACACTCCCGGGGACATGGGGACAGCACGGCGACACCCCTGGGACATTCCGGGGGACATGGGGACACCCCCGGGGACACCTTGGGGACACCCCCAAGGACACAGGAACACCCCAGGGACATGGGGCCACCCCTGGGGACATGGGGACACCACGGGGACACCCCCGGGACACCCTCGGGGACACTCTGGGGACACCCCTGGGGACACCCCTGGGGACACGGGGACAACCCAGGGGACACGGGCACACCAGGGGGACACCCGTGGGACACCCGTGGGACATGGGGACACCCCTGGGGACAGCACGGGGACACTCACCTGGCCCGCAGGTGGCTGAGGTGGCTCCTGGCCAGGCCGGTGTACTGGTCGATCTGAGCCTGGGGACATCGGGGGACATCGGGGGTGGCAGCTGGGGACAGCCACAAGTGCCACCAGCACCCCCCAAGGTGTCCCCAGTGTCCCCTCCCCGTACCTGGTGGCGCCGGTAGAGCACCGGGAAGGTGAAGGCGCAGACCACACCTGGCGGGGGAGGGCCGGGCTGTCACCTCGGGGGTCACCCGGGGTCCCCAGATGTCCCCTCATCCTCCCTGCCACCCCCGCCCTGTCCCCAGGATGTCCCCAAGCTGTCCCCGTGTCCCCTGTGCCACATCCCCATCCCCGTGTCCCCTTGTCCCCCCAGTGTCCCCCCAGTGTCCTCCCATGTCCCCCCAATGTCCTCATGTCCCCACCATGTCCCCCGGTGTCCCCATGTCCCCTTTTGTCCCAGTGTCCCCATGTCCCTTCAGTGTCCCCATGTCCCTTTAGTGTCCCCGTGTCCCCTCAGTGTCCCGGTGTCCCCTCAGTGTCCCCATGTGCCCCCAGTGTCCCCAGTGTCCCCTCAGTGTCCCCGTTGCCCCCCATGTCCCCAGTGTCCCCTCAGTGTCCCCATGTGCCCCCAGTGTCCCCTCAGTGTCCCTGGTGTCCCCGTGTCCCCTCAGTGTCCCCAAATCCCGCCTGTCCCCCTGTGTTCCCATGTCCCCAGTGTCCCCATGTCCCCGTTGCCCCAGTGTCCCCCCGCTGTCCCCCCACTGTCCCCGCTGTCCCCGCTGTCCCCCCACTGTCCCTGCTGTCCCCCCGCTGTCCCCTCTCTGTCCCCCCGCTGTCCCCGCGCTGTCCCCGCGCTGTCCCCGCTGTCCCCGCTCCGTACCCGCTGCCAGCAGCGTCAGCCCGTTGCAGGCCGCCCCCACGTAGGTCAGCAGGTAGAACAGGAAGGCGAACTGGGGGGGCCACCACCGCCACCGGCACCGTCACTGTCATTGTCACCGGCACCGCCACCGGCACCCCATCCCCGGGCCACCCACAGCCCCGTGTCCCCGGGGCCACCCACACCCTCCGGGCCAGCCTAGTCCCCCACATGTCCCCCCAGTACCCCCCAAGTGTCCCCAAGTGTCCCCAATGTCCCCAATACCCCCCAAGTGTCCCCAAGTGTCCCCAATGTCCCTGTGTCCCCATGTCCCCAATACCCCCAAGTGTCCCCAATGTCCCCCCATGTCCCCACTGTCCCCCATGTCCCCAATACCCCCCAAGTGTCCCCAAGTGTCCCCAGTGTCCTTGTGTCCCTGTGTCCCCAATACCCCCAAGTGTCCCCAAAGTCCCAAACACCCCCCAAGTGTCCCCAATGTCCCCAATATCCCTCAAGTGTCCCCAATGTCCCTGTGTCCCCATGTCCCCAATACCCCCCAAGTGTCCCCAATGTCCCAAACACCCCCACAAGTGTCCCCAATGTCCCCTCATGTCCTCACTGTCCCCCATGTCCCCAAGGCCCTCCATGTCCCCGATGCCCCCAATGTCCCCAGTGCCCCCCGGTGTCCCCCGTGTCCCCCCCGATGTCACCTTGAGGGACTCGGGGACGCTGTGGACGAGGAAGAGGCGGGTGAGGGTGTGGGCGGCCGTCACGGCGTGGCGAGCCAGGTACCGCGCCCAGCGCTGGCGCTGCTCCGCGCTCAGCGGCTCCTGCCTGGGGACACAGGGGACACAGGGGACAGCCACGGGGTCAGGGGACAGCCACGGGGTCAGGGGGACAGCCACGGGGTCATGGACAGGGACAGGGACACAGGGACACAGGGACAGGTACCGCGCCCAGCGCTGGCGCTGCTCCGCGCTCAGCGGCTCCTGCCTGGGGACACAGGGGACAGGGGGACAGGGACAGGGTCAGGGGGACAGCCACGGGGTCAGGGGACAGGGACAGGGACACAGGGACACAGGGACAGGGTCAGGGTCAGGGACAGCCATGGGGACAGGGATAGGGATGGGACAGGAACAGGGGGAGAAGGAAAGGGACAGGAGGACAGGAACAGGGGACAGGGACATGGGGACAGGGACAGGGATGGGACAGGAACAGGGGAATGGGGACCGGGATGGGGACAGGGGCACAGGGCCAGGGACAGGAATGGGACAGGGACATGGGGACAGGGACAGGGATGGGACAGGAACAGGGGAATGGGGACCGGGATGGGGACAGGGGCACAGGGCCAGGGACAGGAATGGGACAGGGACATGGGGACAGGGACACGGGGACACGGGGACACAGGGACACGGTGACAGGGACACAGGCCGGGCGCGGCCCCGGTGGCACTCACCGCTCGGGGGGCTCGGGGGCGGGCGGGGGGCTCAGCACCGCCAGGGCCATCCGGCGCAGGCGCAGGGGCACGGTGACAGCCAGCACGGCCAGCGCCGCGTGTGCCACCACCGCCACCGCGCTGAACCGCGCCAGGCAGGCCAGAGCCAGCAGGGACAGCAGCAGGGACAGCGCCGAGCGCGCCGGGCACCGCCACAGCAGCAGGGACAGCACTGCGGGATGGCAGTGTCACCGCTGGGGACATGCTGGTGACACCCCGGTGACACACAGTGATACCCCAGTGACACTCCAGTGCTCCCAGTGACACCCCAGTGACACCCACTGACACCCCAGTGACACCCAGAGCCAGCAGGGCCAGCAGCAGCGCCAGCACCGAGCGCGCCGGGCACCGCCACAGCAGCAGGGACAGCACTGCGGGACAGGTGTCACCGTGTGGGGACACGCCGGTGACACCCAGTGACACCCCAGTGACACCCCAGTGACACCCAGCACAGCAGGGACAGCACTGCGGGGTGGCAGTGTCACCGTGTGGGGACACCCCAGTGACACACAGTGTGCCCAGTGACACCCCAGTGACATCCCAGTGACACCCAGTACAGCAGGGACAGCACTGGGGGGATGGTGTCACCGTGTGGGGACATGCTAGTGACACCCCGGTGACACCCAGTGATACCCAGTGACACCCCAGTGTGCCCAGTGATACCCCAGTGACACCCCAGTGACACCCAGTGACACCCCAGTGCTCCCAGTGACACACAGTGACACCCAGTATCCTGCCAGTCCCTCCCAGTGCCCCCCCACCAGTTCCCTGTTTCCCTCCCAGTCCTCCCCAGTCCCTCCCAGTGCCCCCCCAGTCCTCCCCAGTCCCTCCCAGTCCCTCCCCAGTAGTTCCCAGTTTCTCCCAGTGCCCCCCAGCAGTTCCCAGTCCCCCCCAGTTTCCCCTCCACAGTCCCCCAGTGCTCCCAGTGCTATTCCCAGTGCTCCCAGTCCCTCCCAGCAGTTCCCAGTCCCTGCCCAGCGGTTCCCAGTCCCTCCCAGTGCCCCCCCCCACCAGTTCCCAGTCCCTCCCAGTCCCCCCCAGTCCCCCCCAGCAATTCCCAGTTTCTCCCAGTGCCCCCCCACTAGTTCCCAGTTTCTCCCAGTCCCTCCCCAGCAGTTCCCAGTCCCTCCCAGTCCCTCCCAGTGCCCCCCGGCCGCACCTGTCCCCTCCATGGCTCCCGCGGCCTGTCCCGCCATTTTTGGGGGGGTTGAGGTGGGGTCACCCCCTAAATTTATCCGCCAATGGCGGCGGGGCCCGAAACCGGACCCCCCGCGCGCTCCCATTGGCTGCTCACCCTGTCCGTCAGCGCCCGCCGCGCGCGCTGATTGGTCCGCGGCCGGCGGAGGGGGCGGGACCGCGGCCTGAGGGGGCTCCGGGGGCGGCGGGCGGGGGGCGCCCCCTGGCGGCGGGGCGGGGGGGGGCGGGGGGGCTGCTGGGGGGAGAAATGGGGGGGGGAGGGGTCGGGGGGGGTCCGGGACCCCCCCTTGTACCCCCACCCCCACTGGGGACCCCCCCCCTTGTACCCCACCCCCCATTGGGGACCCCCCCCTGTACCCCACCCCCCATTGGGGACCCCCCCCCTGTACCCCAACCCCCATTGGGGACCCCCCCTTGTACCCCAACCCCCATTGGGGACCCCCCCTTGTACCCCAACCCCCCCGGGGACCCCCCCTTGTACCCCCACCCCCATTGGGGACCCCCAAATCCCCCCCAAATCCCCTCAGGGACCCCTCAGACCCCCCCAGGGACCCCCAAACCCCTCCTTGTACCTCGACCCCCCTCGGGGACCCCCAAATCCCCTCAGGGACCCCTCAGATGCCCCCAGGGACCCCCAAATCCCCTCAGGGACCCCCCAGACCTCCCCAAGGACCCCCAAATCCCCACAGGGACCCCTCAGACCCCCCCGGGGACCCCCAAATCCCCTCAGGGACCCCCAAGACTCCTCAGGAATCCCCAAATCCCCTCAGGGACCCCCAAATCCCCTCAGGGACCCCTCAGACCCCCCCAAGGACCCCCAAATCCCCTCAGGGACCCCCAAATCCCCTCAGGGACCCCCAAATCCCCTCAGGGACCCCTCAACCGCCCCCAGGGACCCCTCAGACCCCCCCAAGGGACCCCCAGACGCCCCCCAGGGACCCCCCCAAAATCCTCACCGGGGCTCCCGGGGGTCTCCTCAGCCCCGCCCCCCCCCAGACCCCGCGGGAGCCCCTCGGGGGTCCCGGGGGGTGCCCGGGGGGTTTTTGGGGGGTCCCGGCGGCCGCTCGGGGCTCCGGGCCCCGGGGGCGGGGGGGGGCGCGGGCCCGGCGGGGGTCGCGGCGGCCGCGGGGTCCCGGTTCGGCCGGGGGGGTCCCGAAGGCGATGTAGGAGAAGGTCAATTCCCGGGGGGGGTCCCGGGGGGCGTCCCGGGGGTCCCCCCGAGCCGCCGCCCCCTCCTCATCTTCATCCTCCTCCTCCTCCTCCTCCTCCTCGGGGGGCTCCGGCGGCAGCTCCGGGAAGGCCTCGGGGCCGCCTGGGGGGGTTTGGGGGGATTTGGGGGGATTTTTGGGGGGATTTGGGGTTTTGGGGGGTTTGGGGGGATTGGGGGGTTGGGGGGTTTGGGGGGATTTGGGGTCCGGGGGGATTCGGGATCGGGGAGATTTGGGGTTCAGGAGGGTTCCGGGGGATTTGGGGTTCGGGGTTCATTCGGGGTTCGGGGATTTGGGGTTCGGGATTTGGGGTTCGGGGTTCGGGGATTTGGGGTTCGGGATTCGGGGATTTGGGGTCCGGGGTCCCGCTCACCCTCGCTGGAGTCCGGCGTGGTGGAGGCCGTGGACGGAGCCTCCTCTGGGGGGGCAACGGGACCGGGACCCCCAAACTCGGGCCGCGCTCCCCGGGACCCCCGGGCGCGTCCCGTCCCCGGCACTGCCGCCCCCCGTCCCGGTGCTCCCGGTGCCCCCGGAGCCTCCCGGTACCGCCGCCCCGGGTGCCTTTGTGCCCGGTCCCCCCATCCCGGTTCCCCCCCGGTTCCCGGTCCCGCCATCCCCGGTAACTCCCGCACCCCTCATCCCGGCCACTCCCGGTCCTTCCGTGCCCGGTTCCTCCCGGTTCCCGCAGCTCCGGTCCCCTCCCGGTGCTGCCCCGATCCCTCCATCCCGCGCCATCCCCGTCCCCTCCGGGTTCCCGGTGCCGGATCTATCCCCGGTTCCCGGTGCCGGATCCATTCCCGGTTCCCGGTGCCCCCATCCCCGTCCCCTCCCGGTTCCCGGTGCCGGATCTATCCCCGGTTCCCGGTGCCGGATCCATCCCGGTTCCCGGTGCCCCCATCCCCGTCCCCTCCCGGTTCCCGGTGCCGGATCCATCCCCGGTTCCCGGTGCCGGATCCATCCCCGGTACCCGCGGCCACTCCCTGTCCTTCCGTGCCCGGTTCCCCCCGGTTCCCGCAGCCCCGGTCCGCCCCGGTGCCCCCATCCCCGGCTGCCCCTCCCGGTTCCCTGCTGCCGCTTCCCGGTGCCGCCTCCCGGTTCCCCATCCCCGGCCACTCCCGGTCCCCCGTTACCTCCCGCATCCCGCAAACCCCCCCACCCCCCCAGCCCCTCCCCGCGCCCCGTTCCCGGTGCCCGGTACCCGCTACCCCATCCCCGACCCCTCCCGGTGCCGCCGCCCCTCCCCGCTGCCCGGTGCCGGTTCCCGGTTCCCGGTGCCGGTTCCCGGTTCCCGGTGCGTACTGCAGTGGGCGAAGCCCAGGACCTGCCCCATGGCGGCGGCCCCCGCATGGGGCTCCCGGTCGCGCTCGGCCCCGCCGCCCCCGGGCCGGCCCCGCCGCGCATCACCGCGGCGCCATGGCGGGCCCGGGGCCGCGGACAAAGGGCGGCGGCGGCGGCGGCGGCGGCGGCGGCGGAGAGGGGCGGGGCGGGGCGGGACCGGGCGGGACCGGGCGGGGCGGGGCGGGGCGGGACCGCACCGGGGAGCGGGGAACGGGAGAGCGGCGGGAATGGGCACCGGGAATGGGGATGGGGACCGGTACCGGGAACCGGCACCGGGAATGGGGATGGGGACCTGGAATTGGTACCGGGGAGCCGGGAACGGGGAGAGCGGCGGGAATGGGTACCGGGAATGGGGATGGGGACCGGGACCGGCACCGGGAATGGGGATGGGGACCGGTACCGGGAACCGGCACCGGGAATGGGGATGGGGACCGGGAATTGGTACCGGAGAGCCGGGAACGGGGAGAGCGGCGGCGGGAATGGGCACCGGGAATCGGTACCGGGAATGGGGACTGGGAATGTCATCGGGAACCGGCACCGGGGAGCCGGGAACGGGGAGAGCGGCGGCAGGAATGGGTACCGGGAATGGGCACTGGGTACCGATACCGGGAATGGGCACTGGGCACCGGTACCGGTACCGGTAATGACACAAGGAATGGGCACTGGCACCGGGTACCGGTACCGGGAATGGGCACCGGGTACCGGTACCGGGCCCGGGAGCCTGGCACCGAGCCCGGGGCTCCCCGGTTCCCCTCGGAGTCTCCGGCACCTCCCGGTGTCCCCCCAGTGGTTCCCGGTCCCTCCCAGTTTGTCCCAGTCGCTCCCAGTGCCCGGGACCGGAGAGTTCGGGGGGGGCACTGGGGGGGCACTGGGGGGATACTGGGGGATACTGGGGGGGCACTGGGGGACACTGGGGGGGCACTGGGGGATACTGGGGGGGCACTGGGGGACACTGGGGGGGCACTGGGGGACACTGGGGGGGCACTGGGGGATACTGGGGGATACTGGGGGGGCACTGGGGGGCACTGGGGGGATACTGGGGGGGCACTGGGGGATACTGGGAGGAGCCGCTGGTCGTTACTGGTCGTTACTGGTCGTTACTGGTCGTTACTGGGGCCCGCGCGCCGCCGTTACCGCCCGGGCGGATCCCGGGGCCGCCTCCCGGCGCCGCCGTTACCGGGAGGGGCGGGGCCATGCCCATGGGGGGCGGGGCCTCCCGCCGGGACCGGCGGGTCCGGCCCCCGCCGCCACCGGAAGGGCCCGGACCGACCGCGGCCGCCAGCATGGGGTGAGGGGGGTCGGTACTGGGAGCACTGGGAGCAACTGGGAGCAACTGGGAGTAACTGGGAGTAACTGGGAGTAACTGGGAGCACTGGGCAGAGGCGCTGGGGGGACCGGCGGGAGCGTTACCGGGCGCGGGGGGCACCGGGGAGCGGTACCGGGGGCGCTGGGAGCGGCGGGGGTCGGTACTGGGAGCAACTGGGAGCAACTGGGAGCAACTGGGAGAAACTGGGAGTAACTGGGAGCAACTGGGGAGCGGCGCTGGGAGAGCCGGTAACGGGCACCGGGCGGTACCGGGGCGTTGGGGGCGCCGGTAACGGGAACTGGGAGAACTGTGAGTGGGAGTTGGGGGCGCTGGGAGCACTGGGAGAGCCGGGAATCGGTACTGGGAGCACTGGGAGAGCCGGGAATTGGTACTGGGAGCACCGGGAATCGGTACTGGGAGCACTGGGAGCACTGGGAGCACTGGGAATCGGTACTGGGAGCACTGGGAGCTCTGGGAATCGGTACTGGGAGCACTGGGAGCACCGGGAATCGGTACTGGGAGCACTGGGAGCACCGGGAATCGGTACTGGGAGCACTGGGAGCACTGGGAGCTCTGGGAATCGGTACTGGGAGCACTGGGAGCACCGGGAATCGGTACTGGGAGCACTGGGAGCACCGGGAATCGGTACTGGGAGCACTGGGAGAGCCGGGAATCGGTACTGGGAGCACTGGGAGCACTGGGAGCACCGGGAATCGGTACTGGGAGCACTGGGAATCGGTACTGGGAGCACTGGGAATCGGTACTGGGAGCACTGGGAGCACTGGGAGTGGGGGAGGGGCGGCCCTGGGGCGAAGAGGAAGGAAAAGGGGGGGGAGGGGGGCGGTTTTGGGGTGCGGGGGGGGAAATTTGGGGATTTCCGGGGGGGGTCCCCGACTCTGGGGGGCCCCAAATGAGGGGGGGGGTCCCAGCCCGGGGGGGGGGTCCCAGCCCCCAGTGGTGGGTTCTATCCCAATTTTTGGGGTTCTATCCCCATTTTTGGGGGTTTTATCCCCATTTTGGGGGTTCTATCCCCATTTTTGGGGGTTTTATCCCCATTTTGGGGGTTCTATCCCCAGTTTTTGGGGTCCCTCACCCCATTTTTGGGGGTTATATCCCCATTTTTGGGGTCTCTCACCCCATTTTTGGGGTCTCTCCCCGCAGCGAGCAGCTCCTGTGCAGCTCCCGTGCAGCGGTGCTGCTCTACGATGAGGTGCAGCGGCAGTGGCAGCCGGTTGGGGGGTCCCCCCCCGGGCCCAGCTGTGTCCAGCTGCTGCTGCACCCCCAAACCCGCAGCCTGAGGCTGCTGGGCCGGCGGCTGCAGCCCGAGCCCCAGGTGGGCACCGGGGGGCCCGGGGGGGTTTGGGGGGGTACCTGGGGGGTTTGGGGGGCACCTGGGGGGGTTTGAGAGGCACACGGGGGGCTTGGGGGGCACCCGGGGGGCACCTGGGGGGATCTGGGGTCACCTGGGGGGAGCTGGGGGTAACTGGGGGGCTTTGGGGGGTACCTGGGGGGCTTGGGGGGTACCTGGGGATACCTGGGGGGGCTTTGGGGGTACCTGGGGGGCTTTGGGGGGCACCTGGGGGGATCTGGGGGGGTTTTGAGGGGCACCTGGGGTCACCTGGGGGGCTTTGAGGGGCACCTTGGGGCTTTGGGGGGTACCTGGGGGGGCTTTGGGGGGTACCTGGGGAGGCTTTGAGGGGCACCTGGGGGGCACCTGAGGGGATCTGGGGGTACGTGGGGGGATCTGGGACCCCACCCAGGTGTGGGGCTCACCCAGGTGTGGGGTCACCCTCTCTGTCTGGGGTGGGGACCCCTTCCCGCCCCCCCCCCCAGTCTCTGGGGGGAGTCTGAGCTCGGACCCCCCCAGGTGGTGCTGGACTGTGCCCTGGGCCGGGGGCTGCGCTACAGCCAGACCACCCCCCAGTTCCACCAGTGGCGCCAGGGCCGGCGGGTCTGGGGGCTCAGCTTCGCCGCCCCCCCCGAGGCCGCCCGCTTCGCCGGGGCCGTGCTGCGCGCGCTGCGGGCGCTGGACACCGGTGAGGGGCCGGGGGGGGTCCGGTGGGGTCCCGGGGGTGTCCCGGGGGGTCCCCAAACCCCCCAGCCCACCCCGGGCTCACCCCCTGCGCCCCCTCCCCACAGGATCGCCGCTGCCCTGGCCCGACCCCGACGGTTCTGAGCCCCCCGAGAGGTGAGGGGGGGGTGGGGGGGACACCCCAAATTTTGATTTTGGGGAGGGGTCCCAGGTGGGACCCACTGACCCCTCCCCTCCCCCCCCCAGGGTGGTGATGGACGAGTCCGAGCGGCGCGGGACGGCCACAGGTGGGGGGGGTGGGGGTTCAACACTGACCCCCCCCCCAAAATAAAACCAGCCCCCCTCCCCCGCCTTCGCCCCCTCTTCGTTGTCCCAAATTTCCAATTTTTTTCTCTCTCTCTCCCCTCCCCCCCACAGGACCCCCGGCTGCGCCCCCTCCCCCCCCGGGACCCCCCCCGGGACCCCCCCGCCCCCGGCCCCCCCCCCCCCCCCCCCCCCCCCCCCCCCCGCCCGGTCCGGGGGTGGGGGGAGGGGAAGGGCCGGAGGGGGGGGGAGGGCCGGGGGTGGGGGTGGTGCCCGGGGGGGGTCCCGGGGGGGTCTCCGGCTTTGCCGCCGCCATCACGGGGGCCAAACTCAGGAAAGTGGCGAAGGTGAGTGGCCAATTAATTAATAATTAATTAATTAATTAATTAACAGCATGGGGGGGTGGGGGGGTCGATATTTCCCCCTTCTCACCCCCCCACCCCCCCCTTTTATTACTTTTTTTTTTTCTGTGTCCCATCAGGACGAGACCACCCCGAGCCCCGCTGGGGGGGGGAGGGGGGTCCGGCCCGGCCCCTCCACCCCCCCCCAAATCCGAGGGTCCCCCCCGGGCCGGGGGTGGGGGCGGGGGGCTGATGGAGGAGATGAGCGCCATGCTGGCCCGCAGGTGAGGAGGGGGCGCCAAAATTTGGGGGGGGGGGGGTCCCTCAATTCCCACCCTGACCCCCCCTCCTTTTCCCCTTCCCCCACAGGAGAAAAGCTGCGGAGGGGCCAAAAAAGGAGGATGACGTCACCAACGTCAGTACAAACCCCTCCTCCCTCAAATCTCAATTTTGGGGAAGGGTCTCTGCCTCCCCCTCCCCAAATTCTCTTTCCTTTCCCCCCCCCCCAAATCCAGGAGGAGGCGGAGCCCAGCGCCAGGACGGCGGGGCCGGGTGAGCGCGCGGACTACAACTCCCAGCATGCACCGCGGCGGGGGCAGGCGGCCGGGCACGGTGCGGGCGCGCGGGGCACGCCGGGAGCTGTAGTTCTTTTAAAAAAAAAAAAACACCACCTAAAGAAATTCCTTAAAAGCTCCCAAAAAGGGCAAACTGAGAATGGGGGGGTAACTGAGGGGGTCTGATTTTTTGGGGAGGCGGATTTGAGGGTCCAGCCCCCCTCTCCCCTCACCCCCCACCCTCTCTCCCCGCAGAGCCTGTCCGGAGGCCCTGGGAAAAATTCAGCTCCACCTTGCCCAGGTGCGTTTTTGAAGGGTGGGGGGAGGATTTTGGGGCGGGGGGTCCCCAATTTATTGTTTCTCCCCCTCGCAGGGTGAAATCGGCCGCTCCAACCACCCCCTCGGAGCCCCACAGTGAGCTGGACCTGGAGAGATTTAAGCTGGTACCGGATTTGGGGGGGGTCCAGGGGGAATTTGGGGTTTTGGGGGGGGGTCTGGGGTGTACCCCCCCCTCACCTGGTGCCCCCCATCCCCAGGAGCTGCTGGAGGAGGTGCGGAAGGAGCTGCAGAAGGTGAAGGAGGAAATCATCCAAGGTGAGGGGGAGGGGCTCCGCTGGAAATTTGGGGGGGGGGGGCTGACAACGCCCCTCCCCCAACCCATTTTCTGTCCCCCCTCCCCTCCCCCAGCTTTGGTGACGGAGCTGCGGAAGCAAAACGAGCCCTGAATGCCCCCTCCCCCCCAGCACGATGCCACGGATTTTGGGGAGGGGGCGCTGCCCCCCAACCCCCCCTCCCCCACCATTTCACACCCCCCTGGGGGGGGCTCCGGGTCACCCCCCCCCCCCCAGGCTGTGCCTTACCGGCGGGGGGAGCCCCGACCCCCCCACACTGTGCCCCCCACCCCAATTTTACACGTGGGGAGGGGGGGAGGGAGGAGAAACCTTTCCCCCCTTTTTCTCCCCTCCCCCACCCGGGGGGAGTTTTTTTTTAAGCCACTTTTGGGTTTTTCACCTTTTTTTTGGGTTATTTGGGGAGGGGTCTCCCCGCCCAGCACCAATAAACGGTTTTGTACAGGACCCTCGTGGTTTTTGGGGGGTCCCTGAGGGTTTTTGGGGGTCTTTGGGGGGTCCTGGGGTGGGCGGGGCTTCAAAAACCACGCCCCCAACCCCAGGAGAAGCCCCGCCCACTCTGCACCGCTCTCAGCACCTCCCCACCAATGACAGCTCTCCTCCTCCCCTGGCCCCGCCCAACGCGAAGCCACGCCCACCCTCCCCGTTAGCCCCGCCCCTTAAAGGCACCGCAGGCACCACACACAAACGCTTTAATGCACGGGGGCGGGGCCTGTCGCGATAGGGGCGTGTCCAGAGCCAGCGGGGGCGTGTCCATCCCCATCAGCGTTCCTAGTTTGGGCAGGGGCGTGTCCTGAGGTGACCTGGGCGTGTCCAGCCCCACCCTGGGCGTGTCCTGAGGTGACCTGGGCGTGTCCTGAGGTGACCTGGGCATGTCCAGCCCCACCTTGGGCATGTCCAGCCCCACCCTGGGTGTGTCCAGCTTCACCCTGGGCGTGTCCATCCCCACCCTGGGTGTGTCCAGCCCCACCTTGGGCGTGTCCATCCCCACCCTGGGTGTGTCCAGCCCCGCCTTGGGCGTGTCCATCCCCACCCTGGGCGTGTCCCCGGGCCCGCAGCTCCTCCAGGTCCCTCTGGAGCAGCTCCAGGCCCCGCCGCAGCTCGGCCAGGCTCTGCTCCAGGTGCTCCTCGCGCCGCCGGCTCTGCCCCGCCTGCCGCAGGTACTCGAGGTAGAGGCAGAGCCCCCCGACGCCGAAGACGAGCGCCTCGCCCAGCAGCTCGGCCCCCAGCTCCGCCGCCGCCTCCTCGTTCAGCGGCTTCACGGCCGCGCCGCGGAACCCCAGCAGCCGCATCTTGGTTCGCATCTCCACCCAGTGGTAAACTGAGGCACGGGGGAAGGGCGCTGAGACAGCTCAGCCCCCCCCCGGGGATGGATTTACCCCAAATTCGGGGTTAAATAATCCCAAAGGAGCGCCCGGATCCCACCCGAATCCAGGCAGAAATTACCTCCAGATCCTGTCACAAATCCACTTAAATCTGGCCATAAATTCACACAAAATCCTGTCACAACCCCCCCCCCAAATACAGCTACAATCTCCCCCAAATACAGCCATAATTCCCCCAAAATCCAGCCATAAATCACCCCAAATACAGCCATAATTCCCTCAAAATCCTGTCACAGATCCCCCCAAATCCAGACATAAATCACCCCAAATCCAGCCATAAATCACCCCAAAATCCAGCCATAAATCCTTTCACAGATCCCCCCAAATCCAGCCATAAATCACCCCCAAATCCAGCCATATATCACCCCAAATACAGCCTTAAAATCCTGTCACAGATCCTCCCAAAATCCAGCCATAAATTCCCCCCAAATCCAGCCATAAATGCCCCCCAAACCAACTCCCAGATCCCCCCCAAAATCCCGCCATAAACACCCTGAAATTCAGCCATAAATCCCCTCCAAGCCTGCCCAGGGTCCGGGAGGGTCCCCCAGGTGTCCCCAGGTGTCCCCATGACCCCGGTCCCGCCACGGGGCCGGCCCGGGAGGTGCCCCCAGGTATCCCCAGGTGCCCCCAGGTATCCCGAGCTGTCCCCAGGTGTCCCCATGACCCCTGTCCCACCCGGGGGTCGGTCCGGGAGGTGTCCCCAGGTGTCCCCCAGGTGTCCCCAGGTATCCCGGGCTGTCCCCAGATGCCCCCAGGTGCCCCCAGGTGTCCCCATGACCCCGGTCCCGCCCCGGGGCTGGCCCGGGACGTGTCCTCAGGTATCCCCAGGTGTCCCCCCGGTATCCAAAGGTGTCCCCAGGTGTCCCCATGACCCCAGTCCGCCCCGAGGCCGGTCCGGGAGGTGTCCCCAGGTGCCTCCAGGTGTCCCGAGCTGCCCCCAGGTGTCCCGAGGTGTCCCCATGACCCCGGTCCCGCCCCGGGGCCGGCACGGGAGGTGCCCCCAGGTGTCCCCCAGGTGTCCCCAGGTGTCCCCATGACCCCAGTCTCGCCCCGAGGCCGGTCCGGGAGGTGTCCCCAGGTGCCTCCAGGTGTCCCGAGCTGCCCCCAGGTGTCCCGAGGTGTCCCCATGACCCCAGTCCCGCCCCGGGGCCGGCCCGGGCGGTATCCCCCGCTGTCCCCCGCTGTCCCCCGGTGTCCCCCCGGTGTGTCACTCACGCTGGGCGGGGGGCAGGCACAGGTAGGTGCGGAAGAAGGGCGACGCGCGCGCCCCCGCCTTGATGCGCGCGGCCAGCGGGCGGCTCAGCTGGCGCGCGCCCAGCGTCAGCAGCTTGGCCAGCGGGAACGCGCCCGCCACCATCGCGCCCGGCGGCGCCCGGTGATGACGTCACCTCCGCACCGACAGGCCACGCCCCGCCCCTTCCCGGCCCCGCGGGGCGCCCCCTGGCGGGCGGTGGGGGTGGGACACGCCCACTTTGAGCGGAACACGCCCATTTTAATTGGGACACGCCCACTTTAATTTGGGGGCACTGGGGGGACACTGGGGGACACTGGGGAATACTGGGGGGACACTGGGGGACACTGGGGGGGCACTGGGGGAGAACTGGGGGACACTGGGGGACACTGGGGGGGCACTGGGGGAGAACTGGGGGACACTGGGGGACACTGGGGGACACTGGGGGACACTGGGGGATACTGGGGGGGCACTGGGGGATACTGGGGGATACTGGGGGGGCACTGGGGGATACTGGGGGATACTGGAGGGGCACTGGGGGACACTGGGGGGCACTGGGGGATACTGGGGACACTGGGGACACTGGGGGGCACTGGGGAGCACTGGGGGACACTGGGGACACTGGGGGGGCACTGGGGGACACTGGGGGAACACTGGGGGGACACTGGGGGGGCACTGGGGGATACTGGGGGATACTGGGACACCGCCCCCGGTGACACCGGGACCCCCCGTGGGTGACACCGAGACCCCCCCGGTGACACCGGGACCCCCCCGGTGACATCGAGACCCCCCCCGGTGACACCAGGACACCCGTAGGTGACACCGGGACCCCCCCGTGGGTGACACCGGGACCCCCGTGGGTGACCCCGGGACCCCCCCGGCGACACCGGGACCCCCGTGGGTGACACCGGAACCCCCCCCGGTGACACCGAGGCTCCTCCCGTGGGTGACACCGGAACCCCTCGGGAGTGACACCGGGACCCCCTGGAGTGACACCGGGACCCCCCCGGTGACACCGGGACCCCCGGGGGTGACACCGAGACCCCCGTGGGTGACACCGTGACCCCCGTGGGTGACACCGGGCCCCCCCGGGAGTGACACCGGGACCACCGTGGATGACACCGGGACCCCCGGGGGTGACACCGGGACCCCTGTGGGCGACACCGAGACCCCCCCGGTGACACCGGGACCCCCCCGGGAGTGACACCGGGACCCCCCGGTGCCACCGAGGCTCCTCCCGGGGGCGGTCCCCGCCCCTGCCGGTGCCACCCGAGGGTGACAGAGGCACGCGCGGAGCCGGGACCGGTGACAAGGGCGGGGAGGGGACGGGGACAGCGACACCGCAGCCCCGGGGACACTTCGCGACCCCCCGGGGGACACCCCAGGGCCACCATGGGCCAGCGGGTGGCGACCCCCGCCCCGCCGGGCCACGTCCCGCCCGGAGCAGAGGTGAGACCCCCGCGACGTCCCCCGATGTCCCTCATTGTCCCTCGATGTCCCTCATTGTCCCTCGATGTCCTCCTTTGTCCCTTGATGTCCCTGCTGTCCCCAATGTCCCCCGATGTCCCTTATTGTCCCTCGACGTCCCTCGATGTCCTCCTTTGTCCCTTGATGTCCCTGCTGCCCCCGATGTACCTCATTGTCCCTCGATGTCCCCTCGCTGTCCCCTCACTGTCCCCTCGTTGTCCCCGCTGTCCCCTCACTGTCCCCGCTGTCCCCGCTGTCCCCAGGAGCGCTCCGCCCGCGCCACCGTTGTCGCCTGGCGCCGGTACCGCCAGACCTGCGAGCTGCAGCTGCGCCTGACCCCGCCCGCGCCAGGTGAGGGCCACACCTGCCCGGGGATGGGGACACCTGGGGACACCTGGGGACAGCCCGGTGACACCGCCACCCCTCGGCAGGACCCGTCTGCAACCGCACCTTCGACCTGTACGCGTGTTGGGGGGACGCTGTCCCCAACAGCACCGCCACTGTCCCCTGCCCCTGGTACCTGCCCTGGTACCACCGAGGTGAGACACTGCTGGGGACACCTGGGGGGGACACCTGGGGACACCTGGCAGGGGTGGGGACATCGGGGGGGACACCTGGATGGGGACACCTGGGCGGGTGGGGACACCTGGGAGGGGATGGGGACATCTGGGGGGGATGGGGACACCTGGGAGGGGACACCTGGGGACACCTGGGAGGGATGGGGACACCTGGGAGGGATGGGGACATCGGGGGGGACACCTGGGAGGGATGGGGACACCTGGGAGGGGACACCTGGGCGGGATGGGGACACTGGGCACGGGTGGGGACACGGGAGGGGACACGGGAATTGTACCTGCCCTGGTAGCACCGAGGTGAGGCGGAGGGGACACCGGGGACAGCCGGGAGGGGACACCGGGGACACCGGAGGTGACACCGCCACCACAGTGCAGGGCGGGGTGGTGGCGCGGCGCTGCGGCCACGACGCGCGGTGGGTGACAGACGACAGCGGCAGGACATGGCAGGACAATTCCCAGTGCGAGGACCTGGCGGAGATACAGCCCCTGGAGGTGGGGACAGGAGGGGACAGGGAGGGGACAGGGAGGGGACAGAGAGGAGACAGGGAGGGGACAGAGAGGGGACAGAGAGGGGACAGAGAGGGGACAATGAGGGGACAGGGAGGGGACAGGGAGGGGACAGGGAGGGGACAATGAGGGGACAGGGAGGGGACAGAGAGGGGACAATGACGGGACAGGGAGGGGACAGAGGGGGGACAGGGAGGGGACAGAGGGGGGACAGGGAGGGGACAGGGAGGGGACAGGGAGGGGACAGAGAGGGGACAGAGAGGGGACAGGGAGGGGACAGAGAGGGGAAAGAGAGGTGACATGTCGGGGACGCCACAGGGGACAGCGGGGGTGACACGGTTCGGTGCCACTGAGCGGTGCCACCACGCCGGGAGGTGCCACGTGCCCGTGGCTGTCACACGCCGTGCCCCGCGCGTGTCACCCGGAGCGCAGCGTGACACCGGGTGGTGACACCGGGTGGCGGTGGCGCCACGCGCCGCGCTGCGCTGGCACGTGTGTCACCGCCGGTGTCGCGCTGTGCCCCGTGTCCCGTGTCCCCTGCGCCGTGCCGTGTCCCCCGCCGTGTCCCCGTGTCCCCCGCCGTGTCCCCGTGTCCCTTGCTGTCCCCGTGCTGTGCCGTGTCCCCGTGTCGCCCTCTCCCCCTGTCCTCATGTCCCTGTGTCACCCGTGTCCCACTGCCACCCTGTCCCTGTGTCCCCATGTCCCCCCTGTCCCCGTGTCCTGGTGTCCCCTGTCCCCGTGCCATGTCCCCCGTGTCCCCTGTCCCCGTGTCCCTGTCCCCGTGTCCCCGCAGCGCCAGGTGTGGCTGCTGGAGCAGTTCCGCCTCCTCTACACCGTGGGGTACTCACTGTCCCTCGTGGCGCTGCTGGTGGCACTGCTGCTGCTGCTGCTGCTCAGGTGGGACACCTGGGGACAGCTGGGGACACCTGGGGACACCTGGGGACACCTGGGGGCACCTGGGGACACCTGGGGACAGCTGGGGACACCTGGGGACACACCTGGGGACACCTGGGGGATGTCACCTGGGGATGTCACACCTGGGAGATGTCACACTGGGGAACGTCACGCCCTGGCGGTGTCACGTGTGTCCCGCGTCACGCGTGTCCCGCAGGCGGCTGCGCTGCACACGGAACCTGATCCACGCCAACCTGTTCGCGTCCTTCGCGCTGCGCGCCGGCGCCATCCTCACGCGGGACGCGCTCCTGCCCCACGGCCACGGCCACCCCCTGCAGCTGCTGGGCCGGCAGGTGGGCGGGGACACGCGTGGGGACACCCACGGGAGGGAGGGGACACCTGTGGAACAGGGGGACACTCGTGGGGACACCCACAGGAGGGAGGGAACACCCGCGGGGACACTTGTGGGGTGGGAGGGGACACCCAGGGGACACCCACGGGAGGGAGGGGACACCCACGGAACATGGGGACACCCGTGGGGGACAGTCGTGGGGGCGGGGACACGCGTGGGGACACCCACGGGAGCAGGGGACGCCTGTGGAACAGGGGGACACCCGTGGGGACACCCACAGGAGGGAGGGGACACCCAGGGGACACTCGTGGGGTGGGAGGGGACACTCGTGTGGTGGGAGGGGACACCCACGGGAGGGAGGGGACACCCGGGGGACACTCAGGGGAGGGAGGGGACACCCACGGGAGGCACACCGTGGGCGTGGCGCAGGCGGGCCCCGCGTGCCGCGTGGCGCAGAGCGTGGCGCAGTACTGCGTGGGCGCCAACTACGCCTGGGCCACGGCTGAGGGGCTGTTCCTGCTGCGGCTGCTGCTGGCGGCGAGCCCGGCCCGGGGCTGCCTGCCCGGGTACCTGCTGCTGGGCTGGGGTGAGACACCTGTCATTGTCACCTGTGTCACCGTGTCACCTGTGTCACATCCACCCGTGTCACTGTGTCACCTGTGTCACTGTGTCATTGTGTTACCTGTGTTACCTGTGCCTGCCTGGCCTCCTGCTGCTGGGCTGGGGTGAGACACGTGTCATTGTCACCGTGTCATTGTCACCCATGTCATTGTGTCACCCGTGTCACCGTTTCACTGTCACCCTTGTCACTGTGTCACCCGTGTCACCTGTGTCACTGTTTCACTGTTACCCTTGTCAGCGTGTCACCTGTGCTATCCGTGCCACCTCCTGTCCCCCCGTGTCCCCCGTGCCACCTCCTGTCCCCCCCCCCGTGTCCCCAGCCAGGTGTGTCCCCCCCGCCAGGTGTCCCCGTGCTCTTCGTGGTGCCCTGGGTGGTGCTGCGCCACCTGTACGACAACGAGGGGTGAGGCCACCACCTGTCCCCACCTGTCCCCCCACCTGTCCCCCACCTGTCCCTCACCTGTCCCACCTGTCCCCACCTGTCCCACCTGTCCCACCTGTCCCACCTGTCCCACCTGTCCCAGGTGACACCGTTATTTCGGGGACAGGTGTTGGGAGCGCAATGACAAGGTGGCCGTGTGGTGGCTGATCCGCTGTCCCATCCTGGTGGCGGTCACGGTGGGTGACATCGCTGGGGGGGGTGCCGGGGGTCACCACGGGGTCACCGCGGGGTCACCGCGGGGTCACCGCCCGTGTCCCCTCCCCCGGCCCAGGTGAACTTCGTGGTGTTCGTGCGGATCCTGCGGATCCTGGTGGCCAAGGTGCGCGCGCGGCAGGTGGCCCGCGGGGACACGCGGCTCAGGTGGGGACACTGGGGGGGTGGGGACACTGGGGGGGACACCTGAGGGGGTGGGGGGACACTGGTGGTGACACCTGAGGGGGTGGGGGGACACTGGGGGGGACGTGGGAGTGGCTGGCTCAGGTGGGGACACCTGGCACAGGTGGGGACACCTGGCTCAGGTATGTCCCCATGCCCAGGGGGTGTCCCCACGGTGTCCCCACGCTGCCCCCGCGTGTCCCCGCAGGCTGGCGCGCTCCACGCTGACGCTGATCCCCCTTCTGGGGGTGCACGAGGTGATTTTCGCCCTGGCCGGGGAGGCGGAGGCGGGCGGGGGCAGCCTGAGGCTGGCGCGGCTCTGCCTGCACCTGCTGCTCACCTCGGCACAGGTGAGTTGGGGACACCCCCCGTTACCGGGGCACCCCCGGGACCCCCACCCACCCAAACCTGTCCCCCCAGGGCCTGGTGGTCAGCGTCCTCTACTGCTTCACCAACAAGGAGGTGCGTCCATGGCGGGCCCGGGGGTTCCTGTCGTGACAGGGCCATGGATGGCCAGTGACACCTGTCGCGACGTGCCGCCCCCCAGGTGCAGGCCGAGCTGCGGCGGGGGTGGCAGCGCTGCCGCCTGGGGGTCACCGGTGTCGCCCCCCGGGACCCCCCGAGGCGGGGACAACGGGCGGCGGTGGAGAGCGGCTGCTGAGGGGGGCGGGGGGCACCTGGGGGGCAGCTGGGGGGCACCTGGGAGTCCTTGGGGAGCACCTGGGGGTGCTGGGGGTCACCTGTGGGTCCTGGGGGGCACCTGGGGGTGTTGGGGGTCACCTGTGGGGGCACCTGGGGGTCCTTGGGGAGCACCTGTGGGTCCTGGGGGGCACCTGGGGGGGTACCTGTGGGTCCTGGGGGTGTTGGGGGGGGCACCTGGGGGTGTTGGGGGTCACCTGTGGGGGCACCTGGGGGTCCTTGGGGAGCACCTGTGGGTGCTGGGGGTGTTGGGGGGCACCTGTAGGTGCTGGGGATGGGCGAGTCCTCAAAAGTTTTGGTTGCGGGGAATGGGGGGTGGTTTGGTTCAATTTGGGGTGAAATCCTGGGGATTTGGGTGTTTGGGGGCAGGGGGGACACACGGGGGTCGCGGCTTTGTACCCTAAAAACTAAACCACGTGACCCCCGGGGGGCGCCGCGCCGCCATTGTGTGTCTGTGGGGGGGAACTACAACTCCCAGCACGCCCCGCGGCGCCTCACGGCACGGGCGCGAACTACAGCTCCCGTGAGGCGCCGCGCGGCCGCCCGCAGCCCGGCGAGCGCGAACTACAACTCCCGTGAAGCCTCGCGCGGGCGCAGGCGCGGAGCGCGGCGGGCCCCGGGCGCAGGCGCGGCGGGGCACCCCGGAAGCGGCCGGAGAGGCGGAGCGGCCGCGCCCGGCACGGCCCGGTGAGCGGGGGAGGGGCGGCGGCACCGGGTGGGGCCCGGCGGCCGCGGGAGGGGCAGGCCCGTGGGCGTGGGGGCCTCGCGGGACGCTCCCCGGGGCGTGCGGGCCTGGGAGAGGCCTAACGGAGGGGACAGCGGGGGTCCTCAGGGGGGGAACCCGGTGCGCCCGGAGGCTCCGGCGGTGTCCCCGCGCTGCCAGGGCCCGTTAACGCCTCCTCCCCACCGGACACTGGCGCCGGTTCCCGCCCCCCCTCTCCAAAACCGGGGCTCCCCCCCCCTCCCCTCCCGGGGCCCACGCGGGACCGGGACCCGCCGGGCCACGCCCCCTCCTGGAAGCCCCGCCCCCGCGCGCCGCCGTCCATATATGGGCATGGCCCGAACGCCGCGCGCTGATTGGCTGCTGGCCGGGTGGGCGGAGGCGTTCAGCGGGAGGGGCGTGGTCTTCTCCGGGGTGTGGGCGGGGCGTGAGGAGGGGCGGGGCGTAACGGGCCCGGGGGGCGGGGCTTGAGGCGCGCGTGGGGGGGGTGGGGGGGCAGCCCCACGATGTCCCCAAGGGTCCTCAAGTGTCCCCCCGGTGTCTTCGAGGGTTCCCTGGTGTCCCCAAGCATCCCTCCAGTGTCCCCAAGTGTCCTACCAGTGTCCCCAAGCAGCCCCCAAGTGTCCCCCAGGTGTCCCCAAGTGTCCTCCAATGTCCCCAAGCGTCCTACTGGTGTCCCCCAGCTGTCCCCGAGTGTCCTCTGTCGTCCCCAAGGCTTCCCCCAGGTGTCCCCAAGCATCCCCTCAGTGTCCCCCAGTGTCCCTGAGTGTCCCCGAACGTCCCCCTGGTGTCCCCCAGTGTCCCTGAGTGTCCCCCTGGTGTCACTGCCTCTCTCCTCCCTCACAGGCCCGGGCGGCCCCGGCGGCGTGGCCGTGCCATGCGGCGCTGCCGATGGAGCCCAACGCCTTCCCGCAGCTGCAGCTCTGGTGCCCGCGGCCCTTTGGCACCTTCTCGCAGAACAAGCCATGCGCCCCCGCTGCCGCCACCACCACCACCGCCGCTCCCACCGCCCCGTCACCACCACGCAAACCCCTGAGCTGCCGCCCCACCGAAAACACCCCCCCGGAGCCCCCCGAGCCCGGCCCGGCGCCGGCTGCGGCCGCTGAGGACGGGCGGGTGCTGCTGGACACGTGGTACGTCATCAAGCCGGGCAACACCAAGGAGAAGGTGGCGTTCTTCGTGGCGCACCAGTGCGGCAGCGGCGCCGGCGGCCGCGCCAGCACCATGAAGGTCAAGGGCAACTGGGGCAGCGACAGCTCCAAGGCCAAGCGGCGCCGGCGCTGCCACGACCCCAAAGCCGCGCCCGGCTGGGCCGCCGGCACCGGGGACGCCGCCAAGGACCCGGCGAAGGACACCGATGGCACCGGTGACACGCCGGACCTGCTGTCGGTGGCGGAGATGGTGGCGCTGGTGGAGCGTCGCGCGGCGCTGGCCCTGCAGAGCCTCCCACGGCCCTGCGACGCGCCGGCACCGCTGGTGCTGCTGGAAGCGCCGGGCGGCCCCGAGTGCCGGCGCGTGGCCGCCGCCGTGGCGCAGTTCGAGTCGCAGCAGCAACGCCGGTGCGAGCGCGGCGAGGCGCGGCCCAACGGGTTGTGCCGCGGCGGCAGCGGCGGCGGCGCCAACGATTGCAACGCGGGCGCAACGGCGGCGCCCGGAGAGGTGCGGATCGCCTTCCGCATCTCCAGCGGGCGTGAACCACGTGGCGGCGGCGCCGCGAGCGCCGGTGGTGCCGTGCCGGAGCGACCGCGCGCGCTGGGCGCCAAGGACCAGATCACCTGCGACCTGTACCGGCTGGTGAGCCCGGCGCGCGCCGGCGTGGAGCTGCTGCTGGCCGCCAAGGGGGACACGGACGGCACCGAGGAGGCGCCGGCAGCGGCTGAGCAGGGCGGTGTTGCCGAAAGCGCCGCGGCGTCGGCGTCGGCGTCGCGGGACTGCGCCTCCGGCTTCCACGTGGACGTGGTGGTGACGGGCGTGGTGGACCAGTGCGTGTTCTTCGGCAAGGACAGCGCCAAGCAGGTGACGGAGGAGACGGTGCGGCTGCCGGACGAGCCGCCGCCGCCCGGACAGCTCTTCCTGCTGCCCGGCCGGCCCGAGGAGCCGGCAGCTGGCGCGGCGGCACCGGGCCGGGACGCGCCCGGGGACCCGGCGCTGTGCCGGCTGTACCGGCACGTGTCGCACGATTTCCTGGAGATCCGCTTCAAGATCCAGCGGCTGCTGGAGCCGCGGCAGTACATGCTGCTGCTGCCCGAGCACGTCATGGTGAAGATCTTCAGCTACCTGCCCACGCAGGCGCTGGCCGCCCTCAAGTGCTCGTGCCACTACTTCAAGCAGATCATCGAGACGTTCGGCGTGCAGGCCACGGACTCGCGGTGGAACCGGGACCCGCTGTACCGCGACGACCCCTGCAAGCAGTGCAAGAAGCGCTACGAGCGCGGGGACGTGTCGCTGTGCCGCTGGCACCCCAAGCCCTACCACCACGACCTGCCCTACGGCCGCTCCTACTGGATGTGCTGCCGCCGGCCGGACCGGGAGGCGCCGGGCTGCCGGACGGGGCTGCACGACAACAACTGGGTGCACCCGGCCGGCCGCAGGGAGGACGGCAGGTGAAGGACGGACGGATGGACACACAGACACGCGGACGGACGGACGGAGCGGGGAGGGGGAAAAGCCGCGGAAGGATTTGGGGAGGGGGAGAAAAAAAGAAAAAAAAAGAGGAACGGAAAGGTCCAGAGTGGAAGTGTGGAACGGGGAAGGTGTGGGGTGGAAGTGTGGGGTCGGCGGTGGCAGTGTCACCAGCTGGGGTGGTGGTCACAGGGAGGTGACATTTTTTTCCAGGATGGAGGAAAATGGGGACAACCCAGTGGCGACGTCCCCAGCCAAGTTGGTGGCCCTGTTGGGGTGACATTTCTCTCCAGGATGGAGGAAAATGGGGACAGCCCAGTGGCGATGTCCCCAGCTGGACTGGTGGCCGCAAGGAGGGTGACATTCCCCTCCAGGACAGTGTCCCCATGGAGGATCAGCCCAATGGTGGTGTCCCCAGCTAGGCTGGTGGCCTCTGAAGGGTGACATTCCCCTCCAGGGTGGTGTCCCCGTGGAGGACAACGGGGACGGCCCAGTGGCGATGTCCCCAGCTAGGTTGGTGGCACCTGAAGGGTGACATTCCCCTCCAGGATGGTGTCCCCATGGAGGACAATGGGGACGGCCCAGTGGCGATGTCCCCAGCTAGGCTGGTGGCCTCTGAAGGGTGACATTCCCCTCCAGGATGGTGTCCCCGTGGAGGACAATGGGGACAGCCCAGTGGCAATTGTCCCCAGCTGGGCGGGTGGCCACAGGGGGGTGACATCCCGTGTCGCTGTGTCCATCCCATGTCCCTGTGTCCATCCCGTGTCCCTCTGTCCCCTCCGTGTCCCTCTGTCCCCCTTTTCCCCCCCTCTGTCCCCCTGTCCCCCTCCCGTCCCTTGTCACCCCCCATGGGCGTGGCCTTCGCAAGCCCCGCCCCCCTCCCAATCCCCGCGCTCCCCGTGTGCGCGCGCCGCCCCGCCCCTCCGTGGCCCCGCCCCTCGCCAGCCATTGGCCCGCGCCGGCCCCGCCCCCGGCAGGCCCCGCCCCCGCCATGCGCCAGGTCCCGGCCGGGCCGCGCCGCGCTCGGGCCGCGGGTTCGAGTCCGGCTCCGGCCCCGGGGCCGCTCCCGGTACCGGTCCCGGGGCCGGGCCCCTCCCGGGGGCTCCTCCCGCGGCCTCCGCGCCCGGCCCGGCCGCTGCTGCCGCTGCTGGCGCTGCTGGCGGCCGCCGCCGTGCTGTTCCTCTCCTGGCCCGGCGGGGAACGCGGAACTGCCGGCCCGGTGAGAGGGGGGGGTCGGGATTACCGGGGGGGTTAACGGGGAAGGGGGGGGGCGTTAACGGGACCCCCCCACCCACTTCGGGACCCCCGGGAGCCCCCGGTGTCCCGGGATGCATTCTGGGGCGGGGTCAAAGGATGCGGCGTGGATCGGAGCCCCCAAACCGCTCCGGGACCCCCAAAACCGCTCCGGGACCCCCAAAACCGCCCCGGAACCCGCAAAACCGCTCCGGGACCCCTAAAACCGCTCCGGGACACCCAAAACCGCTCCGGGACTCCCAAAACCGCTCCGGGACCCTCAAAACCGCTCTGGGACCCCCAAAACCCCTCCGGGACCCCCAAAACCCCTCCGGGACACCCAAAACCACTCCGGGACCCCCAAAACTGCTCCGGGACACCCAAAACTGCTCCGGAACCCCCAAAACCGCTCCGGGACCACCAAAACCTCTCTGGGACCCCCAAAACCCTTCTGGGACACCCAAAACCGCTCCGGGACCCCTCAAACCGCTCCGGGACCCCCAAAACCCCTCCGGTACCCCCATAACCATTCTGGGACCCCCCGAAATCCACCCTGAGACTCCTTCAGGACCCCCCTAAACCCCTCTGGGGCCATCCTGCCCCCCCAGGACCCCCCAAAATCGCTGCGGGACCCCGGCCCCCCCTCGGAGCGCGCCCTGCGGACCCTCCTGGCCCACCTGGACCCCGCCCGGCTCTGGGGGTCCCTCCTGCGGCCCCTCCTGCACGAGAGGCTCCCGGGGGGGCCTGGCAGCCGCGCCGCCCGCCAGGTGAGACCCCCAAAATATACCCTGGGACCCCCCCCGGGACCCCCAAATCTCCCTGAATCGCTCCAAACCCCTTTCAGACCCCCCAAACCGAATTCAGACCCCCCCCCAAATCCCCCCAAAATCCCCCTGAAATACCTTTCAAACCCCCCAAATCCCCCCAAATCTGAAATTCCCCAAAACTCTCCCAAACCGCTTTCAAACCCCCCAAATCTCCCCAAAACCCCCCCAAACCACTTTCAAACCTTCAAATCTCCCCAAAACTCTTCCAAACCCTTTTCAACCCCCCCCAAACCCCTTTCAAAGCCCCCCAAACCCCCCCAAATCTCCCCCAACCCCCCGCAAATCTCCCCCAAACCCCCCCAAACTCCCCCAAATCTCCCCCAACCCCCCCCAAACCCCCCAAACCCCCCCAAACCCCCTGCCCTGTGCCCCCCCAGCACATCGTGTCCCACCTGCGCTCGCTGGGCGCCCGCTGGCACCTGGAGCTGGACACCTTCGTGGCGCCCACGCCGCGGGGCCCGGTGGCCTTCAGCAGCGTGGTGGCCACGGTGGCACCGGTGGCATCGCGGCGTTTGGCGCTGGGCTGCCACTACGACACCAAAGCGCTGCCCGGCGGCACCTTCGTGGGCGCCACCGACGCCGCCGTGCCCTGCGCCCTGCTGCTGGAGCTGGCTGCCGCGCTGGACGGGCACCTGAGGGAGAGAGGGGAGCAGGTGAGGGCACCTGGGGTACCTGGGGACAGGTGAGGGCACCTGGGGTACCTGGGGACAGGTATGGGTCATCCATGCCCTGCTGCTGGAGCTGGCTGCCGCGCTGGACGGGCACCTGAGGGAGAGAGGAGAGCAGGTGAGGGCACCTGGGGACAGGTGAGAGCAGGTGAGGGCATCTGGGGACAGGTGAGGGTACCTGGGGGCACACCTGGGGTACCTGGGGTCATCCATGCCCTGCTGCTGGAGCTGGCTGCTGCGCTGGACGGGCACCTGAGGGAGAGAGGAGAGCAGGTGAGGGTACCTGGAGACAGGTGAGGGCACCTGGAGTACCTGGGGGCACACCTGGGGTACCTGGGGGCACACCTGGGGTACCTGGGGACAGGTGGGGACAGGTGAGGGTACCTGAGGACAGGTAGGCATACCTGGGAGCGTCTGGGAGTCACTTCAGGACATCTGGGGACACCTGGACACACCTCAGGACAGCTGGGAGTCACCAGGGGGACACCTGGGGTCACGTCGGGATCACCTGGGCAGTGTGGCAGGTGTGCCCAGGTGTGCCCAGGTGTCACACAGGTGTGCCCAGCTGTCACACGGGTGTGCCCCAGGTGTGACACAGGTGTTCCCAGGTGTGCCCAGGTGTGCCCCAGGTGTCCCCCAGGTGTGCCCCAGGTGTCACACAGGTGTGCCCAGTTGTGCCCAGGTGTGCCCAGGTGTATCCCAGGTGTGCCCAGGTGAATCCCAGGTGTGCCCAGCTGTCACACAGGTGTATCCCAGGTGTGCCCAGGTGTGCCGAGCTGTCCCCCAGGTGTGCCCAGGTGTGCCCAGGTGTACCCCAGCTGTCCCCCAGGTGTGCTGAGCTGTCCCCAGGTGTCACACAGGTGTGCCCAGGTGTGCCCAGCTGTCCCCCAGGTGTCACACAGGTGTGCCCAGGTGTGTGACCCAGGTGTGCCCAGGTGTGTGACAGGTGTGTCCCTCAGGACCCGGCGCTGACGCTGCAGCTGCTGTTCCTGGACGGGGAGGAGGCGTTCGAGGCCTGGAGCGACAGCGACTCCCTGTACGGGGCGCGGCACCTGGCGGCCAAGATGGCGGCGCGGGGTCACCCCGCGGGGTCAGAGGTCACCGCCATGGTCAGTGACGGGTCACCGCGGGGTCAGGGACACCGGGGGTCACCCGTGGGGTCAGAGGTCACCAGCATGGCATGGCCAGTGACATGGGGGGGACGCTGTCCCTGTGGTTTGGTCCCTGTCCCCATGGCCATGTCCCTGTGTCCCCTCTGTCCCCACGCTGTCCCCACACTGTCCCCACGCGGTCCCCTCTGTCCCCACACTGTCCCCACGCTGTCCCTGTGGTTTGGTCCCTGTCCCCATGGCCATGTCCCTGTGTCCCTGCGGTGTCCCCACCGTGTCCCCACACTGTCCCCGCTCTGTCCCCTCTGTCCCCACGCTGTCCCCACACTGTCCCCACACTGTCCCCACGCTGTCCCCTCTGTCCCCACACTGTCCCCACGCTGTCCCCACGCTGTCCCCTCTGTCCCCACACTGTCCCCACGCTGTCCCCTCTGTCCCCAGAGCCTGCTGGTGCTGCTGGACCTGCTGGGCGCCGCCCGTCCCGCCATCCACAGCCACTTCCCGGAGAGCCACCGCTGGTTCCTGCGCCTGGCCACCATCGGTACGGGATGGGGACAGGGCGGGACGGGGACACTGGCGGCCACACGTCCCCGATGTCCCCCCAATGTCCCCGCAGAGCAGCGGCTGCGCCGCCTGGGGCTGCTGTACTCGGCGCCACCGGAGCCGCCGTTCTTCCGCCTGGAGCCGCCCCCGGGGCCCGTGGAGGACGATCACCTGCCCTTCCTGCGGCGAGGTGACTGTCCCCAGTGTCCCCAAGTGTCCCCAGTGTCCCCAAACTGTCCCCAAGTGTCCCCAAACTGTCACCACCCTGTCCCCAGTGTCCCCAAACTGTCCCCGGTGTCCCCAAACTGTCCCCGGTGTCCCCAAACTTCCCCCGGTGTCCCCCCTGCCCTTCCTGTGGTGAGGTGGCTGTCCCCGGTGTCCCCAGTGTCCCCAGACTGTCACCACCCTGTCCCCAGTGTCCCCTGTGTCCCCAATGTCCCCCCGGTGTCCCCAGTGACCCCAGTGTCCCCAGACTGTCACCACCCTGTCCCCAGCGTCCCTTCTGTCCCCAATGTCCCCCCAGTGTCCCCCCTTGTGTCCCCCATGTCCCAAATATCCCTGCAGGTGTCCCCACTGTCCCTCTGTCCCTGTCCCAAGTCTCCCCAATGTCCCCCCAATGTCCCCCACTGTCCCCCTGGTGTCCTCAATGTCCCCCCGGTGTCCCCACTGTCCCTCTGTCCCTGTCCCAAGTGTCCCCTATGTCTCCCCGGTGTCCCCCAATGTCCCCAGGTGTCCCCACTGTCCCTCTGTCCCTGTCCCAGGTGTCCCCACTGTCCCCAGGTGTCCCCACTGTCCCTCTGTCCCGTCCCAGGTGTGCCGGTGCTGCACCTGATCCCGACGCCGTTCCCGCGGGTGTGGCACACGCCGGGGGACACCGAGGCCAACCTGCACCCCCCGACCGTGCAGGACCTGGCCAAGGTCCTGCTGGTCTTCGTGGCCGAGTTCCTGCAGCTCTGACCCCCCCGGCCCCAAAAACCCCACAAAAACCCCCAAAACCGCAAAGAAACCCCAAAACCACAAAAAAAACCCCAAAGGAACCCCAAAACCACAAAAAATCCCCAAAAGAACCCCAAAACCACTGGAATTCCATTTATTGCCTGGATTTGGGGGCACACCTGGGGTCACACCTGAGGGAGGGGAAAAAAGGGGTTAAAGGGAGGGGGTTTGGGGGTCTTGAGGCAGGATTTGGGGGTCCCGGGGGTGGATTTCGGGTCCCAGGGGAGGATTTGGGGGTCCAAGGGGGGGATTTGGGGTCTTGGGGGGGATTTGGGGGTCCCAGGGGGGATTTGGGGTCCCGGGGGGGATTTGGGGTCCGGGGGGGGATTTGGGGTCCCGGGGGGATTTGGGGTCGGGGGGTCTCACCCGCGTGGCCGAGGGTCTCTGTGGGCGCCGCTCCGGCCCGGGGGGGCTCAGCCGAGGGGTCCCCCCCGTGTCTGTCGGGGTCCTGCTGCCAAAACCCACCGTGAGACCCCCCCCAAAAAACCCCAAATCCTGCCCTGGAACCCACCGGGACCCCCCAAAATCCCCTTTGGAGCTCAGAGAGAGACCCCAAAACCCCCCAAAATCTCCCAAATCCCCCCAAAACCTCACCTGCCCCCCCCCCCCAGCCCCAGTAACAGCCGTGGGACCCCCTGACCCCCAAACCCTGAACCCCAAAGTTCCCCCCAAACCCCCCTAAACTGCCCCAAACTGCCCCAAAACCCCAAAACTCCCCCCAAAACCCCAAACTCCCCCCAAACCCCCCAAATTCCCCCCAAACCCCCCAAAACCTGACCTGCTCCCTCGCCACCTGCGCGCCACCGCCAGCCCCAATAACAGCCCGGAACCCCAAACCCTGAACCCCAAACTGCCCCAAAACCCCTCAAACTGCCCCCAAACTCCCCAAACTGCCCCAAAACCCCTCAAAACTGCCCCAAACCCCCCCAAAACTGCCCCATACCCCCCAAAACCTGACCTGCTCCCTCGCCGCCTGCGCGCCACCGCCAGCCCCAGTAACAGCCCCAAACTGCCCCAAAACGCCCCAAACTGCCCCAAATCCCCCAAACTCCCCCCAAACCCCCCAAATTCCCCCCAAATCCCCCAAACTCCCCCCAAATCCCCTAAAATCCCCCAAATTCCCCCCAAAACCTGACCTGCTCCCTCGCCGCCTGCGCGCCACCGCCAGCCCCACGCCGGGCGCCACCAGCAGCAGCGGCAGCGCGCACAGCGCCAGCGGGGCCGTTCCTCGGCGCGGGCGGGGGGCGGCCGGCGGCGCCCCCACCTCCTCCTCGCAGCGCACCCCCATGAAGCCGGGGGGGCAGGCGCAGACCGGCCCCGAGAAGTGCGTGAAGCAGGTGCCGCCGTGCGCGCAGGGGTTGGGGGCGCAGGCCCCGGCGCGGCGGCGGCAGCGCGGCCCCCCGAAGCCGAGCGTGCAGGTGCAGCTGAAGGAGTTGGCGCCGTCCTGGCAGGTGCCGCCGTGCGCGCAGGGGTTCGGGCTGCAGTCGTCCGCGTTGTGCTGGCAGCGGCGCCCCGAAAAACCCGGCGGGCAGCGGCACAGCGGCGCCAGGCCCTGCGCGTCCCGGCACTGCCCGCCTGGCGCGGAGGAAACGGCGGGGTGGGGGAAAAAACGGGGGGAAACGGGGGAGAAAATGGGTGAGAAACGGGGGAAAATGTGGGATAAAACGGGGGGGAAATGGGGGATAAAACGGGTGAAAAACGGGGGAAAATGGGGGATAAAACGGGTGAAAAACGGGCAGAAATATGGGATAAAACAGGTGAGAAATGTGGGATAAAACGGGTGAAAAACGGGCAGAAATATGGGATAAAACAGGGGAGAAATGTGGGATAAAACGGGTGAAAAATGGGGGGGAAATGTGGGATAAAACGGGTGAAAAACGGGCAGAAATATGGGATAAAACGTGTGAAAAACGGGCAGAAATATGGGATAAAACAGGGGAGAAATGTGGGATAAAACGGGGGAAAAGTGGGGGAAATATGGGATAAAACGGGGGGGAAATGTGGAATAAAATGGGTGAAAAACGGGGGACGTGGGATAAAACAGGTGAAAAACGGAGGGGAAATGTGGGATAAAATAGGGGGGAATGTGGGATAAAATAGGGGAGAAAACGGGAGGGAAATGTGGGATAAAATAGGGCAAAAACGGGGGGAAATAGGGGGAAATGGGGGGGAAAATATGGGGGAAATAACGGGGAATATGGGGGGACAAATGGGGGAAAATGTGGGTGAAAACGGTGGGGAAATGGGGGGAATAATGGGGGGAAAGGTGGGGGAGAAATGGGGGGAAATAAGGGGGAAAATGGGGGAAATCGAGGGGGAAAATGGGGGGAAATGGGGAGAAAATGGGGGAAAATGGGATCGGGAGGAAAAAAGCGGGGAAAAGAGAGGAAGAGCAGAAAATGGGATTGGGGGGGAAAAGCGTTTAAAAGGAGTGGGGGGATAAAGGGGGAAGGGGAGAGCGGAGGGGAGGGGGCGTCACTTTAGGGTTTTTTGGGGCGGTTTTGGGGTTTTTGGGGGTTATTTTGGGATTTTGGGGGTTTTTGGGGGTTATTTTGGGTTTTTTGGGGGTTATTTTGGGTTTTTTGGGGTTTTTTTGGGCTCTCACCGTTCAGGCAGTACTGCGGGTCGCAGCGATCCGCCCGGCGCTCGCAGTTGGAGCCGCGGAATCCGGGCGGGCAGCGGCAGCTGTACCCGGGGCTACCGGGGGGGCTCCCGGGGGTCCCGGGCCGGGGGTCGGGGGCGCAGGCGCCGCCGTTAAAGCACGGCCCGAGGGCGCAGGGGGAGGGGGGCACCTCCGGGAGGGGGTACGGGACCCCCGGGATGGGCTCCGGGGCCACCGGGATGGGGTTGGGGACCCCTGGGAGAGGCTCCGGGGCCACCGGGAGAGGCTCCGGGGCCACCGGGATGGGGTTGGGGACCCCCGGGAGAGGCTCCGGGGCCACCGGGAGGGGATCCAAGACCTCCGAGACCCCCGAGAGTGGCTCCGGGAGCCCCGGGAGCGGCTCCGGGACCCCCGAAGGATGATCCGACACCCCCGGGAGCGGCTCCGGGAGCCCCGGGAGCGGCTCCGGGACCCCCGAAGGATGATCCGACACCCCCGGGAGGGGATCCGGGACCTCCGCCAGCACCGGAACCGGGTGCGGGACCCTCGGGAAGGCACCGGGGACCTCCGGTACTCCCCGAAGCTGCTCCGGGACCCCCGGCGGCGGCTCCGGGACCGGGAAGCGCCGTCGCGGCGGCAGCGAGGACGGGGACGGGGCTGCCGGTGTCGCCACCGGGGACACCGGGGCCACCGACGGAGCGTCCAGGGCCACCCCGGGGGCCACCGGAGCCGCCGCCGGGGGCTCCGGGGCCACCTCCGGGGCCACCGGGGCCACCAGAGCCGCGGCCGCGGCCACCGCCGGCGCTTCCACGGCCGCCGCCGGTGTCGCCGCCGGTGCCGCCGGTGCCGCCGGGCTGTCGCAGCCGCTCCCGTGGCCCTGCGGGGACAGCGCCGTTACCGGGGCCGGGGGTCCCGGGAGGGTCCCGGGGGTACCGGGGGGGTCTCAGGAGGGTTCCGGGGGTCCCGGGCGTCCCGGGGGTTCTGAGGGGGTACCGGGAGTACCGGGGGGGTCCCGGGGGGGTCTCAGGAGGGTTCCGGGGGTCCTGGGGGGGTTCCGGGGGTCCCGGGGGGGTCTCAGGAGGGTTCCGGGGGTCCCGGAAGGGTCCCGGGGGTCCCGGGGGGGTCCCGGGGGGGTCTCAGGAGGGTTCCGAGGGTCCTGGGGGGTACCGGGGGGGTACCGGCAGGGGTCTCAGGAGGGTCCCGGGGGTTCCGAGGGGGTCCCGGGGTTCCGAGGGGGTTCCGGGGGTCCCGGGAGGGTCCCGGGGGTACCGGGGAGGTCTCAGGAGGGTCCCGGGGGTCCGGGGGTCTCAGGAGGGTTCCGGGGGGGTTCCGGGGGTCCCGGGGGGGGGTCGCACTCACCGAGCAGCCGCCGCCGCCACCGGCGCAGGCGCTGGGGGGGGGCACAGGGACCCCGACACCCCCCTGGGGGGACAGAGGGGGCTCAGGGGACCCCGAACCCCGCGGGGGGGGGGTCCCGGGGTCGGGTTTGTTTTTTGGGGGCACTCACGGGGGGCGCAGCAGCGGCTCCAGCAGGCTCGGGGGGCGCAGGGGGGGCAGGGGGGGCAGCGGGGGGCGCGGGGGGGGGGAGGGGCAGCGCAGGCGGGTCCCGAAGCGCAGCCCCCCCCCCCCCCCCCCGCCCCGGCCCCCCCGGCCGCAGCCGCGGCCGCGACACGGCGCGCCCCAAAAGCCTCAGGGGGGCCCTGGGGGGGGCGGGGGGGGGGGGGTCAGCACCGGCAGAGACCCCCGGGACCCCCCCCGAGACCCTCAGACGCAATTTACCCCCCCCACCCCAAAACACTCCCCCAAAAATCTCACTTTGATGCCCACCCCGAAACTCCCGCGTTGTGCCCCGAATTTGCCCCCCCCCAAATTTTCCTGCCCCCCAACCCCAAATTTCCACCCCAACATCAAATTCCTCCCCTCTAGCCCCAAATTTTGCCCCCCCAGCCCCAAATTTCCTCCCCCAACCCCAAATTCCTCCCCCACAACCCCAAATTTCCCCTCCCCAGCCCCAAATTTTGCCCCCCAGTCCCAAATTTCCTCCCCCAACCCCAAATTCCTCCCCCACAACCCCAATTTTCCCCTCCCCAACCCCAAATTTCCTCCCCCCAGCCCCAAATTCCTCCCCCAAACCCCAAATTTCCCCTCCCCCGCCCCAGATTTTGCCCCCCGCCCCAAATTTCCCCCTCACCGGGGGCTCCGCTCTCCTCCAGCCTCCAGGACTCCACCACCAGCGAGACGCTGCCCTGGGGGGGAAACCAAATTTTGGGGGGGTTCTCATCCTTCCCGGTCCCTGGGGGGGCTCAGATTTTGGGGGGATCGCAGATTTGGGGAAGGTCGCCGATTTGGGGGGGGTCTTGGATTTTGGGGAGGCGGTCCCGGATTCTTTGGGGGGTGGTCCCGGATTTTTTTGGGGGGGTCCCGGATTTTGGGAAGGTCCCGGATTTTTTGGGGGGGGTCTCACCGGAAAGGGGAAGGGGTCCCGGATTTTGGGGGGGTCCCGGATTTTGGGGGGGTCCCGGATTTTTTTTGGGGGGGGGTCTCACCGGCCAGGGGAAGGGGTCTCAGATTTTGGGGGGGTCACGGATTTTGGGGGGGGGGTCTCACCGGCCAGGGGAAGGCCACGGGCAGGCGGAGCATTCGGGGGGCTCCGGGCGCGGGGGGCGGCCCGGGGGGGCTCTGCGCGACCCCCAGGCCGCAGCCGCGACCCCCGGGGGGGCGCAGGCAGAGGCGGAACAGGAGGCGGCAGGAGGGGGGGCCCCCGCAGGGACCCCCGGGACCCCCCCGCGCCGACAGCACCCGCAGCTCCAGGACCCCCGCGGGGCGCGCCTGGGGGGCCAAAATTACCCACGGAACTCTCAAAAACACCCCCCAAAAATCCCCCTCCAAAAAAACCCAAAATTACCCCCAGGACTCCCAAAAATCCCCCCCAAAATTACCCACGGCACCCACAAAAATACCACCCCCCCCAAATTACCCCCGGGACCGCCAAAAAACCCCTCCCCAAAAAAACCCCAAATCCCCCTAGGACCCCCAAAATCTCCCCCAGGAAACCCCAAAATCCCCCCATGATACCCCAAACCCCTCAGGACACCAAAATCCCCCTCAGAACTCCTCCAAAGCCCCCCAGGACCCCCCAAACCCCCCCAGGACCCCTCCCCAAATTCCCCGCCGCCCCCCCCCTCACCGGGGCGGGGCCGAGGAGGAGGAGGAGGAGGAGGAGGAGGAGGAGGAAGGGCGGGGGGCGCAGCATGGCCGGGCCGGGGGTCCCTCCGGGGCCGGGGCTCGCCGGGCTCTGAGCCCCGCGCCGCCCCCAGACCCATTTGAAGGCGCCAAGCCCCGCCCCCCGAGCCCAGGCCCCGCCCCCAAATCCCACCCCCCAAAAAGGGGGATGTGCCCCCAAAAAAGGGGAGATTCGGCCCCAAAACCACCCCAAACGTGAGGATTCAGCCCCAAATGCGAGGATTTGGCCCCAAAAACGAGGATTCATCCCCAAAAGCCCCGAAACCCCCAGATTCCTCCCCAAAACCCCCAAACCCCCAGATTCCCCCCCAAAACCCCTGAAACCCTCAGATTCATCCCCAAAACCCCCGAAACCCCCAGATTCCTCCCCAAACCCCCCAAATCTGCAGATTCCACCCCAAAACCCCCAGATTCCTCCCCCAAACCCCAAATCTGCAGATTCCTCCCCAAAACCCCAAAACCCGCAGATTCCTCCCCCAAACCCCGCGCCAGCACCGTCTCCCCGCACAAACCAGAGTTCTCCCCGAGCTCCGTTTCCGCCTTTATTCACCCCAAAACGGGGCCAGACCCCCAAAACCCCCCCCCAAAAAAACCCCAAATCCCCCCTCCCCCTCCCGCGGCATTTCGGGAATTCGGGGTTATTCGGGGGTGGGGGGGAGGGGATGTTGGGGTCCCCTCCCCCGCCGCCGCCGTGCGGGGCGGCGATGACGTCACGATGAGGTCGTGATGATGTCACTGTGACGTCACGATGACGTCACTGCTGCTTGGAGCGCGGCCAGAGGCGCCCGGTGAGGTGGCCCAGGAAGGTCCCGGCCGGCGGCTTCCCCTGTGCCAGCTCGGCCTGGCGCTGCTGCTGCTCCTGCGCCACAGGTGTGCCCAGGTGTGTGCCAAGGTGTCCCCAGGTGTCCCCCAGGTGCCCCCCAGATGTGCCCAGGTGTGCCAAACCCTGCCCAGGTGTGCTCAGGTGTGCCCAAATACCCCCCAGGTGTCCCCCAGGTGCCCCCCAGGTGTGCCCAGGTGTGCCAAAATACCCCCCAGGTGTCCCCCAGGTGCCCCCCAGGTGTGCCCAGGTGTCCCCCAAGTGCCCCCAGGTGCCCCCAGGTGTGCCCATGTGCCCCCAGGTGCCCCCCGGTGTGCCCAGGTGTGTCCCCAGGTGTCCCCCAGGTGCCCCCAGGTGCCCCCAGGTGTGCCCAGGTGCCCCCCAGGTGTCCCCAGGTGTCCCCACCTCCTCCAGGCGCGTCCGGCGCCGCTGGAAGGCCGCCAGGGGATCGTCCTCGAGGGAATAATTCTGGAGCACAGCGCGGACGTCCTCCACACCGCTCAGCGCGATGGCTGCGGCGGCATTTCGGGGTGAGAAACGCGGGGTTTGGGGGTTTGGGGTGAAAAACGTGGATTTTGGGGGTTTGGGGTGAAAAACGCGGGGTTTGGGGTGAAAAAGGCAGGGTTTGGGGGTTTGGGGGTGATGGCTGTGGGGTGGGGATCGGGATCAGGTAGATTTTGGTGATTTCTGGGTGGGTCTGGGTGGATTTGGATGGATTTTGGGTGATTTCTGGGTGGGTTTGGATGGATTCTGGGTGGGTTTGCATGGATTTTGGGTGGGTTTGGGTGGATTTTGGGGCGTTTCACCCACTCTTGAGGAAGGCAGCCAGGTCGTAGAGCGCCCTGTCCTCGGAGCCGCCGTCCCAGCGCGGCAGCGCCAATCCGTTGTACGGCTGCAGCCGGAACGAGTCCCGGCGCCAATCCACCACCACCACCCGCGCCGGGTCCCGGTTCAGGCACGAGATATCCTGCAGGGGGGGAGGGGGACACCCCAAATCTGGGAATTCCGCCCCAAAACGGGGTCCGGGGGCCGGGGAGGGGAGGCCGGAGCGCCCACCTTGACGTGGTGGCCGTCCATGTAGCGTGTGGCGTCACGGAACAGCCGGTAGGACACGAAGCCGTGCGGGTCGATGCTGTCGATCAGCGGGAACGCCGTCTGCCCAGGGGTTTTGGGGCCGTTTCAGGGGGTTTTGGGGCACCCCAGGAGCACCCCCACGCCCCTCCCGGCAGCCTGGTGTGAGACCCCCTCCCAAAAATCCCTGAATTGTCCCCAAAATGCAGCCGGGTGGAGCCAGGGAGGGTTTGTCCTTCTTCAAAATCCCCATAAAAACACGCAAATCCCTCCCAATCCCCCCAAAAATTCCTCCCAAAGCCCTTAAAATTACTCCCAACCCCCCAAAATCCTTCCCAACATCCCAAAATTCCTCCATATCCCCCCAAAATCCCACCCAACCCCCCAAAACCCCCCAAAACCAACCCAAAAACCCCCCCGGGCCTGGGGATGATTCTCCCCGCTCCTGCTCTGGTTTGGGGCTGGATTTTTGGGGAATTTTGGGCTGTTTTGGGGCCATTCCTTCAGGGGCGGCTTTTCAGAGACCTTTTAGGGCGTCCCTGAACCATCGAGCTCCCCAAAAAACCCCCTTAAATCTCCTTGAATCCCCCAAAAAACCCCAAAGAACCCCCCGGACCCCCCCAAAAACCCCGAATTGCCCCGAATTTCCCCCAAATTCCGTGCGCACCATCCCGGTCTCGGAGGTGAAGATGACGATCTCGTAGAGCGGCGCCAACTGCTGCAGGAGGTGCTCGATGCCCGGGCGCTTCTTGAACCTCCAGCCCGTCACCAGCTGCGTTTTGGGGCAAATCCCAGCGGTTTTGGGGCTTTGGGAACGTTGGAATTGGGGCTGGGGGCTCTTCTGGGGGGCGTTTGGGTTTCCCGGGGCGGGGGAATGGAGGAAGTCTTGAGGGGTTTTGAGAGGTTGGAAGTGCCCAAAAGCCCCAAAAATCGCCCCAAAGCCACCCCAAAAACCACCCCCAAAAAACCCAAAATCCACCCCAAAAATGGCCCCAAAACCACCCCAAAAAGGGCCCAAAAACTACCCCCAAAAAACTCAAAAACCACCCCAAAACCCCCAAAAAACAGTCCCAAAAACCACCCCCAAAAACCGAAAAAACCGCCCCAAAAACCACCCCCCAAGCCACCCCATGACCAGCCAGATTTGGGGGTTTGGGGTTTTTGGGGTTTTAAGGTTTTTGGAGTTTTGGGGTTTTGAGGTTTTGGGATTTTAGTTTTGGGTTTTTGGCGTTTTGGCATTTTGGGGTTTGTGGAGTTTTGGGGTTTTGGGCATTTTGGGGTTTCTGGGTTTTTGGTTTTGGGTTTTTTTTGTTTTTTTGGGGTTTGGGGACTTTTTGAGTTTTAGGGCTTTGGGTTTTTGGGGTTTAAGAGTTTTTAAGTTTTGGGGGTTTTGGAATTTTGGGGTTTTTGGGGTTTCTGGGATTTCTGTGAGCGGCCCTGGGGCCTGACCGACTTGGGGTGCAGCAGTACCCCTGTCAGCTCAGGGATTTGGGGGAATTTGGGGGATTTGGGGTCTCACCGACCACTCGGGGTGCAGCAGCTCGGGGAATTGGGGGATTTTGGGGGGATTTTGGGGGTCTCAGGGTGGATTTGGGGTCTCACCGACCACTCGGGGTGCAGCAGCACCCCCGTCAGCTCCAGCACCAGCGTGTAGGGCGGTTGGTAGTACGGCTCCCGCAGCGGGTCCGGCAGCAGCCGCGCGCTCGTGGGCTCGATGATCATCTGGGGGGCACGGGGGGGACCCCACATGGGGACAGGGACCCCCAAAATAGAGATTCCACCCCCAAAAATCCCCCAGGACCCCCCCACGCTCATCCCCTTCCCCAGGCTGGGGCCACCCCAAGGTGACAAATCCCTGGGGGACACCCCTGGGACCCCCAAACCCCCCCTGGGACCCCCCAAACCCACCTGGGACCCCCCAAACCCCCCCTGGGACCCCCCAAACCCCCCCTGGAACCCCCCAAATTCCCCCAAACCCCCCCCAGGCCTCACCTGTCTGTAATCCTTGAAGTATTTGAAGGTTCTCCGCAGGTGCCGGATCCCCACGGGGTCTGCGGGGCCCCCGTGAGACCCCCGGGTCCCCAGAGGGGACAGAGACCCCCAAAAAGGGGACAGAGACCCCCAAAAAGGGGACAGGGACCCCCCAGAGGGGACAGGGACCCCCCAAAAAGGGACAGGGACCCCCAAAAAGGGGACAGGGACCCCTAAAAAGGGACAGGGACCCCCCCAGAGGGGACAGGGACCCACAGAAGGGGACAGGGACCCCCAAAAAGGGGACAGGGACCCCCAAAAGGGGACAGGGACCCCCCCAGGAGGGGACAGTGTCCCCCACCTCCCTCCCCATCCCACCCCCCACAAAAGGGACCCCCACCCCTTTTGGGTGACACCAGGGCGTGAAAGGGGCCGGGGGTGACACCGAGGTGACAAATGGCACTTGGGAGGGGTGGCACTGGGGGGTGGGTGGCACTGCCCCCTCCCCTGTCACCTCCCCCCGGGGTCACTCACCGCTGTCAAACTCATCGGGGATCTGTGGGGACAGGGAGGGGACATTGAGGGGACATTGAGGGGACACCAGAGGGACCCCGAGGTGGCACCGGGGGCCCTACGGGGACATTCCACACGTGGGTGACACTCTGCCCTCACGTCCTTTCGTCCCCCCGCGGGTCATTGTCACCCGCTGCCGCCCCTTTGATGTCCCCCGGATGTCCCCGCGCTGGCAGGAAGGGCTTTGGTGACAAAAGTGACACCGCGGGTGGGGGAGGGACCGGACGACCCCCAGGACCGCCCCTCCCCCCCTGTGCCACACGCTTTGGGGACAGTTTGGGGACAGCCACCTTCCCTCTGTCCCCTCACCTTGTCCCCGTGCTCGTCCACGGCGTTGCTGCCTGGGGGGGACATTGGGGACATCGTCAGTGTCCCCAAGTGTCCCCTCAGTGTCCTGGGGGTGCACAGGGACACTTGGGGATATTTGGGGACACTCACGGACACTCGGAGACACCCAGGGACAGTCAGGGACATTTGGGGACACCCGGGGACACCCAGGGACACCCGGGGGACACTTGGGGACACCCGGGGGACATCCGGGGACACCCGGGGGACATTTGGGGACACTCGGGGACACCCAGGGACACCCGGGGACACCCAGGGACACCCGGGGGACACTCGGGGACACTCAGGGACACCCGGGGGACACCCAGGGGACACTTGGGGACACCCAGGGGACACCCAGGGACACCCGGGGGACACCCAGGGGACACCCAGGGACACCCAGGGGACACTTGGGGACACCCAGGGACACCCGGGGGACACTTGGGGACACCCAGGGACACCCGGGGGACACCCAGGGACACCCAGGGGACACTTGGGGACACCCAGGGACACCCGGGGGACACCCAGGGACACCCGGGGGACACTCGGGGACACTCAGGGACACCCGGGGGACACTTGGGGACACCCAGGGACACCCGGGGGACACTCGGGGACACTCAGGGACACCCGGGGGACACCCAGGGGACACTTGGGGACACCCAGGGACACCCGGGGGACACTTGGGGACACCCGGGGACACCGGGACCCACCGAAGACGTAGAGCACGGCGGCGCCGCCGGTGGCCGCCAGGAGCCCCCCCAGGCGCAGCGCCAGCGCCCGCAGCGACCCCCGGGGCCCCGGCCCGGCCTGGGCACCGGCGGTGGCACCGCTGTCACCCGTGTCACCGGCCACCTGCGGGGACACCGGGACGGGTCAGGGGTACAGGGACAACGGGGGGACACGTCAGAGCGGCGACACCTGCGGGGTGTCCCCAGTCACCTGCGGACAGGTGAGGCCTGGGGACACCCGGGGACACCCGGGGACGGTGTGGGACACCTGGGGACACCTGGGGACACTTGGTGACACCTGGTGACACCTGGGAAAGCCCGGGCACACCCGCGGAACTCTCGGCGGCGGCCGCGGGGCCGAGGGGGACCCCCGGGCCCGCCCCCCGCCCCCGCCGCCATGTCCGCGCCCCCACCTGGCGCTGCCGCAGCCGCTCCCGCAGCACCGCGGCCGTGTCGGAGCCCGCGGCGGGGCCGCTGGCGGCGCGGCGGGGCCCGGGAGCGGCGCCGGGGGGCGGCCCGGGGGTCCCGGGGGTCGCGGCCCGGCCCCGCCGCGCCGCCAGCGCCCCGCGGAGCCCCCAGGCCGCCGCTCGCCCCGCCGCGGACGCCGCCATGTTGCTGTACGGCAAAGCGCCGGCGCGGGAGCGGCAGCCAATGGGATCCGCGCGGTCGGGGAGGGGAGAGCCAATCAGAGGTGAGGGTTGCGGGAGGAGGGCGGGGCAGAGCGCTGCTTAGCCAATGGCGGCGAGGCGGGCGGCCAATGGTCGCGGAGGGGAGGCGGGGCTAGCGGCGCGGCAGCCAATCAGAACAAGTGCTGGCGGAAGAGGCGCGAAGCCGGGGAACACGTGGAGCCGCGCCCGGGTCAATGGCGGGGGCGCGACCCCCGGAACCGGCCCCAAAACCCCCAAAACTTGTCCCAAAATGGGCCCTGAAACCGTCCCCAAAGCCCCTAAAATTTTCCCCAAAAAGGGCCTGGAAACCAACTCCAATTCCCCCCAAAACCGGCCCCAAACCCTCCGAAACTGGCCCCAAAATGGGCCCTGAAACTGGCCTCAAAACTTGTCCCCAAACCAGCCCCAAACCCTCTAAAACTGGCCCTAAAAAGGGCCCCGAAAACAGCCCAAATTGCCCCCAAAACGGGCTTGTAAACCAGCCCCAAACCCTCCAAAATTTGCCCCAGAAAGGGCTCCAAAACCTGTCCCAAAATTGGCCCCAAACCCCCCAAAACTCGCACCAAAACTTGCCCCAGAACCAGCCCAAATTTCCCAAAACCAGCCCGTATTTCCCCAAAATCGCCTCCGTGCCCCTTTTTGGGGAGGGGTAGCTCTTTATTGGACAGCAAAAATGGCCACAGCAACCGAGGGGTTAAACAGGAGGGAAATGGGGCAGAAATTGGTAAAAAAAGGCAGAAATGGGGGAAAATGGGTAAAAATGGGCAAAAAAGGGCAGAAATGGGTAGAAACGGGGCAAAAAAACCCCAACAAACTGTAGAAATGGGCAAAAAGGGCAGAAATGGGCAGAAAAACTGATAAAATGGGCAGAAATGGGGCAGAAAGGGGGGAAATGGGGCAGAACAGGAGCAGAAATGGGGTGGAAATGAGGCAGAAAAAGGGGGAAATGAGGCAGAAATGGGTCTGAAATGGGTCTGAAATGGGGTGCAAATGGACAGAAATGGGTTGGAAATAGGGTGGAAAAGGGCAGAAATGGGGAAGAAAAGGGAGAAAACAGGGCAGAAAAGGGAGAAAATGGGGCAGAAAAGGGGTAGAAAAGGAACAGAAGAGAGTAGAAAAGGGACAGAAAAGGGGGAAAATGAAGCAGAAATGTGGCACAAACGGGCAGAAAAGTGGGAAAATGGGGCAGAAATGGGGTGCAAATGGATAGAACTGGGCAGAACAGGGGCAGAAATGGGGCAGAAAAGGGGGATAACGGGGCAGAAAAGGGGTAGAAAAGAGCAGAAATTGAACAGAAAAAGGGGGCAATGGGGCAGAAGCGGGTCAGAAAGGGGGAAATGGGTCGGAGGCGGGTCAGAACCGGGTCGGAAGCCCCCGGGCCGGCTCAGGCCTCCAGCAGCTTGCCCAGGAAGCGCAGGTTGAGGATCTTGAGCTGCTCCTCCAGGTCCATGCGCACGATGCCGTCCTCGCCGTCGATGCTCAGCAGGATCCCGGTGGCCTCGCGGTCCTCGCCCAGGATCACCTTCACCTGCGGGGCACAGCGTTCGGGGGGTTTGGGGGGGTCCCAGAGGGGTTTGGGGGGATCCTGGGAGTCCCAGAGTGGTTCTGGGGGGTCCCAGAGGGGATTGGGAGGAATCCCAGAGGAGTTTGAGGGTGCACAGAGGGAATTTGGGGGTTCCCAGGTGTATTTGGGGGCTCCCAGCTGTGTTTTGGGGGTTCCCAGCTGTGTGTTTTGGGCTCCCAGGTGTGTTGGGGTCCCACCTTGTTGCTCTTGGTGGGCGTGACGGGCTCCAGGTGCTCGCTGGACACGCTGACCACCTTCTCGCTGTCCTTCAGGTACACCGAGCACATCCCGCCCTGGGGGCCGGGCTCAGCCAGAGCGCCCCAAAGCACCCAGAGATCCACCCAAAAATCCCCCCAAAACTCCCTCAGTCTCCCCAAACCCCCTCCCAAATCCCCAAAACCCCTCCCAAACTCCCCCAAACCCGCTGTGAACCCCTCAGACCCACCAAAACCATTCCCAAACCCCCTGTGAACCCCCCCAAACCCCTCCCAAACTCCCCCAAACTCCTTCCCAAACCCCCCCGTGAGCCCCTCCAAACCCCTCAGACCCCCAAACCCCTTCCCAAACCCCCTGTGAACCCCCCAAACCCATCCCAAAGCCCCCCGGGCCCCCTCCCAAGCCCCCCGGCTGCTCCCCCGTACCGTGACGCTGCGGATGACGCCCGTCTGCCCCACGGCGGCGCTGTCCAGGTACGAGTCCCGCACCTTCACCTGGATGTCCGTGGTCACCCAGTCGCCTGCGCTGGCCTCGATGCCCGAGCCCGGCGTGTGGGGGTTGTACCCCCCCGGCGACGGCGCCCCGGGGGTCATCGGGCTGTAGCCCACCGGGCTGGGGCTGGGGCTGGCCTGGGGGCGGCGGGGAGGCGGTCAGGGGGAGTTTGGGGGTAGAAAGGGGGGTTTGGGGGGGATACAAGGGGGTTTGGGGGGGCTGTGAAGGGGTTTGGGGGGATACAAGGGGGTTTGGGGGGGATACAAGGGGGTTTGGGGGGATACAAGGGGGTTTGGGGGGGATACAAAGGGGGTTTGGAGGGGATACAAAGGGGTTTGGGTGGTCCGGGGGTGGTTTGGGTGGTCTGGGTGGGTCTGGGGGTGGTTTTGGGGTGGTCTGGGGTACCTGGTAGGCCATGGGGGACGGCGTGGGGCGGTTTGGGTGGGTCTGGGGTACCTGGTAGGCCATGGGGGACGGCGTGGGGTGGTTTGGGGCGGTTTGGGGTACCTGGTAGGCCATGGGGGACGGCGTGGGGTGGTAGCTGGCCGGCGAGTGCGTGTTCTGGTAGCCCACCGGGCTCGGGGCCACCTGATGGTAGCTCTGGGGGGACGGGCTGGGCTGGTAGGAGCCCTGTGGGGAGGGGACGGCGTAGGGCGAGAACTGCTCCGTGTTGTACCTGCGGGCACACCTGGCGTCACCTGGGGCACACCTGGGGGCACCGGGCCGCTCCCACCCTGCCAGGCAAACTTCGGGGTCCCCCAAACCCCAGGAGCAGCTCCAAGGCCCCGTTTAGGGGTCGCCCCCACCCCAAACCCCCATTTTGGGGTCCCCCAAACTCCCAGGTCCCGTTTTGGGGTCCCCAGGACGCTTTACCCACTTCCCCCTCACCCACTCCCCATATTTGAACCCTGCAGATTTTGGGGTTTCCATCCCCACCCGGATTTTGGGGGGATTTCGGGGTCCCCACTCCCCATATCCCAACCCTGCAGATCTTGGGGGGATCTTGGGGGAATTTCGGGGGGATTTCAGGGGGCTCTTTTGGTCCCCACTCCCCATATCCCAACCCTGCAGATTTTGAAGGGATTTCGGGGGGATTTTGGGGGGATTTCTGGGGGATTTTGGGGGTCTCTGGGGGCCCACACTCACATGGCGGGCGTGCCGGGGGTCTGGGGGTTGTAGGGCTGGCTGACTTGGGGCGAGGCGGGGTCGGGGTACCCGGGGGTCTGGGGGTTCGGGGTGCCCCCGTAGCCCTGGGGCGACGGCGTGGGCTCGTCCTCAAAGCCGTACTCGAAGTCCTCGTCCGCCCTGGGGAGAGTTTGGGGAGGGGTCCCCGAAAGTGGGAACCCCCCCGAGAGAGAGACCCACAAGTTGGGGAGGGGTCCCTGAAAGTGGGAACCCCCCCAAGAGAGACCCCAGAATTGGGGAGGGGTCCCCAAAAGTGGACAGGCCTCCGAGAGAGAGAGAGGGGGAGGGAGGGACCCCCGGATTGGGGAGGGGACCCCAAAGGGGGCTGTTTTGGGGAGGGGGCCACCCCAAAAGGGGCAGTTTTGGGGCTGGATACCGCCAAGGAGCAGTTTTGGGGAGGGGGACACCCCAAAAGGGGCAGTTTTTTGGGGGGGGGTCTCACCTGGAGGGCGTGTTGGGGTTGTTGGGGTCCCAGGCCCCGCTCTGGGCCGGGGTCCTGCTCCCGTCGTGCAGGGGGGTCTGGGAGCCGTAGTGGGGCGTGCGGCTTCCTGGGGGGCACCCCAAAATTCCTGTCACCTCCCCGAGCCCCAAAACTGTCCCCAGAGACCCCCCCAGAGCCCCCTGACCCCAAAACTGTCCCGAGAGCCCCCCGACCCCAAAACTGTCCCCAGATTGTCCCTAAATGTCCCCAGCTGTCCCCAGATGTCCCCAGCTGTCCCCAGCTGTTCCCAAACATTCCCAAACATCCCCAAATATCCCCAGGTGTCCCAGCTGTCCCCAAACATCCCCAAACATCCCCAAACATCCCCAAACACCCCCAAACTGTCCCCTCACCGTCGTGCAGCGGGGTCTGCGAGCCGTACATGGGCGTGCGGGACCCCGAGCCGTACATGGGGGTCTGCGAGCCGTACATGGGGGTCCTCCCGTAGGCTGAGGTCAGACCCCCGGGCCGCCGGGACCCCCTGTCGGGACAGGGGGGGGTCAGAGGGGACAGGGACCCCCAAAAACTGGGGGGGGAGGTCACAGAGACCCCCCCAAAAACCGGGGTGGGGTCACGGAGACCGGGCAGGGAGAGGCTCCAGGACGCTCTGGGGGTGTCGGTGACCCCCTTGGTGGGTCCTGGGGGGCTCTGGGGGTGTCCCCCCGCCCAGGGGGGTCCCGGGGGGGTCCCCAGGGTGTCCCCCCACCCACTCACACGGTGGTCAGCCGCTGCCTGTCCACGGAGATGGTCTGGCACGTCGAGTGCAGCTCCACACGCGCCGTCGACTCCGTGGCGTCCTTCACCACCCCGATGTAGCCTGGGGGGCACCGGGGAGGGGGGTCAGAGGGTTTGGGGACCCCCACCCCAGGTTTGTGGGTCCCCAAAGGTCCCAGGTGAGACCCCCCCCCAAAAAACTCCTGGGTGAGACCCCCCAAACACCCCGAGGATGCCCCAAAACACCCTGAATATCCCCCGAAACACCCTGAGGGTGCCCCCAAACACCCCAAAAATGCCCCCAAACCCCACAGAAATGCCCCCAAACCACCAAAAATGCCCCAAAATACCCCAAGGATACCCCAGAACATCTCCAAGATCACCCCAAACACCCCAAAACACCCTGAGGATGCCCCAAAACACCCCGAGGATGCCCCGAAACACCCTGAGGGTGCCCCCAAACACCCTGAATATCCCCCAAAACACCCCAAGGATGCCCCAAAACACCCCAAAACACCCCAAGGATGCCCCAAACTTGCCCCGAAACACCCCAAGGATGCCCCAAAACACCCCAAAATGCCCCAAAACACCCCGAGGATCCCCCAAACTTGCCCCGAAACACCCCACGGATGCCCCAAAACACCCCAAAAATGCCCCAAAACACCCAGAGGATATCCCCAGACGCCCCACAAATGCCCCAAACCCCCCCCAAACGCCCCGACCCCCCCCCAAACCCCCCAAAACCGCCCCGAAGCCCACCTTTGTAGGGCCCCTGGGAGATGCGCACCGTCTGCCCGATCAGGTCGTTGTCGCGCCGGCCGCGGCCCCGGCTCAGCCCCCCGGCCCCGAAGCCGCCGCGCTGGCCTGGGCGGGGGGCACGGGGTTGTGGGGGGGTCAGCGGGGTCCCCAAAGGGTCCCCCGGCCCCCCGGGACCCCCCCCGGGCACTCACCGGCCCCGCTGGGGTGCATGGGACTGCTGATGCGCGGCGACATCGGCGTGAAGCCGCAGACGGCGAAGTTGGTGACGTCGCGGGGCTGCGGGCAGGGAGGGGTCGGAATTGGGGGGAAAAAGGGGGGAATCGGGGAAACCCGGGGGGTCTGGGGGTGCTGCCCACCTTGGAGCCCCCCGCCAGCACCAGGTGCCGCGTCTTGCAGACGAACATGCCGCCGTTCTCCACCAGCTTCTTGCAGTGCAGGAAGGCGAAGCCGCGGAACAGGTGGCGGATCTCGCCCTCGCGGCCCTGCCGGGCGGGAAGGGGTGAGACCCCCAAATTCACGGTGAGAACCCCCAAAATTCTGGGTGAGACCTCCCAAAATTCTGGGTGAGAACCCCCAAAATTCTGGGTGAGATCCCCCCCAAATTCTGGGTGAGATCCCCCAAAATTCAGGGTGAGACCCCCCAAAATTCTGGGTGAGAACCCCCAAAATTCTGGGTGAGATCACCCCCAAATTCTGGGTGAGATCCCCCCCAAATTCTGGGTGAGACCCCCCAAAATTCTGGGTGAGACCCCCAAAATTCCCAGGCGAAACCCTCAGAATTCCTGGGTTAGACCCCCCCCCCCCCAAATTCCCAGGTGAGATCCCGCCAGAATTCCCAGGTGAGGCCCCCAAAACTCCCGGGTGAGACCCCCCAAACTCCTGGGTAAGACCACCCCAAAATTCCCAGGTGAGACCCACAGCATTCCTGGGCGAGATCCCCCAATCTCCTCGGTGAGACCTCCCAAAAACCCCAAAAATGTCCCAAAACACCCTGAGGGTTCCCCAAAACACCTTGAGGATGCCCCAAAACATCCCCAAGATCACCCCAAACACCCCAAGGATACCCCAAAACCCCCCACAAATGCCCCCAAACCCCCCAAAAATGCCCCAAAGCCCCCCAAAAATGCCCCCAAGTCCCCCGACGCACGGAGTGGGGGCCGTCGATGACTTTGACGATGTCCTTGACGTGGATGTTGTTCTGCTCCGAGTCCAGCGCCACGGCGAAGCGATTGTCCTTCTTGCGGGACACGGCCTGGTGCCGCACCGTCACCACCTTCCCGTACATGTTCAGCACCTGGATTTCAGGAGGATTTTGGGCAAGATTTTGGGGGGATTTCAGGGGGATTTTGGGCAGGATTTGAGGGGGAATTTTGGGTGGGATTTTGGGGGAAACTCAGGGATTTTGGGTGGCATTTTAGGCAGGATTTTGGGGGAATTTCAGGGGGATTTCAGGAGGATTTTGGGTGGGATTTTGGGCAGGATTTCAGGGGGAATTTTGGGTGGGATTTTGGGGGAAACTCAGGGGGATTTTGGGTGGCATTTTAGGCAGGATTTTGGGGGAATTTCAGGGGGATTTCAGGAGATTTTGGGCAAGATTTTGGGGGGATTTCAGGGGGAGTTTGGGCAGGATTTGAGGGGGAATTTTGGGTGGGATTTTGGGGGAAACTCAGGGATTTTGGGTGGCATTTTAGGCAGGATTTTGGGGGAATTTCAGGAGGATTTTGGGCAAGATTTTGGGGGGATTACAGGGTGGTTTTGGGCAGGATTTCGGGGGGATTCCGGGGGGTCTCTCACCTGGAAGGTTTCCCGCTCCAGCCGCACGATGACCCCCACGGTCTGGGGGTCCAGCTGCACCAGCTCCCCCCACTCGTGCTGGCCCCCCACGTCCACCCCCGAGGCCGTCTCGGAGCAGAGCTGCAGATCCCGGGGCAGCACCTTCAGCTGCAGCAGAAAACAGGAAAAAAACCGCGCTGAGACGGCGCCAAAACCGCCTGCTTTTACCCCAGACCGCCTCTTCCCGCTCTGCATGGCTTTTTCCTGGGTTTCCCCAGATTTTCCCCATTTTTGCCTATTTTTCTAGGTTTTTCCCATGTCTTCCCTATGTTTTTCCTATTTTTCTCGTTTTTTCCACAGGTTTTTCCCACGTCTTTCCTGATTTTCTCCATCTTCCCACTTCTTCCCAGTTTTCCTGGGTATTTCCGGGATTTTTCCCATTTCCCCATCAGGTTTTTCACGTTTTTCCCCATTTTCCCTAATTTTTGCCCATTTATCACCTCATGCTCGGTCAGCTCCAAGAACAGGATGACGAAGTTCTCCTCCCACCTCCATTTCCCCTAATTTTAGCCCATTTTAATGCCATTTCTCCCCTTTTTTTCCAGTTTTTCACCATTTTTCCCCGTTTTTTTCCCGTTTTCACCGTTTTCCGCCCCGTTCTCACCTCGTGCATGGTCAGGTCCGAGAACAGGATGACGAAATTCTCCTCCACCCTGACGATGAGCCCCGTGTCGCCCTCGAAGCGCCCGGCGATCACCTTCACGTGGTCGCCCATCCTGAAGTATTTCCTCAGCTCCTGTGCCGGGAACTCCAGCATATCCTGGGGAGGGAAGGAAAAACCCCAAATTCCCGCTTTTTCACCCCAAAAAGCAGCCCGAAACGGGTCCCTCTGGGCTCCCCAGACCTTGAGGTCCTCGTGCTTGGGCATGATGGTGATCTTGTTGCCGTCCACGCTGAGGATTTTGCCCTGCAGGTTGATCAGCTCGCCCTCGCACACCTCCACGTTGTCGCCCGGCTGGAAGTTGTGCTCCCGCTCCTTCCCTTTTTGGGGCGATTTCGGGCGATTTTAGGCAATTTTGGGGTGATTTGAGGCGATCTGGGGGTTTGAGGAGAGGGGATGTGCCCTACCTGTGCTCTCGGTCACCACCTCCAGGTCGATGCCCTCGGGTTGGTCCTCGAATTTCTCCAGCTCGGATAAGGTGGGCTTGACACCCTCAGTGATCTGGGGTAAAATCCCATGGTTTTGGGCAAAAATCCCACAGTTTGGGGGAAAATCCCACGGTCTGGGATAAAATCCCACGGTTTGGGGTAAAATCCCACAGTTTTGGGAGGAAAATGGATCTGGGGTTGGACTGGGGTGGGGGTGGTTAAGGCTCAAATTCATGAATTTTGGGTTCAAACAGGTGGATTTGGGTTCAAACAGGCAGATTTGTGTTGGAATGCAAGAATTTTGGGCTGGAAAAGGCAGATTTTGGATGGAAGAGGCAGATTTCAGACAGCACAGGCAGATTTTGGTCAGAACACGCTGATTTTGGGCTGGCAGAGGCCAATTTTGGGCTGCAGATCCCAATTTTGGGCCGGAACACGCAGATTTTGGGCTGGCAGAGACCCATTTTGGGCTGGAACAGGCCGATTTTGAACAGAACACACAGATTTTAAACCAGAACAGGCCGATTTTGGACAGGACAGGTGGAGTTTGGGCCGAAACAGGCTGATTTTGGACAGAACATGCCGATTTTGGGCCAGAACAGGCGGATTTTGGACAGAACACACAGATTTCGAGCCAGAACAGGCCGGTTTAGAGCCAGAACAGGCGGATTTTGGGCCGGAACAGGCCGATTTCGGGCTGGAACAGGCCGATTTCGGACAGAACACACAGATTTTGGGCCGGAACAGGCCCATTTCGGACACAAGAGGCCCAGTGCCGGCGCTCACCACGGCCGACATGGCGAAGCTCTTGAACAGGAAGCCCTTGCGGCTGTAGCGGTTGCCCTCGAAGATCAGGAAGTCGCCGTCCGAGGCCACGTCCCCGCCCAGGGAGCTGCGGGGGCAGGCGGGGTCAGCCGGGGCCCGGCGGATCCCTCAGGATCCCGCGGGATCCCCGGGCCCTACCGGATCTTCTCGGCGTCGAAGAGGCGCTGCGGCGGCCGCTTGAACTTCTTGCGTTTGGCGAACCAGTCCTTCTGCGGGGGAGAACGAGAGGGGATCCGCTCGGGGATCCGCTCGGGGATCCACTGAGCCTGGATCCGCTCAGGGATCTGCTCAGGGATCCACCGAGCTAGGATCTGATTGGGGATCTCCTTGGTGCTCTGGGACCCGCTCTGGGGACCCACCTGACCCAGGGATCTGCCCAGGGATCCACCCAGGTGACCCCCAGGTGGATCCCCCCCTCCTCACCAGGCTCATCCGGGCTTTGATCCGGTCGAAGTCGATCCTGGGGATCATCTTCAGGGAGATCTGGTTCTGGCTGGGCTCCACGTAATCCACCTGTGCGCACACCCGCCGCGCAGGTGAGCCCTGGGCCCGCCGGGGGGGGTGTCCCCTCCCCACCAGGTATCCCCCAAGTGTGTCCCCTTCTCCCCAGGTGCATCCCCTCCCCCTCCAGCTGCCCCCCAGTTTTGTCCCCTCCCGCCCAGGTGCGCCCCCCGCTCACCTGGGCGATGTCGTCCTTGTAGATGCCCCTCTTGAGGCGCACCCAGGCCTTGGGCTTGAGGTTGGTGACCTCCTTGACCACCTTGAGCACGTCGGTCATCTCCTTGATGGGCACCATCTGCTGGTTCCAGTAGCCCAGCCGCAGGTTGCCCACGCCCTCGATGGCCTGCTTGACGTGCGTCTGCTTGTAGGCCTCCACGTACAGGTACCCCCGCACGTGCTCGGGGGCCACCACCGACTTGATCTGCAGCGGCTGTGGGCAGGGACACACCCGGGTGTCACCTGGGGGTCACCTGGGACAGCGCAGTGACAGCCCAGTGCCGCCCCAGTGCCACCCCAGTGCCCCCATTTACAGGTCCGACCCCATTTACACGTGTGACCCCATTTACAGGTGTGTCCCCATGTACAGGTGTGATCCCGTGTACAGGTGTGACCCCATTTACAGGTGTGACCCCATTTACAGGTATGTCCCCATGTACAGGTGTGTCCCCACGTACAGGTACCCCCGCACGTGCTCGGGGGCCACCACCGACTTGATCCCAGTGCCTCCCAGTCCTTCCCAGTATCCCCCAGTGTCCCCCAGTCCCTCCCAGTGCTCCCAGTGCTCCCAGTCCCCCCCAGTCCCTCCCAGTCCCTCCCAGTGCTCCCAGTTTCCCTCAGCCCCCCCCAATTCCCTCCCAGTCCCTCCCAGTCCATCCCAGTGCTCCCCGTTTCCCCCCCAGTGCTCCCAATTCCCTCCCAGTCCCCCCCAGTTCCCTCCCAGTGCTCCCAGTCCCCCCCAGTCCCCCCCCAGTCCCTCCCAGTGCTCCCAGTTTCCCTCAGTCCCCCCCAATTCCCTCCCAGTCCCTCCCAGTCCATCCCAGTGCTCCCAGTCCCACCGTCTCCGTGTACTGGTAGGCGATGAACTTGCGCATGAGGGCGATGGCTGTGGCGCGCTCCTCGCCGATCTGGGGACAAAACAGCCGGATTTGGGCAAAGCCGGGAGCCTTTGGCCCCGCCGGCGCTTTTGGGCACAAACCCCGCGGTTTTGGGGTCCTCCAGGACACACCTTGCACTTCACCGTCCAGAGGTTGGGGTCCCTGCGGGGAACAGAACCTTATTTAGGCCTGACCTAAATCTGCGGTTTTTCACCCCAAATCTTGTTCCCGGGAATTCTGACCCAAATTCCCCCTTTTTTCCCCCATTTCTCATGCCCAGGAATCCTGACCCAAACCCCCCGTTTTTCCCCCCAAAACTCACTTGACGCCGGGCAGCAGCTGCTGCTGGGTGATGTCGTCCGAGAGCTCATCAGAGCCGCCGTAAACTCTGGGAAAAAGGGGAAAACGCCCCAAAATCAGGGCGGGTTTGGGGTGGGCATGACCAGGGGCGGGGACAGAGGGGAGGGGTCACTCGGTGGTCACTCAGGGGTCACTCGGGGTCACTCAGGGGTCACTCAGGGGTCACTCACGTCTCCCCCACCGAGGACTTGGCGTATTTCTTCATGTAGTACTCGCCCAGCTCCTCCTCCCGCTGGTCCCTGCCAAAAACGGGGGGAAATCAGTGGAAAACGGGAAAAAAGGGGAGAAAATGGGAAAAAACGAGGTGGAAATGGGAAAAAACGGGGAGAAAATGGGAGGGGAAATGAAGAAAAACAGGGAAAAATGGGAAAATGGGGGAAAAATTGGAAAAATGTGGAGAAATGGGGGAAAACGGGGTGAAATCATTGAAAAATGGGAAAAATGGGGGGGAAGTGTTGGGAAGTGGGGAAAAATAGGGAAAATGAGTAATTGGGGGAAAAATGGGGAAAATATGGGGAATTGAGGAAAAATTAAGGAAATGGGGAAAATGGGGAAGTGGAGAAAAAATGAGGGAAAAGGGGAAAAGTAAGGAAAATGGGGGGAAAATGGGGGAAAAGGAAGGAAAAGGGGGGGAAAAGGGGGAAAATGAGGAAAAGGGAAGGAAAAAGGAAGGAAAAAAAGGGAAAAGAGGGGAAAAGAGGGGAAAAGGAAGGAAAATGGGGGAAACAAAAGGAAAATCTGAGAAAATGAAGAAAAATCTGGGAAAAGGAAGGAAAATGGGGGAAAGGAAGGAAAATGGGGAAAAAAGAAGGAAAATGGGAGAAAAAGAAGGAAAATGGGGGGAAGGGGGGGAAAATGAGAAAAAAGGAAGGAAAAAGTAAGGAAAACAGGGGAAAATGAGTAAAAAATGAGGAAAATGGAGAAAAAGGAAGGAAAACAGGGCCGGGCTCACCTCCAGAGGTTCTGCAGGCGCCGCGCCCCCGAGCGATCCTCGTCCAGCACCACGTTGTCGATGTTGGAGGCTGAGGAAGAGGAGGCAGAGGAAGGTCGGGGACTGGGGACGGGGATTTGGGGGGCTCTGGGGACCCCCGGGATTGGGGGAGGTGGGGGGGGGTCTTACCTTCGATCTCCTCTGCCCCAGGGAGAAGGTGACGGTGGAGGATGAAGTAAATCAACAGCAAAACCGGGGAGTGGGGGAAAATCGGGGGGTTTGGGGGAAAAAAAACCAAAAAAAAGCAACGGAAAAGCCCCAGGCGAGAGCAGATGAGATGGAGGGGGGGTGGGGAGGGGTGATCAGGAACCCCCCCGGGAAAAGGGACAGGGAGAGAGGATTTGGGGAAAAGGGGGGAAAAAAGGGGATTTGGGGGGAAATAGCGATTTGGGGGGAACAGGATTTGGGGAAAAGAGGATTGGAAGGAAAAAAGGGGATCTGGGGGAAAAGGGGGATTTGGAGAAAATGGGGACTGGGGGGAAAAGGGGGATTTGGAGAAAACGGGGACTGGGGGGAAAAAGGGGATTTTGTGGGGAAAAAGGGTTTTTGGGGACTGGGGGAGCAGGGACCCCCCATGCAGGGCTCATCCCCCTCCTCCCCACAGACCCCCGGGGTGGGCAGAGCCCCCCCAGCCTCACCTTTCTCCAGGATGTCCTCAGCCCCGTCCTCCCACTGATCTTCATCCTCGTACTCATCGTCCACATCTGGGGGGCACGGGGGGGGTCAGCGGCCGGGAGACCCCAAAAACACCCAGAAACCACCCAAAAAACACCCAGAAACCACCCAGAAACCCCCTCAGAAACCACCCAAGAACCCCTCAAAAACAACCCAAGACCCCCCAAACACCACCCAAAACCTCCTCCAAAAACCCCCCAAACCACCCAAAAAGCACCCAAAATCCCTCAAATTCCCCCAAACCCCCCTAAATCCCCAAAAATCCCCCAAATTCCCCCAAACCCCCCTAAATCCCCCAAATTCCCCCAAAACCCCCCTACATCCCCAAAAATCCCCCCCCAAATCCCCCCAACCCCCCCCAAAACCCACCCAAAAATCCCCCAAATCCCCTCAAAAACCACCCAAAGTCCCCCAAACCCCCCGGCCCCCCTCACCGGCCTCGTCCAGGATGAACCCCCCGTGCCGTGGCTTCTTGGCCGGCCGGTCGTCATCTTCCTCCTCCTCCTCCTCCTCATCGTACTCCTCCTCCTCCTCCTCTTCCTCCTCCTCCTCCTCCTCCTCCTCCGCCTCCTCCTTCCCGCTGCCCCCCCCGCGCTGCTCCTCGGCCTGGGGGGGGCAAAGAGGGGGTCAGAGACCTCCAAAACCCCCCCAAACCCCCCCAAACCCCTCGAGCCTCTGGCCTCACCTCGTTGTCGTCGCCCTCGTCGCTGCTGCGCTCGCTCTCCTCCTCCGAGAAGTTGCTGTCCTCGCTGTCCGACATGGCCGGGGGGGGCTCGGGGGGTCCTCAGGGGTCTGGGGGTGCTCTGAGGGATCCGGTGGGTCTCTGAGGGGTGCTGGGGGTCTGTAAGGGGGGGTTGGTGAGGGGTCTGGGGGTCCCTGAGGGGTCTGGGGGGGTCCGGAGGGATCCTGAGAGGTCTTGGGGGGTCGTGAGAGGGAGTCTGGGGGGTTCCTGAGGGATCCAAGGGGTCCGTGAGGGGTCTGGGGGGTCCTGAGGGCTCCCTGAGGGCTCTGGGGGTGCTCTGAGGGACCCGTGAGGGGTCTGGGGGGCTCTGAGGGCTCCCTGAGGGACCCGTGAGGGGTCTGGGGGGTCCTGAGGGCTCTCTGAGGGCTCCGCTGCCGCCCCGAGCCCCTCCCGCCGCCGCCGCCTCGCTCACCCGCGGTTCCGCTGCGGGCCTGGCTCCGCCGGCGCTGCTGCGGCTCCCGGCGCTGTCGGGACTCTCCCGGAGCCGCCCCGCCCGCCCCGGCGCTGTCGCGACTCTCCCGGGCCCTGTCGCGACTCTCCGGTGCCGCGGCCGCCCTGCGCGCCGCTCTCGCGAGACTTCCCGCCCGTCCTCCCGCGAGACCTCGCGCGGCCTCCGACGGCGGCGCGAGAGGCCCAAAACGCGCCGTTTTTTTTTTTTGGTTTTTTTTGGGGGGGGCGCGGGGTTTTTTTAGGCGTGACGTCACTCGCGTGGACCGTGACGTCACGATGAAGCCCCCCTTTCCTCCCCGTGACATCACGCACGGAACAGCCAAAGAGCTGCTGTCACAAAATGTGGGTTTATTTACCAAAATTCCAATATTTCACCCCAAAATTCCAATATTTCACCCCAAAATGCAACAGTCCCGCTCCCCTCCCGCACTATCCCCCTCGCTCGGGCCGGGGGGGGGGGGTACCCAAATTCCCCCAGAGCCCCCCAAAACCAGCCCAACCCCCACCCCCAGTGCTGCTCGGGGGGTCCCGGCAGTCTTGGCCCCCCAAACTCCATCAGGGCTCCCCAGATTCCATCAGGACCTCCAAAGTCCATCAGGAACCCCCAAACTTCATCAGGAGTCCCCTAAATTCCATCAGGACCCCCCCAAATTCCATCAGGAGCACCCAAATCTCCATCAGGACCCCCCCAAATTCCATCAGGAGCACCCAAATCTCCATCAGGACCCTCCAGATTCCCTCAGAGCCCCCTAAAACCCCCCAAATGCCATCAGGGCTGCTCCAAACCACACCAGATCTGCCCCAACCCCCCCGGATGCCATCAGGACCCCCCCAAACCCCATCAGGACCCCCCAAACCCCATCAGGACCCCCCAAACCCCACCAGGACCCCCCCAAACCCCATCAGGGCTGCTCCAAACCCCATCAGGGCTGCTCCAAACCACATCAGATCTGCCCCAAACCCCCTCAAACCCCATCAGGACCCCCCAAACCCCACCAGGACCCCCCAAACACCATCAGGACCCCCCCAAACACCATCAGGACCCCCCCCAACCCCCACCAGGACCCCCCAAACACCATCAGAGCTGCTCCAAACCACACCAGATCTGCCCCAACCCCCCCGGATGCCATCAGGACCCCCCCAAACCCCATCAGGACCCCCCAAAGCCGTCAGGGCCCCCCCGGCGGGGGCAGCCTGCCCGTGATCTTGTTGGTGCCCTCCAGCAGGGCGTTGTGGATGTCCTTGGCGCTGGCGATCTGCGCCTTGATCAGGGGCAGGTACTGGGTGTAGGGCAGGCTCTCGCTGCCCCCCGCGCCCCCCTCGCCCTTGGGGGCCGCCGGCACCAGCGCCGGGGCGTGCTTGGCGCTGTCGAAGCTCTGCGAGAGGCACTCGTGGGCCAGGCGCTGCAGAGGCGGATTTGGGCAGATTAGGGGGGATCTGGGGGGGCTCAGAGGGGATTTGGGGGTGTTTGGGGGTGTTCATGGGGGTTTGGGGGTGTTTATGGGGGTCTGGGGGGAATCAGAGGGGATTTGGGGGGCTCCTGATGCCACGTGGGGGATCTGGGGGAGATCTGATGGGGTTTGGGGCGGTTTGGGGGACACGAGAGGGAATTTGGGGGGTTGGGGGGCTCAGAGGGGATTTGGGGGACATCAGAGCGGGTTTGGGAGGATGAGAGGGAGTTTTGGGTGAATTTGAAGGGGTTAAGGCATTATATTTAGGAGTTTTGGGGGATTTTGGGGTGATTTTGGGGTCTCTAAATAGGCACAGCTCCAGCTGGTCACACAGGGTGTTTGGGGGAGGTTTTTGGGGTGATTTTGGGGGATTTTGGGGTCTCTCACCAGGCACAGCTCCAGCTGGTCGCACAGGGCGTAGAACTCCTCCAGGCTCTTGTCGAAGCGCTGCAGGGGCCCGTCAGCGCTCTTCCTGTGGGAACTGGTGAGACTGGGAGGGACTGGGACGCACTGGGAGGCACTGGGGGGCACGGGGAGGGACTGGGAAGGACTGGGAGGGCACTGGGGGGCACTGGAAGTGACTGGGAGGGACTGGGAGGGACTGGGGGGCACTGTGAGGGACTGTGAGGGACTGGGAAGGACTGGGAGGGACTGGGAGGGCACTGGGGGGCACTGGAAGGGACTGGGAGGGACTGGGAGGGACTGGGAGGGCACTGGGGGGCACTGGAAGGGACTGGGGGGCACCGGCGGGCACTGGGGGGGACTGGGAGGGACTGGGAGGAACTGGGAGGGCACTGGGGGGGACTGGGAGGGACTGGGAGGAACTGGGAGGAACTGGGAGGGCACCGGGGGTCACTCACTGCCCATTGTCGATGCTGGAGTTCTGCACCAGATTCTGAGCCGCCACCTTCATCAGAGTCTGTGGGACAGGGGCGGGTCACAGGGGGGTCACAGGGGTCAGAGAGCACCGACAGCGCCCCCAAAACCCCGCCCTTTATCGGCGGCAAACCCCGCCCTTTATCGGCGGCAAACCCCGCCCTTTATCGGCGGCAAACTCCGCCTTTTATCGACGGCAAACTCCGCCCTCAATCGGCGGCAAACACCGCCCATTTCCGGTGGCAAACACCGCCCATTTCCGGTGGCAAACTCCGCCCTTTATCGGCGGCAAACACCGCCCATTTCCGGTGGCAAACTCCGCCCATTTCCGGTGGCAAACTCCGCCCTCAATCGGCGACAAACTCCGCCTTTTATCGGCGGCAAACCCCGCCCATTTCCGGTGGCAAACACCGCCCATTTCCGGCGGCAAACCCCGCCTTTTATCGGCGGCAAACTCCGCCTTTTATCGGCGGCAAACTCCGCCTTTTATCGGCGGCAAACTCCGCCTTTTATCGGCGGCAAACCACGCCCTTTATCGGCGGCAAACCCCGCCCTTTATCGGCGGCAAACACCGCCCATTTCCGGTGGCAAACACCGCCCATTTCCGGTGGCAAACACCGCCCATTTCCGGTGGCAAACTCCGCCCTTTATCGGCGGCAAACTCCGCCCTTTATCGGCGGCAAACACCGCCCATTTCCGGTGGTAACTCCGCCTTTTATCGGCGGCAAACCACGCCCTTTATCGGCGGCAAACTCCGCCTTTTATCGGCGGCAAACCCCGCCTTTTATCGGCGGCAAACCCCGCCTTTTATCGGCGGCAAACTCCGCCTTTTATCGGCGGCAAACCCCGCCCATTTCCGGTGGCAAACTCCGCCTTTTATCGGCGGCAAACTCCGCCTTTTATCGGCGGCAAACACCGCCCATTTCCGGTGGCAAACTCCGCCCTTTATCGGCGGCAAACTCCGCCTTTTATCGGCGGCAAACACCGCCCATTTCCGGCGGCAAACTCCGCCTTTTATCGGCGGCAAACACCGCCCATTTCCGGTGGCAAACTCCGCCCTCAATCGGCGGCAAACTCCGCCTTTTATCGGCGGCAAACCCCGCCCTTTATCGGCGGCAAACCCCGCCCTTTATCGGCGGCAAACTCCGCCCATTTCCGGTGGCAAACTCCGCCCATTTCCGGTGGCAAACCCCGCCTTTTATCGGCGGCAAACCCCGCCCATTTCCGGTGGCAAACTCCGCCCTCAATCGGCGGCAAACTCCGCCTTTTATCGGCGGCAAACCCCGCCCTTTATCGGCGGCAAACTCCGCCTTTTATCGGCGGCAAACACCGCCCATTTCCGGTGGCAAACTCCGCCCTTTGTCGGCGGCAAACTCCGCCTTTTATCGGCGGCAAACACCGCCCATTTCCGGTGGCAAACTCCGCCCATTTCCGGCGGCAAACACCGCCCATTTCCGGTGAAAACACCGCCCATTTCCGGTGGCAAACTCCGCCCTTTATCGGCGGCAAACTCCGCCTTTTATCGGCGGCAAACTCCGCCTTTTATCGGCGGCAAACACCGCCCTCAATCGGCGGCAAACCCCGCCCTTTATCGGCGGCAAACTCCGCCTTTTATCGGCGGCAAACCCCGCCCATTCCCGGCGGCAAACACCGCCCATTTTCGGTGGCAAACCCCGCCCTTTATCGGCGGCAAACCCCGCCTATTTTCCGCGGCAAACCCCGCCCGTTCGCGGCGGCAAACCCCGCCTGTTCCCGGCGGCAAACCCCGCCCATTTCCCGCGGCAAACCCCGCCCTTTATCGGCGGCAAACCCCGCCCATTCCCGGCGACAAACCCCGCCTATTTTCCGCGGCAAACCCCGCCCGTTTTCTGCGGCAAACTCAGCCTATTTTCCGCGGCAAACCCCGCCCGTTTTCCGCGGCAAACCCCGCCCACCTGCAGGCTCTCTTTCAGCTGCGGCAGCAGCAGCCGGAAGCGCTGCACCGGCTCGAAGTCCTGCGCCTGCGCCGCCGCCGCCTGCGCGGGCAGCGCGGGGCCCTGCGCGGCTCCCGGGGGCGGCCCCGGCCCCGCTCCGGGCCCCGCTCCCGGTCCCGGCCCCGCCGCCGCCGCTGAGGGAGGCCCCGGTCCCGGCCCGGCCGGCGGCGGAGGCGCCGCCATGTTGTGCGGGACTTCCGGCGCGCGGCGGTTGTGACGAGAAAGGGACGCGCCGCGCGGACCGGGAGCAGCCGCCGGCCATGGCGCCCACCATCCAGACGCAGGCGCAGCGCGATGAGCCGGGGCACCGGTAACGGCCGTGACGTCACCACCGTGACGGGGGCGGGGCGGGAGGGGATCCCCCGTGACGTCACCGCGCGGCGGGGGGCGGAGAAAGCGAAACACGGGGACCCCCCGTGACGTCACGGGAGCATGGGGTACCCCCGTGACGTCATGACGCGCCCCCCCCTCCCCGCAGGCCGAGCTCGCACCGGACCCTCCCCGAGAGGTGAGCGGGGGCGGGGAGGGGTCCCGGGCCGGGTTTGGGGTGAAACCCGGCGGGTCCGGGGCTCCCGCGGTCTCGGGCCGGGTTTGGGGTGAAACGCGGCGGTTTCGGGTCCCGCCGCAGGTCCGGGGTCGTTTGCCGGGTCAAGTTCTGCAACGGCCTCCCGGACATCCCCTTCGACCCCAAGTTCATCACCTACCCCTTCGACCAGAGCAGGTCCGGCACCGGGGCACCCACGGGGAGAAATCCCGGGGGGATAACGGGGAAAAATCCCGGGGGGATAACGGGGAAACATCCCGGGGGGATAACGGGGAGAAATCCCGGGGGGATAACGGGGAAACATCCCGGGGGATAAAGGGGAAAAAACCCGGGGGATCCCGGGTGGGTTTGGGGCTGATTTGGAGACAGGTTTGGGGTGGTTCGGGGCTGATTTTGGGGTGGGTTTGGGGCTGATTTTTGTGTGGTTTTGGGGCTGATTTTTGGGTGGTTTTGGGGCTGATTTTGGGGTGGGTTTGGGGTGGGGTTGGGGCTGATTTTTGGGTGGTTTTGGGGAAGATTTTGGGGTGATTTGGGGCTGATTCGGGGCTGATTTTGGGGCTGATTTTGGGGTGGTTTGGGGCTGATTTTTGGGTGGATTTTGGGTGGGTTTGGGGCTGATTTTGGGGTGGTTTTGGGGCTGATTTCAGGGTGGTTTTGGGCTGAGCTTGGGGCTGATTTTTGGGGTGGTTTTGGGGTGCTTTGCGGCTGATTTTTGGGTGGATTTTGGGGTGGTTTTGGGCTGAGCTTGGGGCTGATTTTTGGGGTGGTTTTGGGGTGCTTTGGGGTTGATTTTGGGGCTGATTTTGGGGTGGTTTGGGGCTGATTTCAGGGTGGTTTTGGGCTGAGTTTGGGGCTGATTTTTGGGGTGGTTTTGGGGTGGTTTTGGGGTGCTTTGGGGCTGATTTTGGGGCTGATTTTGGGGTGGTTTTGGGGTGCTTTGGGGCTGATTTGGGCCCCGGGGCGCTGCCCAGGTTCGTGCAGTACAAGGCCACGTCCCTGGAGAAGCAGCACAAGCACGACCTGCTGACAGAGCCGGACCTGGGCGTCACCATCGACCTCATCAACCCCGACACGTACCGCATCGACCCGGGCGGTGAGCACGGGGCCCCAAAACCGCCCCAAAACCGCCCCAAAACTGCCCCAAAAATCTGCCCCAAATCTCTGCCCCCGTTTTGGGGTTTCTGACCCCGTTTTGGGGTCCCCCCCGTTCCCGCAGTGCTGCTGGACTCCGCTGACGAGAAGCTGCTGGAGGAGGAGATCCAGGCCCCCACCAGCTCCAAGAGGTGGGACCCCAAAATGGGGCACCCCAAAACCCAAATGGGGCACCCCAAAACCCAAACGGGGCACCCCAAAACTGCTCAGGGCTGCCCCAGACCCCAAAACCCAAATGGGGCACCCCAAAACCGCCCAGGGGGATTCCCCAAACTGCCTGGGGGAGTTCCCCAGACCCCAAACCCCGTTTTGAGGTGCCCCAAACACCTGGGGAACGTTCTGGGGTAGTTCTGAGGGGGATTTTGGGGTGGGTTTTGGGGGAGATTTTGGGGGTGATTCTGGGGTGACTTAGGGCTGTTCTTTCGGCTGGTTTTGGGCTGGTTTTGGGCTGTTTTTGGTGAATTTTGGGGCCGCAGGTCACAGCAGCACGCCACGGTGGTTTTGGGCTGGTTTTGGGCTGGTTTTGGGGTGGTTTTGGGCTGTTTTTGGTGAATTTTGGGGCCGCAGGTCACAGCAGCACGCCAAGGTGGTGCCCTGGATGCGCAAGACCGAGTACATCTCCACCGAGTTCAACCGCTACGGGGTGAGCAACGAGAAACCCGAGGTCAAGTGAGTGCTCCGGGGATTTTGGGGGATTTTGGGGGGTTCTGGGGGGGTTCTGGGCTTTTGGGGGCTTTTGGGGGGGTTCTGGGGTTTTTGGGGGGGGTTTGAGGGAGGGTTTTGGGTTTTTGGAGTGGGTTTGGGGTTTGGGGATGGCCACAGAGAGGAGCTGGGGGTGATGGGGTTTGGGGTGCTTTTGTGGCTGGGTTTTGGGTGATTTTAGAGAGCATTTTGGGGAGATTTTGGGGTGATTTAGGGATGTGTTTTGGGGTGGTTTTGGGTGATTTTGGGCAGCGATTCTGGGGTGATTTTGAGGGTGACGTGGAGATTGTTTTGGGGTGATTTTGGGGAGTTTTGAAGGTGATGTGGGGAGCGTTTTGGGGTAATTCTGGGGTGACTTTGGAGAGATTTTGGGGTGACTTTGGGGAGATTTTGGGGTGACTTTGGGGCGTTTGGCAGGATCGGGGTGTCGGTGAAGCAGCAGTTCACTGAGGAGGAGATCTACAAGGACAGGGACAGTCAGATCGCGGCCATCGAGAAAACGTTTGAGGACGCTCAGAAACCGGTCAGGGTTTGGGGATTTTGGGGCATTTTGGGAGGGGGGTTTTGGGTTTGTTTGGGGCCTGATTTTTTGGGAGGTTTGGGGGTAATTTTGGGGTTTTTTTGGGCGGTTTGGGGCTCATTTTAGGGGTTATTTGGGGGGGGATACAGGTGTTTGTTGTGGGGCGACTTTGGGGGGTTTTGGGTGGTTTTGGGGTGAGTTTGGGCATGATTTGGGCGTCTCGGTCCCTGAGCAGATCACGCAGCACTACAGCAAACCCCGGGTGACCCCCCTGGAGGTGATGCCCGTGTTCCCCGACTTCAAGGTGGGTTTGGGGGCCCCCAGCCCCTCGTACACCCCCTAAACTCCAAATTCCTCCCCCAAAATCCACTATTCCCCCCAAAATTCGATATTCCCCCCCTTAAACTCCAAACCTCCCCCCAAAAATCCAATATTGCTCCTCCAAAATCCGCTCTTCCCCAGATGTGGATCAACCCCTGTGCCCAAGTGATTTTCGACTCGGACCCGGCCCCCAAGGACACCTCGGGGGCGGCGGCGCTGGAGATGATGTCCCAGGCCATGATCAGGTGAGGCCACCCCAAATTCCTCGTGGGCACCCCAAAAATTCCTCCCCAGGGAGCCCAGAATTCACCTGGGGAACCCAAATTCACCCCCAGGGATCCCAAAATTCCTCATGGGCACCCCAAAATTCTGACATGGGACCCCAAAATCTCCCCCTGGGGACCCCAAATCCCCCCCTGGACACCCCAAATTCCCCCCTGGGACCCCCAAAGTCCCCTCTGGACACCCCAAACTACTCCCTGGGACCCCCGAACTCCCCCTGGGGACCCCAATTCCCACTCAGGACATCCCAAACTCCCCCCTGGACACCCCAAAGCGCTCCCTGGGACCCCCAAACTCCCCCCTGGACACCCCAAACCACCCCCTGGGACCCCCAAACTCCCCCTGGACACCCCAAACTCCCCCCTGGACACCCCAATATCCCCCTGGGACCCCCAAACTCCCCCCTGGGACCCCCAAACTCCCCCCTGGACACCCCAAACTCCCCCCTGGACACCCCAAACCGCTCCCTGGGACCCCCAAACTCCCCCCTGGGACCCCCAAACTCCCCCTGGACACCCCAAACCGCTCCCTGGGACCCCCAAACCCCCCCTGGGACCCCCAAACCCCCCCACCCCACTGACCTCGCTCCGCAGGGGGATGATGGACGAGGAGGGGAACCAGTTCGTGGCCTATTTCCTGCCCGTGGAGGAGACGCTGCGCAAGCGCAAGCGGGACCAGGAGGAGGACGTGGATTACGCCCCCGAGGACGTGTAAGGAGGACCCCAAAACCTCCCCCAAAATCCTGGGGCGGGTCCCCAGGACGTGAGGGGGAATGATAAAAAAAAAGTTAAAATAAATCGGGGGGGGTTTAAGGCTCCATTGGGGTTGTGGAGTCTGCTGGGAAAGGAAGAACGTGCAAAGAATCCCAGGGAAATTTGGGGAGGAAATGGGAATTTGGGGGGAATTTGGGACTGGGGGGAATTTGGGACTGGGGGGGCGTCCCTGGGATTGGGGGTTCCACGGGGGGGGCCTTGGGGGCAGTTCTGGGGTCCCAAATCCCCGCAGAGAACGAGCCCGAGGCTCCCAAAGCTCCGGGAGGTTTTGGGGCAGAACTCCGGGATTTGGGGGGTTTTCGGGGGGTCCCGCGGCCCCTCCCCGACCCCCCCCCGCGGCCCCCCCCAGGTACGACTACAAGATCGCCCGGGAGTACAACTGGAACGTGAAGAACAAGGCCAGCAAAGGCTACGAGGAGAATTATTTCTTCATCTTCCGCGAGGGCGACGGCGTCTACTACAACGAGCTGGAGACCCGGTGGGGCTGCTGGGGGGCACTGGGGGATACTGGGAGGGGCTTGGGGGGCACTGGGGGATACTGGGAGGGAACTGGGGGGCACTGGGGGATACTGGGGGGCACTGGGAGGGAACTGGGGGATACTGGGAGGGGCTTGGGGGGCATTGGGAGGTACTGGGAGGGACTGGGGGGACAGTGGGAGGACATTGGGGGGCACTGGGGGACATTGGGGGGACACTGGGGGACACTGGGAGGGACTGGGGAGAACTGGGGGATACTGGGGGGACACTGGGGGGGAGCACTGGGAGCTGCAAGTTGCTGTTGGGGCACTGGGAGATGTCCTGCTCAGTACTGGGGGCACTGGTTGGGCCTTCAGAGGGTCCTGAGGATGCCCTGAGGGTCTGGGGGGTTCCCGAGGGTCTGGGGGGGTTTTGGGGGGTCCTTTTGGGGGTCCCTGACCCCCCCCCACCCTAGGGTGCGGCTGAGCAAGCGCCGGGCGCGCGCCGGGGTCCAGTCGGGCACCAACGCCGTGCTGGTGGTGAAGCACCGCGACATGAACGAGAAGGAGCTGGAGGCGCAGGTGGGATTTGGGGAGGGGTCCCGACCCCCGGGAGCCCCCGGGAACCCCCCCGGGACCCCTACGTGAGCCCCCTCTCCCCTACAGGAGGCCCGGCGGGCGCAGCTGGAGAACCACGAGCCCGAGGAGGAGGAGGAGGAGGAGATGGAGGCCGAGAAGGAAACGCCGGGATCAGGTTCGGGGACCCAAATGCACCAGAATCCCACCCAAAATCCACCCGTTTCCCACCCTAAACCCCCTCCCCAAATCCCCATTTCCCACCCAACTCCCCCTCCCCAAATCCCCGTTTCCCACTCAAATCCCCTCCCCAAACCCCCCCACCCCCCCCGGCCTGGGGGTCTCACCCCACTGAGGACCCCCAACCCCCCGAGCAGACGAGGAGCGGGAGAAGGGCAGCGAGAGCGAGGAGGACGAGGCCGAAGGCTCCGGCTCGGAGCGCGGGGGGGGCTCGGCCCGCAGCGAGGATGAGGAGGAGGAGGAGGAGGAGGAGGAGGAGGCCGAAGGAGCCCGGGGGGGCCGCCGGGGGGGGCAGCGACGCCGCTCGGGCCGCCCGGGACCAGGAGGAGATTTTCGGCAGCGACAACGACGAGGATGAGGAGGAGGAGGAGGAGGAAGAGGAGGAGGAGGAGGAGGAGGAAGGCAGCGAGGGGGGGGGGCCGGCGCCCCGCAGCCCCCAGCTCAGCCCCAGCGAGGAGGAGGAGGAGGAGGAAGAGGAGGAGGAAAGCGCCAGCGAAGGCTCCGAGTCCTCCAGCGAGTGAGGAGGGGGTGACCCCCTCCCCCCCACTCCCCAAAACCCCACCCCACCACCCCGGCCCCGTTTTGGGGGAAAAAAGCAGCGTCTCGGGGCGGTTTTTGTGTTTAATAAGGTCAATGGTTACCAGCCATATCATAACAAAAGGATTCATAATAAAATGTATCTAAAATAACGATTTTTGTCTTTCTATTTGGGGGCCGCAGCGCTACAAAGGGGGGGAAGGGGCTGTACCGAGGGGGGGGAGGGGTCCCCCCACCCCGGGGGGGGGGAGGGGGTGGGGCGGTGTTGTACCTAAATTTGGGGTGGGTGTCCCCCCCCCTCCCCCACCCCGCGGGGGCCAGGACAGAAATAATTAATTAATAATAATATAATAACAATAAAGAGCCAAAAAAATAAAAAGGGAAAAAAAAAACCAAAAAAAAACAACGAAAAAGAGGAAATAAAATCCGCAAATCCCCCAAATCCTGGGATTTTTAAAAACGGAGGAAACTAACCCCTCCCACCGCTCCCCCCCCCCCAAAAAAAGCCCCCCTGTAGTGTCATGGCCCCCCCACCCCACGAGGTCATCGGCCGGGGGGGCCCCTCCCTCACCGGGGACCCCCAAAACCCCCAGATCGGTGGGGGGGGGGTCTGCCCCTCCCCCCGGTGTTTTGGGGACCCCCGGGGGGGTTGGAGGCAGGAAGGGGGAGGGGGGGGTTAAGGAGGTGCCCCCCCAGTTTGGGGAGGGGGCGGCGGCGCCATCAGATGGTGGAGGTTTTGTCTGTGCCGTCTGTGGGGGGGGGAAAAAAGGGGGGTCAGGGGGGTCCCCAAAACCCCCTGAGCTCCCCCCGAGTCCCCATGTCCCCTGTACCCCCCACTGTCCCCCCATGTCCCCGTGTCCCCCCATGTCCCCCCCGTGTCCCCCCATGTCCCCATGTCCCCCCCGTGTCCCCATGTCCCCTGTACCCCCCACTGTCCCCCCTTGTCCCCATGCCCCACCGTGTCCCCCCGTGTCCCCCCATGTCCCCATATGTCCCCTGTACCCCCCCCGTGTCCCCCCCATGTCCCCATGTCCCCCCGTGTCCCCCCATGTCCCCCGCACCCCCCAGCGCGTGCTCGGTCATGCTCAGGCACAGCGACTCCAGCGTGGGGTTGATCTCCAGGTCCGTCCCGGGGGGGGGACACTCTGTGGGGAGGGGGACACCAAAAAAAAGGGTCAGGGGGGCAGCCCCAGAAACTACCCCCCCACCCCAAAACGCCCCCCGCCTCCCCACCCACTTTGGGGTCTCTCTCCCCATTGTCGGGGGCCCTCTCCCCGTTTCCCCCTCCCCATTTTTGGGGTGCTCCCCCCTCCCCAGTCCACCCCCACCCCACAGAACCCATCCCAGGAGCTTTTCCCCCATTTTTGTGCCCCCCCGTCCCCCATTTCTGCCCCCCGCCCCCCATTTTTGGGCCTTGCCCCCACATTTCAGGCCTCCCTCTGCCCATTTTTAGGCCCCCGCCCCCCATTTCTGCCCCCCCACCCCATTTCTGCCCCTCTACCCCTCATCTTTGGGACCCCCACCCCATTTCTGCCCCCCCTGCCCCATTTCTGCCCCTACCCTGGGGGAAGGCAAGCAGGGCCGAGCTGTGCACGGGCAGCGAGTGCGTTCTCTGCACGGCCCCGCGGCTCCCGGGGGAACCCCCCGGGCCCCCCCCCGAACCAAAGGCTCTGGGGGGGCAGCCGGGGGGTCACCGGGGGCACAACACCCCCAGGCTGGGGGGAGACCCCCCAAAAAAGGTCTCCAGGGGGAGAGGGAGATCCCCCCTCCTCTCCCCAACCGGAGTAAAAACGAGCAGGGTCAGGGAGATGTGCCCCCTCCCCAGGATAACTCCAAAATCCCCCCCAAATCCTCCCCAAAATCCCCCCCAAATCGTCCCCAAAGCAGCCCCAAAATCCCTCCCAAATCCTCCTCAAAGCTTCCCAAAAATCCCCCCCAAAACCTCACCTCCTTCCCAAAATCCTCCCCAAAATCCTCCCCAAAATCCCCCCCAAATCCTCCCCAAAATCCCCCCAAATCCTCCCCAAAATCCCCCCCAAATCCTCCTCCAAATCCTCCTCAAAGCTGCCCCAAAATCCCCCCCAAAGCCTCACCTCCTCCCCAAAATCCTCCTCAAAATCCCCCCCAAATCCTCCCCAAAATCCTCCTCAAAATCCACCCTCAAATCCTCCCCAAAATCCCCCCAAAAGCAGCCCCAAAATCCCCCCCAAATCCTCCCCAAAATCCCCCCCCAAATCTTCCCCAAAATCCTCCCCCAAAGCAGCCCCAAAATCCCCCCCAAATCCTCCCCAAAGCAGCCCCAAAATCCCCCCCAAAACCTCACCTCCTCCCCAAAATCGTCCCCCAAATCCTCCCCCAAATCATCCTCAAAATTCCCCCCCAAATCCCCATCTCCCCCCCAAAATCCCTCCAAATCCCCGTTTCCCCCCAAAATCCCCCTCTCACTCCTAATCCTCCCCCCAGACCCCCCAAAATCCCCGTTTCCCCCCCAAATCCCCCCGGACCCACCTGCCGTCCCTGCGTGCCCAAGGGGGGGGGCTCCGAGGGGGGGTCTGGGGGCCCCCCCGGGGGGTCCCAGCAGCCCCAGGCGGGCGGGGGGGGGCAGGGCCCGGGGGGGCAGGGCGAAGGGGCGGCCCCCCCCCCCGCCGCCCCCCCCCCACAGATCCAGCTATGGGGAGAGAGTTGGAGCCGAAGGCCCAGCTGGGGGGGGAGAGGGGAAACGGGGGGGTCAGGGGGGGCTGAGACCCCCAAAACCTCCCCCAGAACAAAAACCGCCCCCCAAAACTGGGGAAAAAGGGAAAATGGGAATTGGGGGGGGGGGAACCCTTTGACCCCCCCCCCAAAATTGATGCGGGAGGAAAAAACAGCTGGAGAGAAGAGAAACCCCAAAACTGCCCTAAATTTCACTGCCCGAAGCCCCCCCCAGACTGAAAATTGTGCACAACCCATGGGGGGGGGGGGGGAAGGAGGCAGACCACCCCCCTAAAATTGGGATGGGATGGGGGGGGATTGAGCATTTTGGGAGGAGGGGTGGGACCCCAACAGCCCCCAGACCCCGCACGGGGTGGAAATGGGGTTTGGGGGGGGGTCTCCAGCAGCACGGGAGGGGGTGCAGCAGCACGGGAGGGGGTGCAGCAGCACGGGACCCCCCCCAGGTACCTTTTGGGGGGCCGGTATCCGGGGGGGCCGTCCAGGGGCCCCTTCTTGGGGAAGGCGCGGAGCAGCTTCAGCACCTGCTGCTTCCAGGACTGGAGCCGCTTCTTCTGGGTCTCCGTGAACGCCTGGGGGGGCCCGGGGGGGTCAGGGGGGGTCCCCGGGGTTTGGGGGGGACACGGAGACCCTCCAGGACCCCCACCCGAGGGTACCTCGTGGCTCAGGCACTTCTCGAGCAGCTGGAGGTAACTGGTGATGTTCTCCTCGTCCGGCCGCGACACCAGGAGCTGGGTGCACACTGCGGGGGGGTCAGGGGGCCAAAACCTCCCAAAAACCCCCAAAATCCCACCCCCAAATCCCTGAGATACACCCCCAGGAGCTGGGTGCACACTGTGGGGGGGTCAGGGGGCCAAAACCCCCCCCAAAACCACCCAAAACGTCCCCAAATCCCTGGGACACCCCCAGGAGCTGCAGGGAGGGGACAGGGGGCCCTAAACCCCCACCAAACCCCCCAAAATCCCCCTCAGACCCCACCCCAAAACCCCCAGGAGCTGTGGGGGGGAGCAGGGGTCCCCAAACCCCCACCCCAAACCCAAAACTGCCCTGGGACACCCCCAAATCCCTCCCCAAACGCCCCCCCCAGGACCCCCCCAGACCCTGAACCCCTCGGAGCCCCCTCCCCAAGCCCCCCCAGACCCACCCCCCGTTTTCAGGGCTCACCCTTGCCCATGACGCGCGTGAACTGCCCCGGGATGTCCCCGTCGGGCACCGGGGCCGCGGGGGGCTCGGCCTCGGGGGCCGGGGGGGCCGCGAAGGCCTCGGGGGGGGCCCCGTCGGGGGGCCCGGGGGGCGGGGGGGGCCGGAAGGCCTTGATGGGGGTGGCCAGGATCTGCTGCAGCTCCTGCAGCGCCGTCCACAGGTTGCCCCCCTCGAGGATGTCCTGGTTTGGGGGGACATGGGGGGGGGACGTCAGGGGCACGTGGGGACATCGGGAACTGTCCCCCCCCCGCAGACCTGGGGACATCAGGGACTCCCCTGGACCATAACTGGGGACACTGGGAACACTGGGAACCAGCCCAGGGGACACCGGGAACTCACCCAGCGCCAACCCTGGGGTCACCGGGGTGGGGTCTGGGGACATCAGGGACCCCTTCCAGGAGCCCTGGGGACCCCCAGTGCTCTCCCAGTCCCTCCCAGTCCCTCCCAGTGCCCCCAGTGACCTTCTCCAGCGCCCTGAGGACGCTCTGCCGCTCCCGCAGCTTTTGGATGCTCAGGGCGATCTTGTGCCGGGCGCCCTTGGTGACGTTCTGTGGGGGGACAGGGGTGTCACACACCTCTACGGGGGTGTCACACACCTGTGGCAGGTGTCACACACCTTTTGGGGGGTGTCACACACCTTTTTGGGGGTGTCACACACCTTTTGGGGGGTGTCACACACCTTTTGGGGGTGTCCCGCACCTCTGGGGAACAATGGGGACACGCCCTGGGAAGATCGGGGGTACTGCCACCCCCTCCCCACCAGCCCCGGTGACACTGGGGACACCGTGAGCCCCTCTAGGGACCCCCCCAGTCCCTCCCAGTCCCACCTGGGACTCCAGGTGGTGCTCGGTCAGCGTCATCATCTCCTCGTAGCTCATCTGCGCGAACAGCGCCGCGTACTTGTGCAGCCGCAGGCTCTTCAGCCACGAGGGGACATCTGGGGGGTGGGAAGGGGCTGTGTGAGGCGACAGCCGCCCCCCAAACCTCCCAAACCCCCCCCGGAGCCCCCCACCCACCCTTCATGCCGCTGCCGTCCTCCTGGAAGGAGTTTCGCCCTCCGGGCTCCTCGGTGTGCTCGCTGCCCGACGAGGCCACGCTGCTCTGCGGGGACAGCGGCGCGTGCTCCCCGAAGGCCGCCGCGGGGCCCCGTGGGGCCGTGGGGGGCTCCTCGGGACCCCCCGGCCCTGCCCAGTCGCCGCCCGGGCCGGGCTGGGCGCTGCCGGGCGCCAGGGCCAGCGAGCGCTTCAGGGGGCTGGGGTGCAGCTGGCACGGCAGGGCTGGGGGGCACGGGGACGGCGTCGGGGTGGGGGGCACAGCACAGCGCTTCTTGTGCCCCCACCGCAGCCCCCAGCCCCTTTTCCCAGTGCCCCCGTGCCCTGCAGGGTTCCTCTGGCCCCCAGCCCCTTCCCCTCATGTGACACTGTCCCCCCTTCCCAGCCCCTTCCCCTCCTTCCTCCTCCCTTTGCTCGTTTTGCCCCCATTTCTCCCCATTCTCCCAGTTTGTGCTACTGGTTCTTCTCTGTTTTCCCACATTGTCCCAGTTTCTCCTCTGTTTTCCCCCGTTTTTCCCTATTTCCCAATTCTCCTCCCGTTTCCCCCGTTCTCTCCCCATTTCTCCTCCCGTTTGCCCCATTCTTCCCCCATTTCCCCTGCTCTCCCCATTTCTCCTCCTGTTTCCTCTCACTTTTCCCCATTTCCCATTTCTCCTCCTGTTTCCCCCGTTTTCCCCCACATTTCTCCTCTTGTCTCCTCTCACTTTTCCCCCATTCCGCCCCGCTCTCCCCATTTCTCCTCCCATTTCCCCCCATTTTTCCCCATTTCCCTCATTTTCCCCCGCTCTCCCCATTTCCCCCCCATTCCCCCCCATTTCCCCCCCATTCCCCCCGGTACCTGCGCTGCCCTGGAACGGGGGGTGCCCGTTCTCCCGCGGGGCCGTGCCCGTGGGGTGCTGCTCTGCCCAGGCCGCCCCGCCGGGCTCGGGGGGCTCGGGGGGCCACTCGTGGGGCGGGGGCCGGCGCTGTGGGGCCGGGGGCGGCGCCAGGCGCTCCTCCAGGTGGCCGAGCCACAGGGCGAGCGCGCTGCGGTCGTCGGCCGTGGTGGCGGGGTGGATCAGGGCGTAGGACAGCAGCTGCCGCGACTCCTCCACGCAGCGGTTGCTCTCGATGGCGTCGGCCAACACCTTCTGCAGCCGCTTCATGTACTCGGCCTTGGCCGCCGCGTTGCCCGGCTGCAGCAGCGGCAGGTGGGCCAGCAGCAGGGCCACGGCCGCCTCGGCCGGCTCCTGCGGCCACTGCGAGATGGCCGCTGCGGACAGGGACACGCAGGGGTCAGTGGGGACACACACAGGGGTCAGTGGGGACACGCAGGGGTCAGCAGGGACACACAGGGGTCAGCAGGGACACACACAGGGGTCAGCGGGGACACAGATGGGGTCAGCAGGGACACACAGGGGTCAGCGGGGACACACACGGGGTCAGCAGGGACACACACAGGGTCAGCGGGGACACAGATGGGGTCAGCAGGGACACACAGGGGTCAGCGGGGACACACACGGGGTCAGCAGGGACACACAGGGGTCAGCGGGGACACACAGGGGTCAGCGGGGACACACGGGGGTCAGCAGGGACACACACAGGGTCAGCGGGGACACAGATGGGGTCAGCAGGGACACACAGGGGTCAGCGGGGACACACACGGGGTCAGCAGGGACACACAGGGGTCAGCGGGGACACACAGGGGTCAGCGGGGACACACAGGGGTCAGCAGGGACACACACGGGGTCAGCAGGGACACACGGGGGTCAGCAGGGACACACGGGGGTCAGTAGGGACACACACGGGGTCAGCAGGGACACACAGGGGGTCACAGCAGGGCCACCGCCACCTCGGCCGGCTCCTGTGGCCACTGGAGACAGGGGACACGAGGGCCAGCAGGGACAGCGGGGCCACCCCAGCTCCGAGATGGGCACAGGGGACACAGAGCCACCCCTGAGCCTCCAGAGTTCAGCCCTGGCAGGACAGCAGGACCCCCAGATCCCCCCAGATCCCCCCATATCCCTGTGCAGCGTCCCCAGAACGCGTGCGGGACCCCGGTAACGCCCTGCGCACCCCCCAAAGTCCCTCAAAACCCCCCAAAGTCCCTGGAAACGCCCCAAAGTGACGCCCCGGGCAGGCGCTCACCGGCGCTGTTGGCCTCGGCCTCGAGCAGGTGGATGTCGGGGCAGTCGGCCAGCGAGTGCTCGAGGCAGAGCTGCAGGAAGCGCGCCTGGGTGCGGCTGACGCGCTTCAGCAGCGCCAGCAGCGCCACGGTCTGCTCGCACTCGCTCCAGCCGCGGAACCAGCCCGCCACGATGCCCACCTGGTCCCGGAACATCATGGCTGGGCTGGGGGGCTCCGGGGGGCTCCGGGGGGGAGGGAGGGAGGGGAGGCGGCCCTGCCCCCCCCTCAGGTGGCGGGGGGCCCCCCCCGGGCCGGGCAGCACATGGGGGGTGCGGGCAGGGGGTACCGAGGGGCCCCCCCGGGCTGGGAGCTGCGGGAGGGTCCGGAGGGTCCTGTGGAGAGAGGGCAGTGGGTCAGGGGTGGGGACACCCCAAAATGGGGACACCTCTGGGCTGGGACACCCCTGGGTGGGGACAGCCCTGAGTGGGGACACCCCTGAGTGGGGACACCCCAAAATGGGGACACCCCAAAATGGGGACACCCCAAAATGGGGACACCCCCGGGCTGGGAGCGTGGGAGAGGGTCCAGAGGGTCCTGCGGAGAGAGGGGGCAGGGGTCAGGGGTGGGGACATCGTGAGGGGACACCCCTGAGTGGGGACACCCCCGGGATGGGACACCCCTGAGTGGGGACACCCCAAAATGGGGACACCCCTGGGCTGGGACACCCCAAAATGGGGACACCCCTGGGCTGGGAGCGTGGGAGAGGGTCCGGAGGGTCCTGTGGAGAGAGGGCAGTGGGTCAGGGGTGGGGACACCCCAAAATGGGGACAGCCCTGAGTGGGGACACCCCAAAATGGGGACACCCCTGAGTGGGGACACCCCCGAGAAGGGACACCTGAGAGACCAGAGATGGGACACCGAAGTGGGGACGACATCGGGAGGGGACATCCGAATGGAGACACCCCTGAGAAGGGACACCCAAGAGGGGACACCGGAATGGGGACACCCCCGGGATGGGACACCGGGGAGGGGACACCCCCGAGAGGAGATACCCGAGAGGGGACATCGGAACGGGGACAGCCGTGAGGGGACACCGGAGTAGGGACACCCGGGACGGGACACCCCTCTCAGCCACACCGGACAGGCGGGGGACACACACAGCCGCTCTCCGGGGGGGACGGGGATCCCCGAAAGGCACCGGGGACCCCCCGAGAGAGGCCTCACGCCCCTCCCCCGAGCACCCTCCGCGGGCTCAGGGACCCTCCCGTACCGGGGACCCTCCCGTACCGGGGGACAAGAGACCCCCACAGCCAACCGGGACCCAACCGGCGCCCACCCGGTGACCGGGACCCCCCCAAGGAGGCCTCACCGCCCTCCCATGACCATCAGGGACCCTCCCGTACCGGGGGACAACAAGAGACCCCCAGAGGGAACCGGGACCCAACCGGGACCCACCGGGGCCCCTCCCGGTGACCGGGACCCCCGAAACCCACCGGGGCCGGACCCCCGCTCCCACCCGCAGCGATCCCGGGTTCCAGCACCCCGCACGGCCGCAGCGGCTGCGCGGTGTCCCCGCCCCGGGCCCGGGGCTCCGCCGCCGCCGCCGCCGCTGTCCCGTCCGCGCGGGGCGGGGGGCGCAGGGGGAGCGCAGGCCGGGCGGGCCCGGGGCCGGCCGCGGGGGCTCGGCGAGCCCCGGGGAGCCCGCGGGGGGCGGTCCCGGCGGTCCCGGCGGTCCCGGTGGTCCCGGGCAGCCCCCGCGGGGTCCCGGCGGCTCCCGGGGGTCGCGGCCGCCCCTCACTCACCGCCGCCGCCGCGCAACGTCAGCGCGTACCGCACGCACCCAGCGTCCTGCGTCACCGCGCCGCCGCCGGCCGGCCAATCACAGAGCGGAGCGCCGCGGGGAGGAACCGCGCGGCCCCGCCCACCGCGAGGGGCGGCCAATGGGAGAGCCCCGCGCAGGCGCGCGCGGAGGAGGCGGGGTCAGGGGGTGAGCGCGGGGTTGGACACGCCCCTCGGCGGCTGACCACGCCCCCTCCTCCTCCGCACAACTGTCAATCACGGAGGACACGCCCCCTCCTGCCTTTGGCCACGCCCCCGCCGCCTCGCGCTGTCCCCCAGTGCCCCCCCAGTATCCCCCCAGTGTCCCCCAGTATCCCCCAGTATCCCCCCAGTGCCCCCCAGTGTCCCCCAGTATCCCCCAGTGTCCCCCAGTATCCCCCAGTGTCCCCCCAGTGTCCCCCAGTGCCCCCCAGTGCCGCCCCAGTATCCCCCAGTGTCCCCCAGTGCCCCCAGTGCCCGCCAGTATCCCCCAGTGTCCCCCAGTATCCCCCAGTGTCCCCCAGTATCCCCCAGTGCCCCCCAGTGCCCCCCCAGTATCCCCCAGTATCCCCCAGTGTCCCCCAGTGTCCCCCAGTGCCCCCCCCACTATCCCCCAGTATCCCCCAGTATCCCCCAGTATCCCCCAGTGTCCCTCAGTGCCCCCCCAGTGTCTCCCAGTATCTCCCAGTGTCCCCAGTGCTCCTGGCCCCGTGTCTCCCAGTGCTCCCAGTGTCCCCCAGTGCACCTCAGTGTCCCTGGTGTCCGTGTGTCTGTCCCTGTGTCCCTGGGTCCATTCGTGTCCGCGTGTGTGTCCCTCTGTCTGTCTGTCTCTCCGTGTGTCCATCCCCGTGTCCATCTCTGTGTCTGTGTGTCCATCCCCATGTCCGTGTGTCCAGCCCCATGTCCATGTGTCCATCCCCGTGTCCGTGTGTCCATCTCTGTGTCCATGTGTCCAGCCCCATGTCCCTCTGTCAGTGTGCCCATCCCCGTGTCCATCCCTGTGTCCATGTGTCCCTCCCTGTGTCCTTGTGGCCATCCCCGTGTCCATCTCCATGTCCCTGTGTGTCCGTGTGTCCATCTCCAGGTCCCTGTGTCCGTGTGTCCATCCCCGTGTCCGTGTGTCCAGCCCCATGTCCATGTGTCCATCTCTGTGTCCGTGTGTCCATCCCCGTGTCCGTGTGTCCATCCCCATGTTCCCCTGTCAGTGTGTCCATCCCTGTGTCCATGCGTCCATCCCCTCCGTGTGTCTGTCTGTCTGTCCACGCGTCCATCCCCTCTGTGTGTCCATCCCCGTGTCCGTCCGTCCGTCCGTCCGTCTGTCCGTGTGTCCATCCCCGTGTCCGTCCGTCTGTCCGTGTGTCCATCCCCGTGTCCCCGTGTCCATCCCCGTGTCCGTCCGTCTGTCCGTTCGTCTGTCCGTCCGTCTGTCCGCGCTCCCGCCGTGGCCCCGCCCCGCCCGGCCCCGCCCCGGCCCCGCCCGGCCCCGCCCCGCCGGTTCTGCGGCTCCGAGCGGCGGCCGCGGCCTCACCGGGGCCTCTCCGGGGCGGCGGGTCCGGGGCTGCTCCGGGCCCCCCGCACCCCGAGCCCGGCGGCCGCTCCCGGGGCCGTCCTGCGCCTGGATCCATCCCGGATCCATCCCCGGCTGCATCCCGGATCCATCCCCGAATCCCGGATCCGCCCCGGATCCATTCCCGGCTCCATCCCCGCATCCCGGCTCCATCCCGGATCCACCCCGGCTCCATCCCCGCATCCCGGCTCCATCCCGGATCCCGCTCCCTCCATCCCGGCCCGCATCCCGGTGTCCCCCCCGCCGCCATCCCGGTCCCCTCTCCCCTCCCCCGGTCCCATCCCGGTGATTCCCGACATCCCCCCCCACCCCCACCACCCCTCCCCATCCCGGTGAAGCCGGGCCCGGTGCCCCCCGCCCCAATTCCCGTTCCCCCCCCCCCTTTCCCGGTGCCCCCCCGATGCCCCCGCGGTAGGGCAAGGCCCGAGCCCCCCTCCCCCCCCGGAGCAGCGATGGGAGCGTCGGTGGGCTGAGCCCCCCCAGGTACCGCCGGGGGGCCGGGAGGGACTGGGAGGCACTGGGGCTGGGTTGAGCTGCACTGGGCCATACTGGGATGTACTGGGGCTGGATTGGGCTGCACTGGGCCATACTGGGATGTACTGGGGCTGGATTGGGCTGCACTGGGCCATACTGGGATGTACTGGGGCTGGATTGGCCTGCACTGGGCCATACTGGGAAGCACTGGGATATACTGGGCTGTACTGCTCTGTACTGGGATATATTGGGCTGTACTGGGCTGTACTAGGCTGTACTGGGATGTATTGGGTTATACCGGGCCATGCTGGGCCGTACTGGGCTGTGCTGGGCTGTACTGGGATATACTGGGCTGTACTGGGCTGGGCAGTGTCTGTAATGGTCTGTATGGGGATGTACTGGTTTGCACTGGGCTGTGCTTCATTGTACTGGCCTGTACTGGGCCATACTGGGCTATACTGGGCTGTGCTGGGCCATGCTGAAATGTACTGGGTTGTACTGGGCTGTACTGGGCCATACTGGGATGTACTGGGTTATACTGGGCTGTGCTGTCCTGTACTGGGTTATACTGGGCTGTATTGGGCCATACTGGGATGTACTGGGTTGTACTGGGCTGTACTGGGCCATACTGGGATGTACTGGGCTATACTGGGCTGTGCTGTCCTGTACTGGGTTATACTGGTCTGTACTAGCCCGTACTGGGCTGTACTGGCCCGTACTGGGCTGTGATAGGCCATACTGGGATGTCCTGTTCTGTACTGGTCCATACTGGGCTGTGCTGGGATGTACTGGGCTGTACTGGGCTGTGCTGGGCCATGCTGGGATGTTCTGATCTTTACTGGGTGATGCTGTACCGTACTGGTCTGTACTGGGCTGTGCTCTTCTGTACTGGTCCATACTGGGCCATACTGGGATGTACTGGGATGTGCTGGGCCGCATTAACCTGGAATGGACACTGGGGGTGTGTGCAGGGGATGCTGGGCTGAACTGGGCCGAACTGGGCTGAACTGGGCTGAACTGGGCCAGACTGGGTGAACTGGGCCAGACTGGGTTGAACTGGGCTGGATTTGGCCTTACTGGGGTGTGTGGGGCTGTACTGGGCTGAACTGGGCTGTGTGCTGCTCAACTGGTCTGTACTGGCCCATACTGGTGGATGTGAATCTGTACTGGTCCGTACTGGTTTGTACTGGTCTGTACTGGTCCCTATTGGTGGGTGTAAATCTGTACTGGTCTGTATTGGTTCATACTGGTCCGCACTGGTCCCTGTTGATGGGTGTGAACCTGTACTGGTCCGTACTGGTTTGTATTGGTCCCTGTTGATGGGTGTGAACCTATACTGGTCTGTACTGGTTTGTACTGGCCTGTCCCCTGTCACCACAGGCCCCACGGCAACGCCTGGACAGGACCAGGATGGAGCCCTGAGAGGAGGTAATGGGAGCACTGGGAGCACTGGGAGCACTGGGAACACTGGGAACACTGGGCTCTCACTGGGATCTCACTGGGAACACTGGGATCTCACTGGGATCTACTGGGATCTCATTGGGATCTCATTTGGATCTCCCTGGGAGCACCGGGATCTCCCTGGGATCTCACCGGGATCTCACTGGGATCTCACTGGGATCTCACTGGGATCTCACTGGGAGCTCACCGGGATCTCACTGGGATCTCACTGGGATCTCACTGGGATCTCACTGGGATCTCACCGGGATCTCACCGGGAGCTCACCGGGATCTCACCGGGAGCTCACCGGGATCTCACTGGGATCTCACTGGGATCTCACCGGGATCTCACTGGGATCTCACTGGGATCTCACTGGGAGCTCGCCGGGATCTCACTGGGATCTCACTGGGAGCTCACCGGGATCTCACCGGGATCTCACTGGGAGCTCACCGGGATCTCACTGGGAGCTCACCGGGATCTCACCGGGATCTCACCGGGATCTCACTGGGATCTCACTGGAATTTAGCAGTGTGCTGTGGGATCTTGTGGCCGGGATTGGCCGTGACCCCGCCGTGACCCCGCTGTGACCCCTGGGTTCCCCCGCAGGCGCGGCCGCGGGGATGGCGAAGCTGCTGGTGCCGCTGGTGGTGCTGGGGGCCGTGTCCGGGGCGGGGGTCCCGGTGTCGCCGCCGTCGCCGCGGTGCCCCCCGCGCTGCCTGTGCCCCGCGGCCGCGCCCAGCCCCACGCTGCTGTGCGCCCGCACCGGGCTGCTGGCCGTGCCGCCCAGCCTGGACCGCGGCGCCGTGGAGCTGCGCCTGGCCGACAACTTCATCGGCGCCGTGGGCCGCGCCGACTTCGCCAACATGAGCAGCCTGGTGCACCTGACGCTGTCGCGGAACGGGCTGCGCCGCCTGGCCCCCGGCGCCTTCGCCGACCTGCGCGCCCTGCGAGCGCTGCACCTGGACGGCAACCGGCTGCCGGCGCTGAGCGGGCCGCAGCTGCGCGGGCTGGCCAGCCTGCGCCACCTCATCCTGGCCAACAACCAGCTGGCCGCCATCGACGCCGCCGCCTTCGCCGCCTTCGCCGCCACCGTGGAGGACCTGGACCTGTCGCACAACAACCTGCCGGCCCTGCCCTGGGACGCCGTGGCCGCCATGGGCAGCCTGGCCACGCTGACCCTGGACCACAACCTGCTGGAGCGGGTGCCGGCCGGCGCCGTGGCGCGGCTGCCGCGCCTGGCCCGGCTGGACCTGACGGCCAACCGGCTGCGGGCGCTGCCGCCGGTGCCGGGGCCGCCGGGGCCGGCGCTGGCGGCCGGGGGGAACCCGTTGCACTGCAACTGCGAATTGCTGTGGCTGCGCCGCGTGGCTCAGCCGGGCCGCCTGGAGACCTGCGCCACGCCGGCGCCGCTGGCCGGGCGGCTGCTGGGCGCCGTGCCCGAGGAGGAGCTGACCTGCCGGGCCCCCGCCGTCACCGCCGCGGCCGCGCACCCGCCCGCGGTCACCGAGGGGCAGCCGCTGCGCCTGGGCTGCGCCGCCGTCGGGGACCCGCCGCCCGCGCTGCACTGGCTGGGCCCCGACGGGCGCGTGGTGCAGAACGGCTCCCGGCGCTCGGTGGGCGCCGACGGCTCCCTGGAGCTCCGCGTGGCCACCCTGAGGGACCACGGCGGCTTCACCTGCGTGGCCGCCAACGCCGCGGGCGAGGCGGCCGCGCGCGTCGATGTCGTGGTGGTGCCGCTGCCGGTGCCGCGGGGACGGGACGGGGACGGGGAGGCCGCGGCCGCGGAGCCGGGGCCGGGACCCTCGGATATGGCCCAAGCGGGCGGCAATGACACCTGGGGGGGGCCCGGGGAGCGGCGGGTGGTGGCGGCGGAGGTGACGGGGTCCTCGGCGCGCATCCGGTGGCTGCCGCAGCGCCACGTGCCCGGCGTGCGCATGGTGCAGATCCAGTACAACAGCTCGGCCGACGATGCCCTGGTCTACAGGTGGGCGCCCGGGGGTCTGGGGCGGGTCTAGGGGCGGCTCCAGTGGGTTTTGGGGACGCCCGTGGTGCTCCAGGGTGCTCTGGGGGGAGCTCTGCTGGGTTTTGAGGGTCCCTGTGGGTCTCCAGAGGGGTCTGGGAAGGGTCTTGGGTGTCCCGGGGGAAGCTCAAGGGGGTTTGGGGCATTGGTGGGGAGCTTGGGGGGCTTCAAGTGGATTTTGGGTGGTCTTGAGGCTCCGGGGGGGGGGGGGATCTGTGTGTCCCGGAGGATTGTGGGGGAGGATGTTCGGGTGGGTATTGGGGGGGTCCCGGGGGGCTCTGAGGGGATGTCAAGGAAATTTTTTATCTCTGGGGGGCTTCAGGGGTTCCCCGGTGAGGTCCTAGGGGCACTCAGGGGCGTCCCGGGGGTCTCTGGGGTGTGTTCGAGGTGTTTGGGGGGATCCCGGCACTCTCTGGCACGTCTTCGAGGGGTCCTGGACGGGTTTTCGGCTTCCTGCGGGGGGGGTGCGGGGGGTCTCGCTCCTCCCCCGACTCCCCTCGCCCCCTCCCCAGGTTGTTGCCCCCCTCCAGCCGCACCTTCGTGCTGCGGGACCTGGCCCCGGGCCGCCAGTACGAGCTCTGCGTGTCCGCGCTCCGCGTGGTCGGGGACCCCCCCGCCGCCCCCCGCCCGCTCGGCTGCGTCTCCTTCGCCACGGCCGCCGCTCCGCCGGGCTGCGCCGCGCCGCCGCGGCCCCACTTCTTGGGGGGCACCGTCATCATCGTCATCGGCGCCGCCATCGCCGCCTCCGTGCTCGTCTTCATCCTCATCCTCACGGCGCGCTGGAAGGCGGCGGCGGGGGCGCGGCGCCCCCCGCCCGCCCTCACCAGCGTCTGCTCCCAAACCAACGGCGGCCCCCGGCCCGCCGAGACCCCCGAGCTGCCCCCGCTGCCCCCTCTGCCCCCGGCGGCGGCCGGGGGGGCGCGGGGGCTGTTCCCCAGCCACAGCTACCCCCGGCGGGCGCGGCCGCGGCGCCACGGGTCCCTGCCGCGGCTGGACGCGCCCGAGGGGAGCCCCCTGGGACCCCCCCTGCGCCCCTCCTTCGGCAGCACCCACTGGATGCTGGAGAGCACCGTGTGAGGGGGGGCACGGGGGGAGTTCCCCCCCCCCGGCGCCCTCTCGGGACCCCTCTTCGGCAGCACCCACTGGAGCCCCCCCGGGATCTTCCTGGGTGGGGGGCGGCGGTGGGACCCCCCCGAGGTGGTTGCGGGGGCGCGGGGGGGGTCCAGGGAGCGCCAAAGCGCGCCCGGGTGGCCCCCCCGGACCCACTTGGGCTCCCCCGTGGGTGCCACCAGGTGCCACCGGGAACCCGCCAGGTGAACCCCCCGCCCCGCCCTGGGGGCACCTGTATGCAAACCTTTCCCCCCAAAATCCCGCGTAGGGACCCCGACATACTCGGGCGCCGTCGCACGCGTGGGGACCGTGACAGGGGCGCCCCCGCGACGGGGGGGGGGGCCGGATACGGAAAGCTGTGGCTCCCCCCGCGCGTGTGCCCCCCACCTCGCCCCTCGAGATGCGCACTTGGGACTTGTGTGTGCGCCCCAAAATTTGTGTGCCCCCCCCCCACCCCCGCCCCACGCGCGTGCCCGGCCCGCCCCCCCCGCGGTGCCTTCGGCCGGGCCGGGGGGGTCCCGCGCACGCCCCCGACATCTCTGCACAGATGACACGAGACCCGCAGCCCCCTCCCCCCAAAAAACCCCCCCCACGTGGGGGAGGGTGGGGGGCAAAAGGGGGACCCCCCCGGATGCCTGGGGACCCCCCCGTGTGTCCCTCCCGTGGCCTCTGCCCCCCCCCCCAAACTCGACCCGGGGGTTCCTATCTGGCTGGTCTGGATAACCCTGGGGGGGCGCCCCCAGCCCCCCCATTTCCCTCCCAGCCCCATTCCCCCCTCCCCCAAATTCCTCAGCTCCTCCCCATCTCCCCCCCCCAAAACGCCGCCCCCCCCACCAGCCGCCCCCCTCGGGCCCCCGCAGTGTTTAACACGAGTTTTTACATTAAAAACCTGTGGCCCCCCCGGGGCAGAAACGCGAGTGTGAATGGGGGGGGTGGGAGCTCGGAGGGGCCGGGGGGGGGGTCAGGCTCACTTTGGGGCTGGGCTCTTACTGGGGGGATCCCCTCTGTCTTTTGCGGGGGGTTCCTGCCCGGGACAGGGGGTTTTATTTCCTGGGGGGCGTCCCAGCCCAGAACGAGCCCCCCCAGGCTCTCCCACCCCCAACATCCCACAATGTGGGCGGGTCGGGGCTATGCTAATGAGGCAACAATCCCCGCCCCCCTGTGGTTGACATGGTGACCGTCTCAGCGAGGCAAGGGCGGGATCATGAATATGCAATCAAGGGGCGGAGCACACCAGCAAAAGCCCCGGCTAATTATGCCCTCATTTGCATACAGAGCACCTGGGCCCCAGCCTGGCCTTGGGTCCTCCCTGCTTCCCAAGGCCGCAGCGAGGTTGGGGGGCCCGGGGGGGGTCACCTGTGTCCCTTCCCATGGGGGCGGGCTGCAGACCCGGGGGGGTCACCTGTGTCCCTTCCCATGGGGGCGGGCTGCAGACCCGGGGGGGTCACCTGTGTCCCTTCCCATGGGGGGGGCTGCAGACCCGGGGGGGTCACCTGTGTCCCTTCCCATGGGGGGGGGCTGCAGACCCGGGGGGGGGTCACCTGTGTCCCTTCCCATGGGGGAGGGCTGCAGACCCGGGACCCCCACACCTGTGTCCCTATGGGGGGGGGGGCTGCAGACCCGGGACCCCCACACCTGTGTCCCCATGGGGGGGGGTGCAGACCCGGGACCCCCACACCTGTGTCCCCATGGTGGGGGGGGCTGCAGACCCGGGACCCCCACACATGTGTCCCCATGGGGGGGGCTGCAGACCCGGGGGGGTCACCTGTGTCCCTTCCCATGGGGGGGGGCTGCAGACCCGGGGGGGTCACCTGTGTCCCTTCCCATGGGGGAGGGCTGCAGACCCGGGACCCCCACACCTGTGTCCCCATGGTGGGGGGGGCTGCAGACCCGGGACCCCCACACCTGTGTCCCCATGGGGGGGGCTGCAGACCCGGGACCCCCACACATGTGTCCCTTCCCATGGTGGGGGGGGGCTGCAGACCCGGGACCCGCCCAGACCTGTGTCCCCATGGTGGGGGGGGCTGCAGACCCGGGACCCCCACACCTGTGTCCCCATGGTGGGGGGGGCTGCAGACCCGGGACCCCCACATCTGTGTCCCTTCCTGGGGCGCTGCCACACACCTGAGTCCCCTCCCAGGCGGCCCTGCCCGGTGGCCTTGGGCTGGGCTATAACTGCGCGGCGAAGGCCCCGGCGCGGCCCGGGAGGTGACAGCCATGGCGTCGGCGCTGCTGGTGCTGCTGGTGGCCGCGGTGGCCGCGCTGGGCCGGGGGGTGCAGGCCCAATGCCCCACGGCGGCGGAGCTGCGCCCCGACAACGGCACACAGCTGTGCGCGCTGCTCTACGCCGACAACAGCCCCTACTACGAGCAGTGCTGCGCCGGCGACGCGCTGGAGGTGCTGCCGGGCAGCGACATGCCCTACATGCCCCGTGGGTGGTCCGGCCGCGCCTCCTCCCTCGTGGTGGGCACCGGGTGCGAGCTCACCGTGTGGTCGCGCCGGGCCAAGGGCGGCAACTCGCAGCACTTCGGCGCGGGCGCGGTGCCGCGGCTGCAGGAGGTGCGCCGGGGGCTCTTCGGGGACTGGAACAACGCCATCCGGGCCCTCTACTGCACCTGCAAGTGAGCGGCAGCGCGGGGCGGCGCGGCGGCGGGACCGGGGCTGAGGGCGGGCAGCGGGATGTGCCACGAGGCAACGCGGGGCAACGTGAGCCAGTGTGGGCCGGCACGGGTCAACGCGAGCCAGCACGGGTCAACGTGAGCCGGCACGGCTCAAGGTGAGCTGGCGCGGGTCAATGCGAGCCGGTGCGGGTCAACGTGAGCCAGCGCGGGTCAACGCCACCCAGCACGGGTCAACGTGAGCCAGCACGGGTCAACGTGAGCCAGCGCAGGTCAACATGAGCCAGCGTGGGTCAAGGTGAGCCGGCACGGGTCAGCGCGAGCCAGCGCGGGTCAAGGTGAGCCAGCGCAGGTCAAGGTGAGCTGGCGCGGGTCAACGCAAGCCGGCGCAGGTCAACGTGAACCAGCACGGGTCAACGCGAGCCAGCACGCGTCGCTGCGCATCATCGCGGGCCAAGAGCAGCCAGCATGGCTCACCTGACCCAACGTGGGCCGAACCAACCCCGAGCTGGCTGCGAGGTGCCGACGTGAGCCAAGCTGAGCCGCCACAAGCCAGCGCGGGCCAAGCCAAGCCAACGTGCAGCAGCACTGGCCAAGATTCACCATCGGGGCCAAGCCAAGCCGAGCTGGGCCAACGTGAGCCCGAGACCCCGCATGTGCCATGGGCCACCGCAGCCCCCCGCCCCCTGTGCAGCCAATAAAGCCCTGAGGCAGCATCAGCTCCTGCCTGGGGGTCCTTTATTGGGGGGGTCCCCGTGCCCCCCGCCCCCCAAAGAACCACACAGCACACGGGGGGTCCAAAAGGACACGTGTAATTTGCGGGGGGCCCCGTGTCCCCCCGAGGCCCCCCCATCCCGCGCGGTACAAAACCCGACCATATAAATATCGCTTTGTTAAAAAACAAAACACCCCCGGGGGAGGCAGGGGGGAGTTCCGGGGGGAAGGAACCAACAACAACAAAAAGAAAAAAAAACCCCAAAATCAACAAAAACAGGCGAGGGAGGCCCAGGGGGGGACGCACCCCGAATCAGTAGTGTGGTGTGGTGGGGAGAGGTGGGGCTGTAGTTTTGGGGACCCCCTCGCATGGAGATCTAGGGGGGGGCAGACCCCAGTGCCCGAAGGGGGTAGAAAACAGAGGGCTGAAAAAAAAACAAAAAAAGGGGGAAATGCCCCAAATGGGTCCCAAAGGCAGCAGGGACCAGGATGAGCTCGTGCACCCCCAAATCTCTGGGATGACAGCCACCCCCCCTTTCCCCCCCAAAATCTCTGCTGTGGGCTCCCCAGCTCAGTAGTACAGGTCGGGGGGCCGGTGTCCCTCAGGAACATCCCAGTCCCGCTCCAGTTTGGGGGTGCTGCTGAGGAGGAGGAGCAGGAGGGGGCCGGGGGTCTCCCCCGGGGCAGGGGGGCTCTCACCGCAGCCGGTGCTGCCGCATGAGGGGCACGATGCAGGCGGGGGGGCCCGCGACACCCAGGAAGGGGTGGCGGAGCAGCTCCGGGGCGCTCGCCCGCTGCGCTGGGTCCCGCACCAGCATCCGCTCCAGGAACCCCTTCAGGGATGGGGACACCTGGGGGGACGAGAGGGGCGTGTGAAACACCCCCTGGGACTCCCCAGAAACGGGGGGGGGCTCCCCCAGAGTTACCTTGTGGCCGTTCTTGAGCCGGGGGGGAAGATTGTCCCGGATCAGCTTCATGGCTTTGAGGGGGGGCTCGTTGAAATAAGGGGGTTCCCCATCCACCATCTCGATGACCATCACCCCCAGAGACCAGATGTCCACCTGGGGGGGGGGGGATGGTCACCCCAAAAATGAGGAGGGGGTTGGGGGGAGCCCCTCAAACCCACTCCATGCCCCTCCTCCCAAATATACAGCATCCAGGATGGAGGGGTCGGGAGGGGAGGCCACTTGGAGCCCTTCAAACATATGCTGGGTACCCCCAAACCCACCCTGGGCAACCTGAAACCCACCCTAAATCCACCCTACGCTCCCCAAACCCACCCTGGGCAACCCTAAACCCACCCTAAATCCACCCTACGCTCCCCAAACTCACCCTGGGCAACCCTAAACCCATCCTGGGCACCCTCAAACCCATCCCAACCTCCCCACAAGACACCTCAAGGTGGCAGGGAAAGCAGATGAGCTTGGGGGCCCACATGCCCATGCCAAACCCCCCAAAAACCCACCCTGAACACCCCCTAATGACCCCCAGGACCCCCTAAACTCCCCCGAGCCCACTGACCCACCTCTGGGCCGTAGGGCAGGCGTGAGATGAGCTCGGGGGCCATCCAGTAAGGAGTCCCCACCAGGGACTTGCGCCGTGGCACGTCCTTGTTCACTTGGGCGCAGAAGCCGAAATCTGAGAGCTTCACCTGCCAGTGGGGCCGGGCTCAGGGTCAGGGTGGGATCCCAAAGGATCGGGGGGAGGTCTGGGGGGGATTTCTGGGTGTTCCTACCCGCCCATCATGCGTGAGGAGGATGGAGTCGCTCTTGATGTCGCGGTGGATGACGCCCTGGGCGTGCAGCACGGCGAGCGCCCGCAGCACCGAGCGGCACACGGCCGCGATCTGCTCCTCCGACATCCTGGGGACGGCACCCTGTCACCACCCTGCCACCACCACCCTGTCACCTCTGCCCCCCCCGCAACCCCCGCCCCCCGAGGTCACCTGGTGTGGGTGACGATGTCAGTCAGCGCGCCGCCCTCCAGGAACTCCATAACCACCCAGAGCTCGTCGCCCACCAGGTAACTGTTGTACATCTCCACCACGTTCTCGTGCTGGTGGTCCCGCATGATCACCACCTGGGACGAGGGGGAACACGGGGATGGGAGCCTGGGACTGTCCCCAGGGCATCGGGAAGTCCCTAGTGGGTCACCAAGAGGCCTTGGAGGGGCTTTGAGGGGCTCTGAGGGATCCAAGGCATTCCTGAGGGCCTCCGAATTCCCTCCCTGAGGGTCCCCAAGGCTCTCAAGGGGTCTCCAGGGCTGCCCCCCCCTCACCTCGTTGAAGAGCAGCTCCCGCCGCTGCTGCTTGCGCAGGTCCATCTTTTTGACGGCCACCAGCTTGCCGGAGCCGCGCACGGTGGCGATGCAGACGATGCCCGTGGAGCCCTCGCCGATCTTGATGAAGTTGTCCAGGTACGTGCGGGGGTCGCCGGGGTCCACCACCATCTGCAGCGCCGCCCGGAACTGCTCGTGGGACACGCGCTGGGGCCCCGCCGCCGGGGCGGGCGCGGGGCCGGGGGGCCGCGGGGCCGGGGGCTCTGCGGCCGGGGGAGGCGGCTCCGGGGCTTTGGGGCGTGGGGGGCCGGGGGCGTGGGAGGCACCGGGAGCGCCGGCGGGGACCGGCCCGTTGGGGGTCCCCTCCTGCGGGCGTCCCGGGTGGTGCTCGGCCTGTGGGAACAGGGAAGAGGGGTGTCAGCCCCTGGAATTCCCGTGGGAATGTCGGGGGCCAGCGCTGGGGCCTCCGGGCACAGGCCAGAGGGAAGGAGCAAGAGGAAGAGACGCCGGAGCCACAGATGCAGCACCTGGGACCAGATTCTGACTGGGACAAGGGAAGCTGCGAGGAAGAGGAGCAGAGGAGCTGCTTCCAAGGAGGAAGAGAAGAGGCAGAGCGAGGAAGAAGAAACTGTTTTGGTGCCAAGGACGCAGCACCGGCAGGGGAGGTGGCGGCCCCCCGCACATCCCGATTCCGGGGAGCTGCGAGGAAGAGGAGCAGCTTCTGAGGAAGAACGTGGCAAGCACAGTGAGGAGGAGGAAGAAGAAAAAGAAGAAGAGGAATTAACTGGGGAAGGAAGCTGCTGCTGATCCCAGCGGAGCGCAGGAAGCCGTGAGGAAGAGGAGCAGAGAACCCACTCTGGAAGAGGAAGGAGAGCAGGAGGAGGAAGAGGAGGATGAGGAGAGGCCTGGGGACACCCCTTTACCTGGGCACTGCCCCCCCGGCTGGGGTCGGTGTCAGCGCGGGGATAGGTGTGGAAGGGGCGTCCGGGCGCCGTCTTCAGTCCCGCTCCGGGAGCGCCGGGAATGTCGGGGGGCCGCAGGTCGGGCCCCGAGAGCGGGCGCTGCTCGCGGGGTGGGGGCCGGGGGGGCCCCTCTCCGGCTGAGCTGGATTTGGGGCGGCCCCCGGGGGCGTGGGGCTGAGGGTGAGGGTTGGGGGGCTCCCGCCCGGCCGCGGCTTTGGGCTCCTCCCGCTGCCGGGACTGCGGGGGGCTCGGCTCGGGGTCCCTGCGGCGGCTCTTGCCGGGCTCCGGGCGGGAGCGGGGGGGCCCCGGGGCCAGGCCGTTCTCCGGGGGGTGCCGGGAGGGGCAGGGGGGGCTGTCCTGGCGCAGGGAGTTGGAGCGGGACACGGACACGGCCGCCAGCTCGTCCAGGAGCCATGCCAGGGTCCTGTCCCGGCCCCCGGGGGTCCCATCTCGGGTGCCTTTGGAGCCACGTACGATGGGCTGCGGGAAGGGGGAAACACATGGGGGAAACGGGGGAAAAAAGAAAAAAAAAAACAACAGAAAGATGACATGGAATGGCTGCAGGAAGATGGCAGGGGAGGCAGAGGGGAGGGGGTTTGGTTTGGCTGGGGTGTCCCTCCGGGAAGAGTCCCAGAGCCCCAGACGATCCTGTGTGCTCCCCAGGGATTGGGGTCTAGCCTCGCTGGGAGGGTCCCAAAATATTGGGGGGGCATCAGAACTGAGGTGGGAATGGGTGGATGTGGCAATGGGGGGGATGTGGGAATATGGGGGACTTTAACAACTGGGGACACACACAATGGGGAAGAGATCCGGTGGGAATGACTCCGAGTTCCCAAGGGGTGGGCTGGCTCCAGGTGTGGGGAAGAGTCTCAGCACACCTATCCTGGGGGACCCTGCCCCAAGACCCCCCCAATTCCTCCCAGTTTGACCCCCAAAGAGCATCCAGGACTCCAAGACCCCAAATTCCCCCAAACCCAGCCCAGCGACTGAATGAGCCCCCACCTCCCCCTCCCTGACCCACGATCCCAAAAGCCCCTGGTCCATGACTCCCCTAAATTGTCTTTTTGGGAGGTAGGAAAGGCAGGGGGACCCAGCTCCCACCTCCCTGACCCCCCGATTCCTCCCAGTTTGGCTTTTAGAGCCCCAAGAGCAGCTGGCAACCCCTTACCTGCTCCACAACCCCTGAACATCAAACAACCCCAAAATCCCCGTGCTCCCAGACTCCCAAACTGCACCCAGCCCAGCCCCAAAGAGCACCCAGAACCCTGTTACCTCCTCCAAGACCCCAAACCCAGAATGGCCACGCTCTCCCCGCCCCACATCTCCCCCCGAATTCCGACGCTCGCTCCCGGTTCCCCGCACCTTGTGGGCCCCACGGATGGCGGTGATGCAGGCGGGGTCCACGAGGGGCTTGGGGCGGCGGGCGGACTCCTCGAGCAGCCCCTGCCACTGGCGGGGCAGCCCCGTGAAGCGCTGCTCCGAGGCGTCGTACCCCGTGTGCACCCGGTGCTCGAAGTTGGACGGCGCCGAGATCTCCACCCGCTTCTTCTTCTTGGAGAACATGGCCCGGGACGCGCTCCTGGAAACGGGATTGGGGCCCAGAACCCCGGGGTTAGGGGGAGAGAAGCGGGGGCTGGCACCAGGAATGGCAACAGCCCCCGAAATCCAGCCCTGGCAACGGGAGCCGCCCCTGGAATCCGGGGTCACAACGGGGAATGTCCCCGGGAACGGGATTGGCGCCCAAATCCTGCCGTGGGAACGGAATGGAAACGTTGTTGGGATGAAACGCCTTGGGATGGATGGGATCAGACACGAAAATCCCACTGTTGGAATGGTTTTTATCCACTCCCCTCCAACATCTCCCACTTTTATCCAGTTACTCCCCATTTTTCCCCCAAGTCCAAGCTTGGAAACACCAGGGGCACCAGAAATTCCCACCGGGAAATGGGAGTAATCCATTAACCCAACCAGAACCACCCAAAAAGCCACAAAAAAATCTGCTTTTCCTGGGATCCCAGCGCCAGGATCAGTGCTCTGGGGCAGGATCCGAGAGTTTGGCTGATTTCCATATTTTTCTGCCGTTTCCAGGCCAAGAACAAACTGAGCTGGGAAGGTTTTGGTAACGTGATCCCAGTGGGGGCATGAATCCCTCTGGGAATGGCCCCAAAATCCCATGGATCTCAGGTGGGTCCATTTTCCCCACTTTCACTGCTTTTCTCAGTGGCAATTTCCCCATTTCCTCCTACTTTTCTTCAGCTCCTCGGCTCAATCCCATTTTCCAGACTCCAGAATCCCACTGCTTCCAAGGTTTTCTCACTGTTTTTCCCAATCTTTGTGGTTTTCTCCTTTAATCAATGATCCATCATGAAGCTTTTCTCCTCTTCCACTCCGACTCCAGCCAAAAACGGTCGGAATTCTGTATATTTTCCATTTTCCCTGCTCATCCCTCCTTCCACCTCCCTAGGACGCTGCTGGGATCCTCTCCGGATTGCAAAATCCCACTTCCGGATGGAAAATTCTCCTGGTTTGGGGAAATCGACACTGAATTTTGAGTGGAGGATTAAATTCTGCTGCATTTGGGCTTTTCCCATTGCGAGTTCCATGGGAAATATCCGAGGATGGTCCAGGTCAGCCAGGATGTCAGGGAGGTGCAGGATCTGGTGCGTCTGGACACCAAATCCACAGGATTTCACCTCAAAACCCCTCTCGTTTTCAGATGGTTGGGGGAAAAACCAGCAGCACTTGGCAGAGGCAGAGACGTCCAGAAGAATTCCAGAGGGATTGATGAGGGCCAGGAGGGGTGAACTTATTCCTCAGCCCTTCCCAGGTCGCATTCCTGGGATCCCAGCGGGGTTTAATTAGTTACCAATTAACAAGGAACTGAATACACACTGGGCGGAATAATCTCATGTTTTTCCTAAAATTCCCAACAAAATCCCACAAATTCCCTCCAATCAATGACATTTAGGCTGTGTCCTGGTGGGAATCATGCTGGCAGCTTTGAGATGAAAAAGAAAGGGAAAAGTAAATGGAAAAAAATGGGCACAGAGGCACTTCACGCCTCTCCATAAAGCCCAAATCCAGGAAAATCAGATGTTACTGGGCAGGAGAGCGTCCAGGACGGGACTGAAATGGGATTTTCAGCAAACTTCAGGATTTTTACACTGGAGCTGGTTGAATTTCAGGAAAACAAATGCCCAGCGTGGCACCACAGCATTCCAGACACAGAGTTTGGCTTCATCCCGCTTCCCAAATTCCAGTATTTCCATTTTTCCTCCCCTGTATGGAGCTGGTCCATCCATCCCATCTCTCCTCTTTTTGCCCCAAACTGCTCCATTTTCCCCCAGGATGAGCTGGGCTTGGAGCCTTCCCTTTGGGAAAATTCCACCAGAAGAAAAACTTACCTCGTATTCCCACCGCTTATTCCTGGATTTTTTTTTTTTTCTCCTCTAAAGTTCCCTGAATCCCAAACTCATGCTGGGCTTGATGCTTTTGGGAAGAAGAGAGAAGAGCCAAAGTCTCTGTTGGAAAATCCCTGAGCCGGATTTCTCCTCTTGGGGAATTATTTTCCTGCTGTCAGCCAGAACAGGAAGAGACTCCAAACCCTCCAAATCCACATCTTCCATGAAAAATTTCCAAACTTCCACCTCCGGGCCCCCCCACCCCGGCGGGAATTCGGGATCCTCGGGAAAGCAGAAACAGGGACAGAGCAAAGCGTCCCAAAAACTCCCGGAATTCCGTCGGAATGGGTGAAAGCGCGTTTTCCTGATCCGCAAGGGCGATCCCGATGATCCCTGGAGCTCCAGAATCCCAGATCCTGCTGGGAGCAGGTCGGGGCTGCTCCGAGGGGTTGTTTTCCTTAAAAAAAAAAAAATAAACCGGAGCGGGAAGCGGCGCCGGGCGGTCCCGAACGGTATTCCAGGTGGGAATCCCGGGATTCGAGCCCCTGGGTTGGAATGCCGGGATAACCCGCAAAGGGGTCACGATCCCGGGAAAGCGAGGCCGGCCGGGAAAGGCGAGTTGGACTGGCCCAGCTGGATCTGCCGGAGGAGGAGGAGGAAGAGGAGGAGGAGGAGGAGGAGGAAGAGGAGGAGAAGTGTCGGCTTTTGCTCAGAGGAATCCCGGAATTCCAGGAATCTGGCGACCCACAAGGAACCTCCAAAGCTCAGGCGAACAGGAAAAAATCCGGGAAGGGACCCGGGAGATGCGAACTCCTGGGAAAAGGGAACAGAGCGTTCAAAGCTTCCGTGACCACCGGGAAAACCAGGATGGGAGGGAAGGGGGAGAGCAGGGAAAGGAGGAAGGAGTGGGAAAAGGAGAAGCAGGGAAGGAGAGAAGAAGGGGGAAAGTGTAAAAGAAAGAGGAAAAAGAGGAATTCTGGCGGAATTCAGCTCTTTTCCTGCAGCAGGAAGTTTCCCCGGAGCTGGAAGTGCAGGGAGAGGGAGGGAGGAACGTTGGGAATCTCCGGCTCGGGGGCAAAGGAAGGGCCAATTAACAACGATCCAATTAATCAGTAACGATCCCGTCCATCCATAATGATCCAGGTCACCAAAATCCAGGAAAATCCCTCCTGGGGCTGGTTCGGGAGCACCTCCAGAAAACCCAGACATTCCTCCCAGGGCTCCAGGGAACCCAGGGTTTATCCCACGGGAAACGAACAAATTAAAAGATTAATTAAAGCCACGGGCAGGAATATCCTTGGAATTTCTTCCTGGAAACTCCAGAGAAATTCCTGCTTGTCCTGCAGCTGTTAATGAGATGTTGGTGTCCAAATTCCCATCTTTTAGCCCCAAACCCAGCAGGGAATGGCGGGACGGGGAAGTTTTTGGCCATTTCCAAACGATTGTTGGATCTTTTCCACATCTGGATACTTCCCATAAACCAAGTTTCCACTTATTTCCAAGCCGACCGCTGGTCAATCCCTCTATCTCACCATTGCTTATTTGAAAATTCACTAAATTACAGGGAAAATGCAACGAAAGCACAAATCCAGAGGCTTGTTTGGATTTTTTTTCTCCTTTTCAGTTGAGGAATGCTGACAGTAACACCACAAAAAAACAGTGGGGATGGCAATTCCCTTCCCACTGGGCCAAAATTGGGGGAAACGCTGTTTTTGGGGGAGTTAGGGCATTTCATTTTAGGGGAAACACTGTTTTTGAGGAGTTTTAGGCCGTTTAATTTTAGGAGACATACTGTTTTTGGGGAGTTAGGACATTTCATTTTAGGGGAAATGCTGTTTTTGAGGAGTTAGGGCATTTCTGAGGAATTCCAGTGCCCCTCTGCCTTGGAGTTCCTGATCCAAATCCACAGGAAAAAAATCCATCGCAGGGCTCTGGGGCTGGCTAGGAGCGTAGGGCGAAGACCCCCAGCTCCCCGTGGGATAAGAAATTCGGGGAATTAATTCTGGATTCTCTTCCTACCTTCCGCGAAGGGAAAACTGTCCTGCCTCAGCTCCGCGTTCCAGGTGCTCCGGGAAAAGCGCTGCACGGGAAGAACGGGATTCCCTCAGGAGCAGCCCGGACCTCCCCTTTTGGGGTGTTTTTGGGGCGGGGGGCGGCTGGATCCATATCCCGATGCTCCCCAGGAATTCCAGGCTTTCCCAGCGCTGCTGCTGCCGCCCCTCCAGGGATCTGGGCAGCCTCCAACTGCCCCCAAGCCCACCCCCAGCCGCCCTCCTCCATCACCAAGTGACTCCTTGGCCCTGGGGGGGTCTCCAGAGCCCGGATCCCCCCGGAATTCCCGAATCCCTCCCGAGCCCCCTCAGGCCTCACTCGACCGCCGCCGCCATGTTGGGATCCAGCCACATCCGGGTCCTCCCACGCCCGCGTCTCCGCGGCGACAGGCCGCGCCCACGAGTGGCGGGGACACGGGTGGGAGCGGCGTGGCTAGCCAAATATGGGCAAGGAGAGGCGGGTAAGGAGCCATATATGCGCAAAGAGGCGCGGCCTGGGGCGGGGAGAAGCTGAATTCGGGCGTGGAAGCGGCTTTGGGCGGGGTTTTGCGGAGGAGGGGCGCGGCACAACGCGGAAGTTGCTGCTCAGAGGGCGGGTCTCCAGCGACCAGGGCGGCATTAACCAATCACCGCACGAATCGCGGCGACTGGCATCTCCGCTGCCCAATCGCAGCGCGGTGCGCTCGGATCTGGGTAAGATGGCGGCGCCCTGAGGGGAACGTGCGGGCTCCGGTTCCGCCGCTCCCCGGTGCCCTCCCCAGACCGCTCTGACCGTGTCTTCTCCCCTCACAGCCTCGCAGATGTCGCTCCGCGCCGCGCTTCGGGCCGCTGCCTCGCTGGCGCGCTGCAGTGCGTAAATGCCCCTTTCTCCCGCAAAACCCGCCGCCCCCCCCAGCACCCCCTGAGCCCTCTCCGTGTCCCCTCCGCAGCTCCGGGGCTGCTCCTCCCGCCGCCGCCGCCCCGTCCTCCTTCGGCCGGCATGGCCACGCTGAACCAGATGCACCGGCAGGGCCGCCCCGCGCCCCCTCCCCGCAAAGCGGGGCCCACGCTGGGCCGGCCGCAGATCAAGGGCGTGGTGCTGAAGAACCTGATCCGAAAGCCCAAGAAACCCAACTCGGCCAACCGCCGGTGCGTGCGGGTGCGGCTCAGCACCGGCCGTGAGGTGATCGCCTTCGTGCCCGGCGAGGGCCACAACCTGCAGGAGCACCACATGGTGCTGGTGCAGGGCGGGCGCACCCAGGACCTGCCCGGCGTCAAACTCACCGTGGTGCGCGGAAAGTTTGACTGCGCACACGTGCAGGCCAAGAAATGAACGGGGACCGCGGCCTGGGGGTCCCGGGAATGCGCCCGGCCTGGGATGAGGCTCCCCAGGACCCTCAGGGGGAGCCTCAGGTGGGGTGACCCCAAAACCTCCCCAGAATCACCCAAAAGCCAGCCCAAACTCAGGGTCACCCACGCGCTGGCCCTGGGGTTTTTATGGATTAAAATTTGGTGGTGATGTGGGTTGTGGTGTGGAGTCCTGGTGGGGGTACCGGGAAGGGTCATGGTGGAACTGGGAAGGGTCGTGGTGGAACTGGGTAGGGTCGTGGTGGAACTGGGTAGGGTCGTGGTGGAACTGGGAGGGTTGTGGTGGAACTGGGAGGGTTGTGGGGGTACTGGAGGCACTCGGAAGGGGCCTTTGGGCAGTGGAAGGAGGCCAGGGGCAATGGGAATAACCTGGAGAGGGATCTGGGGACTTGGGGGGAGGAGTTCAGGGCACCGGGGGGGTCACCGGGGTCACCGGGGGTGTCACGGCGGGGGTCACTGGGGTGCCACTGGTGCCACGGGGGGATCACCGGGGGGTCACCGGGGGGGTCACCGGGGTCACCAAACCCGCAGCGCTGCGGGACGGAGGCCGGGGCGGGAGGGGGCGTGGCCAAAGCTGCGGCCTCGCCCCCGCCTCCTCCTGCACGTCACCGGTACCCAAGATGGCGGCGCGCAGGGCGCTGCTGGCGGCGGCGGCGGCGGCGGGCGGGCGGCGCGGGGCCGCGGGGGCCGCTGCCGGCCCGGGTCCCGCTCCCGGTGCCGGTGCCGCTCCCGGTGCCGCTCCCGGTGCCGGTACCGGGCGGAGCCGCCTGTACGAGCACGCGCGGGAGGGGCTGAGCGCGCGGCCGCAGCTGGACGTGACCGCGCTCAGCGAGCGCGACCTGGAGCGGCGGCGCGGGCCGCTGGGGGGCGCTGCGCTGAGGGAGATCGTGAGTGGCGGGAACGGCGGGGGGCGTGGCCTGTGTGGCGAGGCCGGCCCCGCCCACCTGAGCCACGCCCACCCCCCGTTCGCCCTCAGGTACGGACATGGGCGCGGCTGGGGAAGGTCCGCGATGGCATCGCACGGCTGGAGGCGGAGAAGGGGCGCGTGGCCCAGGGGGTCCGCGAGATCATGGTGAGACCCCACCCCAGGAACCCTCAGTCCCGCCTGGGACCCCCAAAGTCCCCGCTGGGACCCCCAAAATCCCCCAACGCCCCACTCAGTCCCTGCTGGGACCCCCAAAGTCCCTCAACGCCCCACTCAGTCCCCCCTGGGACCCCCAAAGTCCCCCCTGAGACCCCCAAAATCCCCCAACGCCCCACTCAGTCCCCGCTGGGACCCCCAAAGTCCCTTCTGGGACCCCCAAAATCCCTCAACGCCCCACTCAGTCCCCCCTGGGACCCCCAAAGTCCCTCAACGCCCCACTCAGTCCCCCCTGGGGCCCCCAAAGTCCCCCCTGGGACCCCCAAAGTCCCCACTGGGACCCTCAAAGTCCCTCAACACCCCACTCAGTCCCCCCTGGGACCCCCAAAGTCCCCACTCGTCTTCCTTGGAACCCCCAGGACCCCTTCCCTTTCCCCCTAACCCACTACATAATCCCCACCCCCCCAGACCCCCTCTCTTCCCCCGAGACCCCCAAGGACCCCAACTCCTTTTTCCCCCCACAGGCCTCCCACGACAAGGCAGCAGCCAAGACGGTAGGAATCAAATTTTGGGGGGGCCCGGGGGGGGGTTAGTGGCCCTCCGCGCCCTCACGGTGGCCCTCTGGCAGCACCCGGAATTGGCAGCGCTGCGGGAGCGGGGCCGGAGCCTCCGGGAGCAGCTCCGGGTGCTGGAGGCTGAGGAGTCTGACCTGGAGCAGAGATTTTACCTGGGGGCCCTGCAGCTGCCTAACAGAACCCACCCCGCTGTGGTGAGACCCCAAAAACCTCCCCAAAATCACCCAAAACCCACCCAATCCAACAGAACCCACCCCGCTGTGGTGAGACTCCAAAAACCTCCCCAAAATCACCCAAGACCCAACAGAACCCATCCCACTGTGGTGAGACCCCCAAAAACCTCCCCAAAATCACCCAAAACTCAGCAGAACCCACCCTGCAGTGGTGAGACCCCAAAAATCCCCCTGAAACTCCCCTGACCCCCCCTCTGGCCTGCAGAGTTTTGGGGGGTTCCTGGCGCCCCCAAACTCCCTTTTGTTCCCCCCCCAGCCCGTTGGGGACCAGAGTCAGGCCCGGCTGCTCGAGGTGGTTGGTGAGAAACCAGGTGAGGGGTTTTGGGGGGTCCTGGGGATGGTTTTTGTTGTGGGGGAAGGAGGAGAAGGGTCCCTGGATGGGGAAAGGGTCTGGGGGGGGTGGGTTTGGAGAGCCTGGGGTGACAAAGGTGACAAAGGTGACGGAGGTTCCCCCTCCTGTCCCCAGTGTTTGATTTCAAGCCAAAGGGACACCTGGAGCTGGGGGAGGGGTTGGACATCATCCGGCAAAGGTGAGCGACACCTGGAGGGGGGACACCCCTGTCCCACCTGTGTCCCATGCTCACAGTACCTGTGCGGGGTGGGGGGTGTCCCCAGGTGTCCCACACCTGTCCCACCCGTGCAGGCGCCTGTCCCACGTCTCGGGCCATCGCTCCTATTACCTGAGCGGGGCTGGGGCCCTGCTGCAGCACGCCCTGGTCACCTTCACCTTGCGGAAGCTGCTCAGCAAGGTGGGGGGGACCTGGGGGTCAGCAGGGAGGGTCTGGGATGGTCTGGGGGGATCCAGGGAGGGTCTGGGATGGTCTGGGGGGATCCAGGGAGGCTCTGGAGGGATCTAGGGAGGGTCTGGGATGGTCTGGGGGATCCAGGGAGGGTCTGGGATGGTCTGGGGGGATCCAGGGAGGGTCTGGGGGGATCTAGTGAGGGTCTGGGATGGTCTGGGGGCCCCCAGGGAGGGTCTGGGATGGTCTGGGGGGATCCAGGGAGGGTCTGGGATGGTCTGGAGGGGTCCAGGGCAGCTCTGGAGGGATCCAGGGAGGGTCTGGGATGGTCTTGGGGATCCAGGGAGGGTCTGGGATGGTCTGGGGGCCCCAGGGAGGGTCTGGGATGGTCTGGGGGGATCCCGGTAGGGTCTGGGATGGTCTAGGGGGATCCAGGGAGGGTCTGGGGGTCTCCAGGGAGGTTTGGGGGGCACCCGGGGGGGGTCGGAGTCTCACGATCTCCCTTTTTCCCAGGGTTTCCTGCCTATGACGGTGCCAGACCTGCTGCGAGGAGCCGTTTTTGTGAGTGACCCCCGAGCCCCATGAGGAACCCCCCTGGCACCTCTGTGGGCCCCGGGTGACCCCCTGTGCCCCCCAGGAGGGCTGTGGGGTCCAGCCCAGCGCTACCCCCTCCCAAGTTTACACCATCGACCCCGCACGCTTCGAGGACCTGTGCCTGGCCGGGACCTCGGAGGTGGGAATTGCAGGTGGGAAATGGGGGAAAATGGGGGGAAACTGGGAAAACTGAGGAAAATATGGGTGAAAATGGGGAGGACATGAGAAAAATCATAAAAATTAGAGAAGAAGACGGAAAAAGGAGAGAAGGAGGGGGGGTCAGAGGATTTGAGGGTCACGCCGTGTCCCCCCATCCAGGGTATTTCATGGACCATGCGGTGCAGCTGCAGGACCTGCCTGTCAGGTACGGGGGGGCTGTGGACCCCCTCCCCTTCTGGGGGTCCCACCCACCCCAATCCCCTGGGGGGGTCTGGGGTCTTTGGGGGCCCCCTGAGCCACGTCCCCCGCCAGGGTCGTGTGTTCCAGCACCTGCTACCGCACGGAGACCGACACGGGCCGCGAGCCCTGGGGGCTCTACCGCGTCCACCAGTTCACCAAGGTACTGGGAGCACTGGGGGAGCACTGGGGGAGCACTGGGGAGGGAAGGGCGGGGGGCTCACCCTGTGTGCCCCCCTGAAGGTGGAGATGTTCGGGGTGACGGCGGCCGAGCGCGGGACAGAGAGCGAGGAGCTGCTGGACGAGTTCCTGGGGCTCCAGAAGGAGATTTTCTCGGAGCTGGGGCTCCATTACCGGTGAGGGGATTTGGGATTTTGGGGGGGGGTGTTCCCCCAATCCGTGGGACTCTGAACTCCCCCCTAACGTTCCCCCCTGGGCCCTGCCAGTGTCCTGGACATGCCCACAGAGGAGTTGGGGCTCCCCGCCTACCGCAAGTTTGACATCGAGGCCTGGATGCCCGGACGAGGCAAATTTGGGGAGGTGAGGTGGTTGTGGGGGTGGGTCTGGGACCCCAATAACGCAGGGAGAGCCCGAATAACTTGAGGAAAACCCTGATAATTCTGGGAGAGCCCCAATGATTTGGGGAGAATCCAAACAATTCTGGGAAAACGCCAAAAATTCAGAGGTGCCCAGGGTGATGCCCCCCACCCTTTATTCTCACCCTTGCTGCCGGATCAGGACCCTCATTTTGGGGGGTCCCTGGAGTGGAGGAGGGGGTGCCCAAAATCTCCTGACCCCTCTCCCCCCCAGATTTCCAGCGCTTCCAACTGCACCGATTACCAGAGCCGGCGGCTGAACATCATGTACAGCGGGGAGGGGGGCCAGCTGAGCCACGCCCACACGGTGGGTGACCTCCAAAATGCTCCCCAAAACCTCTGGGGAGGGGTCTCCAGGCCCTCCCTGACCTCGGGCCCCCCCCTCAGGTGAACGGCACCGCCTGCGCCGTGCCCCGGCTGCTCATCGCGCTCCTCGAGTGCAACCAGCTCCCGGTGAGTGTTTTTGAGGGGGTCCCGGGGGTCTGGGGGCTCTGGGGGTGGGGCTCACCCTGCCCCGTGTCCCCCCCCACCCCCAGGACGGCCGTGTCCGTGTGCCCCCCGTGCTGCAGCCGCTGGTGGGGCAGGAGGTGCTGGCCCGGCCCCCTGCGCCCCTCCTGCGCTACATCGGCCCCAACCAGCCCGGGGGGGCCCCCCAAAAATGGGGGAGGGGGCCTGAAGGGAGGGGTCCCCGTGGAGGAGACGGACGTAGCCGGGACGTCGCGGGATGGACGCAGGACGTGTGGGACACCGGACACGCGGTGACAAATCCCGGGAATAAAACCTGGAAATCCTCCTTGGAACAGGTGTGGCCTCTGCTGCAGGGGTGCTCTGGGGACATGCAGGTGTCCCCCATTGTCACACCTGTCTGCTGCGCTCACACAGGTGTCCCCTCCATTGTCACACTGTCTCCTTCCCTCCAGTGCCACAGGTGTGTCCTTTGCTCCGAGCGCAGCCTCTGATTTATTTCCCACCGCTCTCCGCAACCCTTGGGGCTCCCTGGGGATTTTGGGGGGTGGGGGCACATCCTCAGGGGGTCCCCCCAGCTGGGCAGGGGTGGGGGCACCTCCAAGTCCATCCGGGGGGTTCTGGGGGTCCCTCAGGCTGGGCAGCGCCTGCTGTTGATGACGATGTCGTCGTACTCGTCCTGGGGAGAGAGAGAGGTTGTGGGGGGGCTCGGAAGGGTTTGGGGGCCTTCCTGAGAGGCCCCCGGGCTACCCCGGGGTTGGGAAATCTCTGGGGCCGGTGTGGCCACCACTGTGGGGCCGGTGTGGCCACGGACTGACCTCGCTGTCCTCGTGCCCGCTGTCGCTGTCGCTGTCGCCGCTGTCGCTGCTGTCGCTGCTCGGGGGGTCGCGGGCCCCGAAGCGGCGCAGGAGCGGGGGCAGGCGGGGGTCGGGGCGGCGGCGGGCGCTGTACAGGGGGGTGAACCCCGAAAACGTGCGGGGGTCCGGCCGTGCCCCGCCCCGCAGCAGGCACTCGGCCACCTCGGGGCTCTGAGCTTCCACGGCCAAGTGCAGGGGGCTGCGGCCACAGCTCGGCTCCTGGGGGAGCACGGTGGGGTCAGGGGGCGGCCAGGACCCCCACTCCCACCCCGTGTTTTGGTTATTTTTGGGGGGTTTTGTTTTTGGGAGCACCCACCGGCTGGTCGGGGTCAGCGCCGGCGCGGAGCAGGAGCTGCACCAGATCCAGGTCCCGGCGCAGGACGGCGATGTGCAGGGGTGTGTAACCTGTGGGTGGGGGTCCCCAAAGCACAGCCTGAGCACGTGGGACCCCCCCCAAATCATTCCCCTCCCAACATGCCCTCCAAACAGCGCGACCCCCCCACAAAACGTGTAAATAATTCCAAACGCTGCGTCCCCATCCCCAAAATCACCGGAATTCCCCCCGCCTCAAAACCACGGCGAGCCCAAAGCTACAGGACCCTCCCAAAACCCTTCCCCAGCCCCGAAAACCGCGGCCCCCAGCCCTCACCGTCGTAGTTGACGCTCTCCAGCTGCGCCCGCCGCTCCTCCTCGTCCTTGCCGGGGTCCCCCAGCAGGGCGCGGGCGCAGGCGGGGTGCCCCTCGCGGCAGGCCAGGTGCAGCGGGGTGTGCCCGCCGCGCTCCCGCACCGCCGCGCCCGCGCCCGCCGCCCGCAGCCGCCGCACGGCCCCGGCCAGCCCCAGCACCACGGCGATGTGCAGCGCGCTCTGCGGGGAAAAGCGGGCTGAGCCCCCCAAAAATATCCCCACAAAACCTGCAGCCTGTCCCCCCAAAAACCTGCAGCCTGTCCCCCCCAAAAACCTGCAGCTCTTCCTCCCCAAAACCTGCAACCCGTCCCCCCCAAAAACCTGCAACCTGTCCCAAAACATCCCCCCAAAAACCTGCAACTCTTCCTCCCCAAAACCTGCAACCCGCCCCCCCCAAAAACCTGCAGCCTGTTCCCCCAAAACCTACAACCTGTCCCAAAACATCCCCCCAAAAACCTGCAGCTCTTCCTCCCCAAAACCTGCAACCTGTCCCCCCAAAGACCTGCAGTCCGTCCCGGGCGCGATGTGCAGAATGCTCTGCGGGGTGCTGGGGTCAAACCCCACCCAAAATTCCCCTCCCACCGTGACCCCAAACCCCCAAATTTCCCCTCAGCTCCTCACCCAGCCCCACCCACGCTGTGGAGACTTGGGGTGGTCCCAGGACCCCCCCGGGACCCCCCGATTTCCTTCCCTGCCGCACCTGGCCCAGGTCGTTCTGCAGGTCCAGGTAGGGCGAGCGCTCGGTGTGGCGCAGGATGGACTCCAGGAACTCCTCGTGCTCGTGGATCACGGCCAGGTGCAGCGCCCTGCCGGGGGTACGGGCTGGCGGGGGCGTCCCGACACCCCCGGACCAACCGGGGACTCCCCCGACACCCCCGCACCCACCGGGGAGCCCCAAAAATGTGTTTGTGTGTGTGGGGCTGGGGGTCCTGGGCCGTGAGTGGGGGGCACTGAGGGGCGGTCCCGGGGGGCTCGGACGTTACCGAGGGACCCCCGGGGGTACATTGGTCCCGGGGGACTCGGAGGTTACCGGGGGACCCCCGGGGGTACATTGGTCCCGGGGGGCTCGGACGTTACCGAGGGACCCCCGGGGGGCTCGGACGTTACCGGGGGACCCCCGGGGGTACATTGGTCCCGGGGGGCTCGGACGTTACCGGGGGACCCCCGGCGGTGCGGCGGTCCCGGGGGGATCGCACCGGAGCCCCGGGAAGCGGCAGCACCGTGACCCCCCAACCCCAGGGTGTGCGCGGGGGTCCCGCCCGGACCGGGGGGGGGGTTCCCTCATCCTTCCCCGCCCTCACGTGTCGCCGTCCTCGGTGACGAAGCTCAGGACGTGCCGCAGCCAGGCCGCGGGGTCAGCCAGGGGGTCGGGGGACTCCGCCGCGGGGCTGGCGGGCAGCGGCGGCCCCGGCGGCCCCTCGCCCAGCGAGCCCAGCCCGCTGTCGCACCACTCGTCGCCCTCGGGCCGCTTCGCCTCGCCCGGGGCCGCCGGGGCCGCGGCCGCCATCGCGGGCCGGGGAATCCCCGCCCCGCCGCCTGCCGGGACCCGTAGTCCGCACCCGCGCTTCCGGGTGTCTCAGCCAATCACCACCCCCTATCTAGCCCCGCTCACTCCCCCCGCCAATCGGAGCGGCCGGGGGTGCACGGGGCACGCCGGGAAGTGTAGTTCGGGCAGGCCGCGCCCATGGCGGACCGGGACGGGACCGGCGGCGGCAGCGGCGGCGGCCCGGGGGATGCGGCTGCCTCTCCTCCCACCCCCGCCAGTGACCCTCCCACCGCCCCCGCAGCCCCCGCAGCTCCCGCTGCCCGCCAGCAGGCGGTGGAGCCGGACGCCGAATCTCCGGTAACGCCCCCGGTGTCCCGTGGGTCCCCACCCCGGTGACCGCCCCCGACAATCCGGTGTCCCCTCGGTGCCCACCCCGCTGTCCCCTCGGTGCCCACCCCGCTGACCCCTCGGTGTCCCCTCGGTGCCACCCCGCTGTCCCCTCGGTGCCCACCCCGCTGACCCTCGGTGTCCCCTCGGTGCCCACCCCGCTGACCCCCGCGCTCTCCCCGCAGGTCTCGGACCCGAGCCGGGCGCTTCGGCCGACGCTGACAGTTGGGTCTGGGGGCGTCGGGGTCCCGCGGGGCCCAGCCTGGGCCTTTGGGGACATTCGGGGCCAGCTGGGGATGTTTTTGGGGACAATGTGGCCCTTTGGAGAGATTTCGGGGCCTTACGGGACATTTGGGGATATTTCTAGGGCAGGGCGGTTGGAATAAGGCATTTGGGGACAATGTGGGTCTTTTGGGGTTGGTTAAGGGATTCTTGGGGACGTTTCTGGGCCTTTTGGGACTTTCAGGGGCATTTGGGGGACGTTTTAGGGGGGTTTTGGGATGAAGGGGTCGCTTCGCCGGCTGTTTGGGGACACTGGGATGTCCCGCAGTGGAGCTGCTGCGGACGCTCCTGTCCCGGACCCTGGGGCTCGGCGGGGACAAACCGGAGCCGGTGCTGGACGAGCTGAGCCTGCCGGGCGTGAGCCGGTTGCTGAGGAGTGACCGCTGTAGGGACACCGGGAGCGGGAATTTGGAACGGGAATGGGGCTGGGAGTGGAGAGCAGGCCAGTTCCCAAAGGGTGACCGCTATAGGGACACCGGGAGGGGGAATTTGGAACGGGAATGGGGCTGGGAATGGGGTTGGGAGTGGAGAACAGGCCAGTTCCCAAAGGGTGACCGCTGTAGGGACACTGGGAGTGGGAATTTGGAATGGGAATGGGGCTGGGAGTGGAGAACAGGCCAGTTCCCAAAGGGTGACCGCTGTAGGGACACCGGGAGCGGGAATTTGGAATGGGAATGGGGCTGGGAATGGGGAGCGGGCTGGCTCCCGCAGGGCGAGTGCTGCAGGGACACCGGGAACAGGGTGTGGAATGGGAGTGGGGCATAGCGGGAACTGCGCGGATTTGGGAGCTCGCTCCGGGGAGGAAGGGGCAGATTTGGGGTTCTTGAGGGCGAATTTGGGGTTCATCCCTTTGTCCCCCACCCCCCCAGGTAAGAACATCGTGTGCATGGTGGGCGCCGGCATCTCCACCTGTGAGTGTCCTTTGTGGGGGGTCCGGGGGGGCTCGGGGACACCTGGGGTGGGTTTTGACCCCCCAACCCCCCCCACCAGCTGCCGGCATCCCGGATTTCCGCTCCCCTGGCACCGGGCTCTACTCCAACCTGCAGAGCTACAACCTCCCCTACCCCGAGGCCATCTTCGAGATCAGGTTCTTCAAGGTATCCCTCCCCCTTTCTTCCCCAAATTCTTTGGAAGGTCCCTGATTTTCTGGGGCCCCCCTGACCTCCCTGTGCCCCCTCAGAAACACCCAGAGCCCTTTTTCGCCCTCGCCCGCGAGCTCTACCCGGGGCAGTTCAAGGTAAAACACCCCCAAACCTCCCCCCGACCCCCCCTCCACTCAGGGGGCCGTGAGACCCTCAGCTGAGCCCTAAATTCGCCCCCAGCCCACCGTGTGTCACTACTTCATGCGGCTGCTGCAGGACAAGGGGCTCTTGCTGCGCTGCTACACCCAGGTGGGACAAGACCCCTCCCCCCAGCCGGTTTGGGGGGGTTACAGGGGATTTTGGGGACCCCCTGACCCCCCCGTGCCCCCCAGAACATCGACACCCTGGAGAGGGTGGCGGGGCTGGACCCGGAGCTGCTGGTGGAGGCTCACGGCACCTTCTTCACCTCGCACTGCCTGCGGCCCTCATGCCGCCAGCGCTACAGCCTGGCCTGGATGAGGGGTACGGGGGGCTCTGGGGAACCCCCCAAGCGCTGGGGGACCCCCTGGGCTCCCCCACCCCCCGTACCCTCCCCCAAATGTCCCCGTGCCCCCTTTCCCCACTGAGCTTCTCACTCCTCCTCCTCCCCAGAGCGGATTTTCTCCTCCCTCGTCCCTAAATGCGAGAAGTGCCAGGGCCTGGTGAAACCTGGTGAGTTCTGGGGGAGGGTGGGGTGGGGGGGGGCTTCACCCCCACCCCCCAATGCACCACTGACCTGCCCCCATCCCCCAGATATCGTGTTTTTTGGGGAGAGCCTCCCCGCGCGCTTCTTCACCCTGCTGGAGTCGGTGAGTGGGAACTGGGGGGTCCCGAATCCCCCC